CCCTACACGCGTCGAAGTTGTTGGTCTTCTTCTGCCCAGCCTTTGTAGCGGCGCCACGAAGCAGTGAACCGAACCCTCCCTTGCCTCCCCGGAGAGAGAGGACGAGATTAACGGTGGAGTCCGGAAGCGAAACCTCGCCGGAGTCGGGGATCTGATATCCGCCGCATATAAGACGCTGAAGATTTGTTGGAATCCTCGTGAGTTCAAAGATCCGTCGCTTGATCTGGTGGCCATACGCTTGGGGAGAGGGGAAGGTTAGGGTTGTCGATCTACCGTCGAGTAGCCTCACGAACAACTGCAAGGGCCTAGGGTTCGGGTCCGCCATGGGAGACGAATCGACGGGAAGAGGAACAAGGCTTCCTTTGAATTTGATTATAATATTCGTCGGAGGAAACACCGTAAAATCAGAGCCAGAAAACCCCTCAGTTTAATGGCATTAGCCCTTCCTTTTATGGATTAAAAGGGTTTGAGTCGGTCAATAAGTCTAATATACGGATCTAATAACGGAGTCTTTCTAATTCCTACATTAAATAGTAACGGCTGTTAAAAATTATCGTTAAGATTACGATGTTTGACGCCGTTTACTTACGGAATTCGGTGAATGTACACTAACTAGAAAATTCAATCACGACCAAGTCAACTGACACATCAAAATTAAAAAATTAAAATAGAAAGAAAGATAGCACATATAGTAACTTTTTATTTAACAATCTGCATATTCAACGTAAAATTGAAGATAATGAAAACGAATGATTGTACATATGGACAAAACCTTCTATTTCCACAATGCAAAACACACACACACTATCCTCGCAGTAATTTACTTATTTACAGTAAAAGTAAAAAACACAAGGATGAAAACGAATAACGATCCACATATATAAGAAGGTGGAGTAAGCTAAGGGATGGAAAGGGAAGAGAAGTCGGGGTCAGTGGGTTTCTGAGGGAGGAAAGGGAGGGTGTAGCGAGGCAGGTTCATATTGTTGTGCCTTAGGTTTCTAAGTGCATTCGTAGCGAAGCGTGACGCATAGACCGCCGCTCTCAAGCTCAACCTCGGTTCCTGTCCATGGCCATGGTCACGGCCGAGAGCGTCTCTCAGTTTCTCTTCTTCCTCACGCAACGACCTGGCCAGCTTCCTTCGACAATGTCTCCTCCACGCCGCCTGTATGAAACATGCCCCCCACGTCCTCCACTGCACCGAGTAGAACCTGCCCATTTATCCAATGCCCATGTCAAGAGAGAGAGAGACAGAGCGAGACTCAGCGAGAGAGAGAGAGAGAGAAAGATGGAAGACCTGAATGTGTGCTGGAGCTGCTTGCTGTGAAGGCGTCTGAACTGCGAAGCCACAAACTTTAGATCCTCGGCCGCGAGTGCAAAGGCTTCTACTTCCGTCAAAGCTTGTACCGTTCTCGTCGATATCGGATAATGTGATGATGACTGTGGATCCAATGCCCATGTCAGCAGATCTTCCCCACAGAAATCGCTCGCTTTCAGATATACCGCGTTGAAGAAACCCGTTCTTCCCCCGTTGGTTGTCGCACTCATCAGTTTTCCCCTCATCACAAACATCATCTCCTCCACTGGGTCTCCTTCCCTTATTACGTAGCTGTTCTCAGTGTAGAGCACTGGTTTAAGCCTGTCGCAGACTGCGTCTAGTAGCTGTTCGTCCATTATTTCAAACATTGGTACCTGCAGGGAAATGAGTTACATTAGAGATCAAATGTAAGAGTGAGTGAGGTTGTTCATTACTCATGGAGGAACAGCGAAGAACTTACTTTCTTGAGGAGATCGAGGCAGAGATGGCGTTTGATGTCTCTCTTGAGGTCTTTAGGGAGATTTCTCAAAAGGGTTTCTTCCTCGACTCCTCTAGTTTCTTGCCACTTGTATTGTTCGTACTTCCTTACACGTTTCCTCAGGTCCTCCGGCAGCAAACGGTGTGACATCCATTGCTCTGCATCTCTCTTTCTCACTCTCATCTCCTCTTCCCTAACCGTAGTTGATTCCAAGTATTTCTGCAAACTCATCAAGGAAAAAACATGTAAGACTCTTTTCGATTCTTTATTTATGCCCTACAAAGTGCTTCATGACACACAGAACTAGTCAAGAAAGCGAAAGTTTCAAACCGATTCTTCAAGAGAAATACCTGCATATTGCCGATAAGAAGTGCAAATAAGACCAGCCCGGATACGCAAATTAACAGGACAAAGATTATCTCCCCCACGAATTTGCTCGTTTGGAGATTCTGGCCCAAAGAACTGCGTGCAGTGAGAAAGCTACATGTCAATCTATCATCTGACTTGAAAACTGAAGTTTCCAGAATAGGTTCTGTGTTTACAAACCTCAGACTTCTTAGACCCCACCAGAAGCAGTAGAAAAATTTCTTCCAGAAATCCCGCGATTCCACGATGCCACTTTTCAAAGCATCATTGAAGATACCAAAGTTGAAGACTGTGGAATTTGTTATGTCGCCGGGATTGATAAATGGGCAAGAATTCTTCAGGAAATCATTGCTCATCCTGTGAGCATCATCACAGTACAGATTTTTGAACTGACACTCGCCTTCTCTCTTTCCGCACTCTTCTCGCCAGCATCTGTCCTCTCGTTCTATAGAGATCAAGAACCACAGTGCTCCAAACACCTGGGTTTCGTGTAAGTTATCAAATGATGCTTTATCCTTTTCAAGAGAAATAACTTTTACGCAAAGAAAACTCTACGGTCGGATTATTCAGAACTCACATGACTGGCTAACATGTAGAGGAAGAGGTTCCAAGCTGCTCCAGCCCATGCTGTTTCAGTAAATAAGCCAGAAGTTCTTTTCACTTCGCTGTAAAGCGGATAAATACGGATGATCCGAGGCACATACTGAGCAAATATGACCGATTTCAGGTAGTCCTTTGTAATCAACGACACTGGCCGATTGACATTGGGGATAATAACTAACAGTACTAGCTGCATATGAAAGAATGAATCAACCATCATCAACATCATGAAAACACCTTCATAGCTTAAGCTCCTTGAAGGGACTGAGTACAAGTAGTTTACCTGCGGGAGAGGAAGGATGGAGAGTATGTCGATGATGAAATATGACAAAATGTACTTGATGGCTATGGCTTTAGGATCATCCACCAACTCGCCCCTTCCAAAAATCCGAGAAAAAGGAGAAATATACGCTGTCCTGAACTGAAATACTATATGAATCACGTAGAAAGCATCGACCAACGAGCGTAACACACAGGCGGCTCTCTCCAACTTTGAGTCCAGATCAAGGCAGAGCTTTTCACCATCAACAACGGGAACGTAGAAAAATATCGGGTCGATGGCCAAAGCAATCACGCAAGCGAAGAGAAAGATTTTGTTCCAATTCTGCAAAAACGAACCCTGCGGGTCATGGATGTTCTTCTTGGTATGGCTTTCTTTCTTCTGATCATTCCTACGTGACCGGAAACTTAAAGGTTTCTTGAAGGACCTGATTGTCTCTGAGCTTTTCTCAAATCCCCTCTGAAAACTCTTCAGGACAGCACTGAATGAAGGTCTTGCTTTTCTTTCATACCCATCCTCTATGTAGAAAGGTTTGGCTGACCTCCAATCTTGAAACCTAAACACAAACCATGCAAAAAAGTGTCTGAGAACCTTTTGAAGAAAGGAAAACTTCTTCTGCTCTCACAGCGTTGACCATTCATCTTCCAAACATGTCTTCCGTTGACTTGGCCAGCTCTAAGAATTTGAAGCGCCAAACCCAACTAACATTACACACACAACTTAGAAGAAGGAGAATCAAGGATTTTACACAGAGACAGGATCGAGGCAAGCAAGCAACCAACCTCACACGATTATCGGGGCCTAGATCCATCAGCGAGGACTTGGATATTTGACTTGACTTTTTTCCCTCTTAGAGATGAATCCTGAATCATACCCAAAAAAAAATTGAAATCATATGAATGATTCTCCAAGTCCAAGGTCATATAAGATGCGTTGCCCAAGCAGAAAACTTGATATCGGTGATCAAAGCAAAATACACAGCCAAACAGTTCGGATTTTTAAGCTAGAACTTCTTCTTCTAGCTTCTCTGGTTAGAATCAGCCAATTACACCGTAGCGCCTAACCATTGAAACCTTTACGACCTTCGTCCCTAACCTGCTTCTTCCTAGTCACCAGAAATTCTGGTTGAACGTGTAAAGAAGAACCGAAGAACACAGAAAACACAAAGGCTACAGAGATATGGACGCCGAGAAGGAGCTGATGCTGAAGAACCAAGCGAAAACAACAGAAATCAAAACGTCGACACGTCCTTACCTCGACGAAACAGGGGGCGAGAGAGAGAGATTTCTGAGCAGCCAAGCGGGTCGTCTACGTCCAATTTCGCATGACGCTGGAAGCGGGGCCAGTTACTTGACTGTGGGGATTTCTTGGAAAGTGGCAAGCTATGAGAGAAACAGGAGGGAAAAGGGAGAGGACCAATTAAAAAAAAAATTAAAAAAAAAACGACAAGGAAAAGAAAAAGTCAGAGTCAGGGTGCGAAACAAGGGTCAAAATGAGCCGACTATCAATATATTAATGGGCTTTGGGGGTCCAGATGCTAATGACCAGTGGACAATGGGAATTGAGCGAGCCACCAACTATTATCTGTTAATGGGCTTTTGGGCCGAATGAGGCTCATTCTGTAATCCACCGACCAGCTGTCTCGGCTGTGATTGGCGAGGCTTCTAATAGTACGTCTCTAACGAATCTGTTAAATTTTCATAATATGATTTCTGTAAAAATATTAGTAAATATGATTTCTGTAAAGATCGTTGGCTGTGATCACAGGAGCAGTTCCTTTCGTCTTGTACGAATCTCTTGTAACACCTATATATACTATGTATAGTATTCAAATATATATATATAATTATGTGTACTCTACATAATAATGAAAGGCCATTTGTGACAAATACCATTTTGATTTCATACAAAGGACAGATGGAAAAGCCAGGTGATTTTCTGGACAAAAATTCACGAACCGTTCTGGAGTTGTCAGAACAAAAACAATGGAAATAATACGAACCTCTTACCAGACAAAAACAAAGGAAGATCAAAAATCAAACCCATGTCGTATATCAAACACAATCTTCACTTCAAAAGCTAATCCGATAATGAGGATTGAAACTGGAACTTGGAGAAACGGATCCATGTTGCTTCTGAAAAAGTTCCTGAGGATCATGAAACAAGTGTTCTAGGAACTCTCATGCCGAACCCGTGCTTCACCTTCTCTACCCTGTTCACCATTTTTAGCCATGAATGTGTTATCTCATTATCCAGAGAATATCGATGTTATGTATCATATATGCAATGCAGCCATCTATCATAAGCACGTATGTGCATGTGGGTTTTGGAATATCATTGTGTTCAACAGGTGCTGTTTCTTAATGCTGAGTGTTAAAGGGCCGCGGCCAAATAATAAGCATATGCATATCAATTTATACGCGTGATGGTGAATACTTACGTTGGGGCTAGTTTGCCAAGGCTGTCGAGTTCTTCACCAGAATCTCCATCAAGGACTCTGCCTGATATATCGACGATGTAAGAACGGTCCCCCTCCCGAGGAAGACCTCTCCCTGCAAGCAAATCAAGATCTCTATGGTGAAGCTCTCTTCCATTCACAAACACACCTGTGTTTCCTGCAGCACAGTTATCTGGCATCGGCTGGTGGCTGAACTCCTCGATGAACGGCTGCAAGAACAATCCCATTTTCTCATCAATTCCCCTTCACAACATTCGGGAATTCAAAGTCGGCCCTGTGTTGTGACAAGAGTTTTAAATATCTTACCGGTATTATGCCAAGACATGGCTTGCCCACCACGCCCCAGAACCCAGCTCGGTAGTCATACCTGGTCACAACAGAAAAATGAACGTTCAAATATGACTATAACAACTGAATTATTTTTTTAACATATTCGGACAAAGAAGCTTCAAAAACATAGAAGAGCAGACATACCAATAGTTTCCGGATTGTATTGGTCCAGCCAATGTCTCAGCTGTCTTAACCTGATCTGCTGGTATCAGCCGCCCGTTCACCCACACCTCTGATGACTTTCCACGTTCTCCGTTCTGATCCCTAGGGCCGACTTTTGTCGCCTCCATGAAACCAGAACCACCTCCCTTTCGGTTTCTTGTTCTGCTGTCTCCTTTGCTTCTGGTTGAATCTTTAAAATCTTCAGATACCTCAGTATTAGAGTATTCATCATAAGAGACTTCTGTCTCGGTAGCCACAGATTCTGGTTTCAGCGAGGTCTGTTTCGAGTAGGATTCCTGCTTTTCTGAGTTGAAACTTAACTGGGCCATCCCATAACTGAGTGCCACTCGGTTTATGTTAGAATACTCGAAGAGTTCAAGGAGAGAGGCACTTTGAGCAGGAGTAGGTTCGGGAGCTTTTGTGTCTTTCACTCGACGGCGGACAGATTTGACCACCCTCTGTTGTCCATCTGAAATGTTCAACTTCTCATCGTCTGGATGTTCACTAGGAGACAGAGACTGGACACTTCGTGTATCACGGTTTTTTGTTGATTCCCCATCTGGTTCTTTGTCCATGCATTGCAGATTGTTGCCAGAATCATTGTAATCAACAGAAGAGAGATCAGCACTTGGTTGGTTCGCATGGCTGTTAGACTCCAGAACAGCACCTTTCACTGCTGTGCTCGTCCTTCTGTCTTCTACATCTCTAGACACCGTGCTTGTTTCCACGTGACCAGAAGCAAAAACAAACTTCTTGTCAACAATTGAGAAACTGATTACTTCAGAACAAGCACCACATTGCAACTTTTGTTGCTTTTCCAGAACAAACCGAGCTTTCTTAGGCAAATAAAGCAGCTCAAAGCAATTGTGGCAAGCTATAAAGGGAGCACCGCCAGCAAGAGGATGGCAACGGCGGGCATCAGTATCAGATACAGCTTTTTGAACATACCCACGAGCAAATGCGCCACCCATTTCAGAGTCAAGATCACTTGGCCACCTCGTGTGGCCATGTGAACCTAAAGAGCCCATTGAAGAGTGAAAAGTACTCGAACTATTGTAGCTATGTGAACCAAATGGTGCAAATTTCTCACGTTGGTGTGAGACAGGTGAATATGGTACGTCACCATACCTACTCGGTGTAGTTGGAAAGAACGGATGATACATGGGATCTTGTGGGTGTGGCTCGAGTATATCAGAACCAATATCGACATACTGTCCTGGAACATAGGGATGAGCCATGGGATTGGGGTAATGACCCTGATGCCAGTTCGGGGGTCTCCTATGCATTTGGAACCCAAAAGGGTCTCTATACCCGGGAATATGAGCAGGGTTACTCGTTGAAGGATACATCCCATGCATCGGCACTGGGTTCCCACCAGCATAAGGAAAAGGCTCTGGGTAGGGACGGTAAAATGAAGGTCCCTGAACATGTTTACCAGGACCAGGAAAGGGCATTGGTGGCTGATCTGATTCTTTAGGTTTATCAACCATGTTAGAACCACGGATTAGATGCTCCTTTATGGAATCTAGTCGTCTCAGAAGCTCAGCCCGTTCTTGATCTGTATACTGAACTGGATTGCTAGGGTTCCCATATGGTTTATGAGCACTAGAAGAAGTCTCCGAACCATAGTTTGGCACTTCAAGCTCTTCATTTCTCAAACTCTTTCCAGATTTCCGAGACCCGGGCCGGGAATTCGAATCTCCCTGCTGTATTCTCATCGGATTCCCAGAGTCATTCTTCTCAATGAGATCCTTTTCTTCACTCCTCGAAGAACCAGAGTCTGATCTGACATCCGCTTCATATACGTCACGCCGTTCCCTCATCAGCTTCTCCGGCGGACCCGAGTAAACTGCGTTTAGGGTTTCGTTACTTTGACTGCAAATCGAATAATCAGGGAAAGAACAAAGTTCCTATAGTTCGTCACTGGGGAAGAGTTCACATCTAGCACCGTATTTCTCCAATCGGATCAAATTGAATCGGCAAATACTACGTCTGAACTTGCTAATTGTGTGAAATGAAACTATCCAGAGATTATATGTTTTTTTGCATATATTTTCTACGAAGCGAGCGAGCCATAAATCATTCTCCGCGGAGATTTTAACACAATTCCTGAGATTTTCCCAGGATCCAAACGGAGGAAAACTCGACAAAGAGGAGGAAAAGAGAGACGCACCTCGAAGAACAAAGTTCCCGGCGACGAGCTACTGAACGGAAAATGGGCGATTCCCGGTGGGAGTAGATGACGCGGGGATTTAAAAAAAAGTCGTCTATCTCGTCGACATCGCAGCCATTTTCTTTCCTATACCAGTTTTGAATATTCTGAACGATTAAATTAAATAGAAAAAAAAAAGACTCTTCTTCTTACAGTAATTCCAATCGTCGGGAGAAAGTATCAAATATGATAAATCACGACATGAAAAAAAATTGATTTTATTCGTCTTTTTTTTTTTACCGACAAAAAAAAAAGGTGAGCGTGTAGCGCGTAGACTTTCATTACCAGAGACGTTGACCAACGATAAGGCAGCGACCTTTGAAATAATCAAAATTTATAATAATGATTTTCCCATGTTTTTGACATTTTCCCCATATAGTTTTATTAAGTTTTATTTGTGTTTGCATGGGCATTGAATTTTTCTTTGTTGCGATCTCTTTAATTATTATTTTGATGTCATATGATAATATTTGAATATTTATAATTTAATTTTTTTACCTTAACTTTTCGGATAACTTTTTTTTGTATTTTCTATATATCTTCTAGAATGGTTTATTTTTTACTGAACCCGAATATCGCTTACTACGAGAATAATAAAAAAAATCTTGCCTTTACGTGTGTGTGTGTATTGTTAAGTGTTGGATATGCAAATTGATTTAAAATAATAACCATTTTATATAAAAAAAAAAACTTTTAAAATCTGTATGATGGGTTGTCCAAGTCAATGCTGCCATGTTCCCAATACGTGCTTATGATTTCTGTTTTTTTTTTTTTTGTGTGTGTTACATCGATTTCTGCTTGAATGTGGTTATTAAACAGCAAACATCATCATCATTAGTATTATTGTTACGTCATCGTATGGATGTATGAAATGTAAAGAGTAAATTGAAATCTTGATTAGCTTTTCTTTTGATATGATTGTATGATGTAGATTGAAAGGTACTCATATAATCATATTCGGACTTTATCTTTTGACTCTGTTTTTTTTTTTTATTGTATATCATCCTCTCATGATAAAGGCGACAACTGTAAAGATTGCTACTTCTTTAATCATTTTTAAGTTATCTCCCCGTCCATTTGCTTATGATATGCATAAAAAAAAAATCATAATCAAAGTTATTATCATATATATGTACCGATATTAGATGTTAACATTGGGTAAGAATTAAAGTCATAAATATTATATAGTTGTGGTTGAGAATGTTTGTTAAAATGATCTTATAATAAAATGGTACTTTTATTTCGAGAATCATGTAAACCATATGGCAAAGGTATTTTTTGTATTGTACGGAATACGATACGAACAAGCAGTAGAGAGGGTGATATATATGTAATGTATGTATAAAGCATGCATCGACTAATAACAACCCATTATATTTTGTCCGTGGGTTTACCGTGGACCAGATTAGCTTATATTATCCAAAACCAGCCCCGGTTCCCTCCTATTTGATTGGGCTAATGTTGGGCCTGGACCAAACCGGGCTTTATTGGAATCTTATATAAAAAATAATAATATTTTGTTAGATTCTCAACAAAAAAAATATCTTCAGTTTAATATTGTTTAACAATTCTTGTGAGCCAGAACGAGGCAGTGTGATATGTGAGAAAGGGAAACAGAGGCTTCACTTCTTTTTGTGTGTGGGTATACGATTCTTCTTATTTGTCAATGGTGGTCCAACCTCTTCCACTCTCTACGTTATTTTTTTTTTATAATCAGGATAGTTTCTTGGGTCTTTGTCCCGATTACATTTACATTAGATCCAAGACCAGTCTTTATATATAGACTATTTTAGTCTATAAATTATATTTTTCTCCACCATTAAAATCGAACCCAGAACTTTGAACATAACTTTATCAAATCTCACTCTCTTTATCATTTAACATGCACTTACACCAACAAGGGGATAGCATTCTTCTTCCCGTGAGATTCACTGTTCAAACTGATATCCCCCTATGTGTATACACACATATAGACGTAAATATATACATCCCGTCTATCTTTTGCAAGGGAATACAATTCGTACGTTTTAATGCGTGATTTGGTTTCCCATGGTTTTTAATCAGTTTGAACTTGACTAATTATTATTTTAATAATAAACTCATAATATTTTATCCTACCTAAAAGTTTTGCTGCTACTGATATCGCAATCGGCACAATAATATCGAAGACGGCCGGAAATCCAAACTAATACGTATTTTAGAAATAAATGCTTTGAGCCTCAATTTTGTGTGGTAGGGAGTTTATATTTTATTTCATTAAAAAAAATATACGAGCCAAGCAATTCCACAACATCACGGGAGAGTATATTGCACGCGCTCGATGATGCGCGTAGGATTATCACCTGGTTCGGCCACCAAAACCCTCGATCCATTTCAACTACAAAGGCCCGCTCCAGTGATCAGACGCCGTCCTTGCTCTCGACTGTGATTGGTTGGTGAGACTTTTTTTTTTCTGGCACTGCAGATTTCGTTCTGAAAATGCGCTGATTTCTTCGTGCGATAAATTCGCCGAAGGTTCTTTTCCATTCGTTCGTCGTCCGGATATCGGGAATTCTGAAACTCCGTTTCTTAGGGCTCGCACCGTGTTGTTGTTGTTTCCTTGGTGATTTCTGTCCCTCTGTTGGAGTAATTTATATTGTTGATGGCGTCGGAGGATGTGAAGACGAGCGAATCGGCGGCGGTTTCTACGATAGTTAATCTGGCGGAGGAGGCGAAGTTGGCTAGAGAGGGAGTCAAGGCTCCGGGTTACGCCGTTCTCGGCGTCTGCAAGTCTCTCATTGCCGGTGGCGTCGCTGGTGGAGTGTGAGTTGCTTTTTTCATCTGTTATACTATTTGTTCGTTTTTCCCTCAATCCGGGAAATGGAAAGATCTGTTGAATCGCTGCATAGATAGGATCGTACGTTTTCGTTAAATTTGTCGTGGAGCGCAAACGTAGATTCGGAACTAAGATTATTGGGATTTCTTTTACCAATTTGGAATCGATGGATGCTTCAAGGAAAAGTAGGAACGCTAGTGAAGACAATTTAGGTAGAGCGGGCTTCATTGATGTTTGAAGTAATCGAGACAGATATGCAAAGTTCACTGGGTGTAGATGTACACCAAGTAACATAGGTTCGTTAAACATTAAGTGTGCATTTTTTGTTTCTTATGATAAAATTTCACTGGGTGTATGTAATTGTTTAGGTCGCGCACTGCAGTCGCACCCCTGGAAAGGTTAAAGATTCTCTTACAGGTATTTTGCTATTACCTGGTTGCTTCTTTGGAATTTAATTTAAAATCTTGCACAAACTCAATCTCTGGATTGGTAATGCGTAGGTCCAAAATCCCCATAGCATAAAATATAACGGAACGATCCAAGGATTGAAGTACATTTGGAGGACCGAGGGCTTTCGCGGGCTGTTCAAAGGGAATGGTACTAACTGTGCTCGTATTGTTCCGAATTCAGCAGTCAAGTTTTTCAGCTATGAGCAAGCCTCGAAGTACGAGCTCTATTCTACTTTGATAGCATCTACTTTTGTGGAGCATATATTCATTTGTTAAAATTTCGTAATTCCTCTCAAATTTTTAATGTGGTCACATTTAGTAGTTAGCTCTAGTTTGTCCGCTAAAAATCTATCTTTTGTCTAATTTTTGTTATTTCCCTGTGCCAGGGGAATACTATATCTGTATCGGCAGCAGACAGGAAATGGTAAATTGTTTTTTCACATGGATTTTTATTATTTCTTTCTCAAAATATATACACATATCAACTTTATCAGTTCCTTGAGTTAAGCTTTCGGAGCTGCCTTGTAGTCGAATATCATGAACCTTTTGTGTTGATGTCAGAATACTCTCTCATTTTTTAGCTGTTCTGATCATGAATTTATGACTCTTCTGCAGAAAATGCTCAACTCACTCCTGTTTTGCGCCTTGGAGCTGGTGCAACTGCTGGAATAATAGCTATGTCTGCAACATATCCAATGGATATGGTACGAGGAAGGCTAACTGTCCAGGTAATTTCAGTATCCCGACTAGTGAGTGCTGCAACCTTCTTTTTCTCGTTTTACTTCTGCAAAAATGAATATTTACTCCTTTTGCAGACTTTGAACTCTCCTTATCAATATCGAGGAATGTTCCATGCTTTGTCAACTGTTCTACGACAGGAAGGTCCACGTGCCTTGTACCGTGGTTGGCTTCCATCAGTAATTGGAGTGGTAAATCTCGTTCTTATCCTTTGATCTTGATTCTGGAATTTACCATTTCATGGAACCTTTAATCTTTTGGTGGTATGCAGGTTCCATATGTGGGCTTGAACTTTGCAGTCTATGAATCTCTAAAGGACTGGCTAGTGAAAGCAAATCCATACGGGCTGGTACAAGATTCCGAATTGAGCGTTACAACGAGGCTTGCATGTGGTGCTGCTGCTGGAACAGTTGGCCAAACAATTGCTTATCCACTTGATGTTATTCGTAGAAGAATGCAAATGGTTGGGTGGAAGGATGCTTCCTCAGTTGTCACTGGTGATGGAGGAAGCAAGGCTTCTCTTGAATACAATGGCATGATTGATGCATTCAGAAAAACAGTTCGTCATGAGGGCTTTGGAGCATTGTACAAGGGTTTGGTTCCCAATTCAGTCAAGGTTTGTCTCATCATCCAGTTCCAATTTTATGTTTTAAGATATAGAGTTCCAATATCACTTTTTTTTCCTCTCATGGTACTTGGAATTGATTATGTTTGCTAAAATAACCTTTTAGTAACATGCCAAGTCGCTAGTTTGACTGTTTCTATTTTATTGCACGCATTCCAGGTTGTACCCTCCATTGCAATTGCATTTGTGACATATGAGGTGGTGAAGGATTTGTTAGGAGTCGAGTTTAGAATATCCGACTGAAAAGCTTGGATTCTTCACCCGTAATCCTCGAAAGGACTTCTATATTTGTAGCCGATGGGGAAGAAGAGAAGTTAAATTAGGGCATATTCCATGACCTTGTGCTTCATTCATGGACAAGCTAGCCAAACTATTTCAACGTTTTGGTTATATATTGGGTTTTTTGCCAGTTTTCTGTTTTGTTTCCCCTGCGCTCATATTGTGGCTTCTTGCTGCTGAATTAACAATAAATCAATGGCTTGAACTATACAAATCCTATTGATAGGACGAGGAAAAAATCTCATTTTGGAGGATTAATATTTTCCGGATCTTGTGATACATACAACGGTGTTACCTTCAATTCTGTGGCGTATCTGATAACTGCAGTAGAAAAATCATCTGTATAATATTCTCGCATGGAAAATTTTATTGTCTTGCAGTCTAAGCAAGTTCGGAATCAGATACATGGCCAGAGCGCGATCCATGTACCTTCGGGCTTGCAGACATCTGTTGACTCTCGAAGTTGATTCTTATGCTTCGCCCTCTGGGGCTCTGTTGGGGAGGCCTCAATCGTCCTCTGGGACTCACTGCCAGAAATGTAAAACGAGCAGAAAATGCTGAGACAAGGATAAGTAACAAAGGCAAGATTTTGGTTTCATTTTGTTGTTTTTTATAATCTTACCTAGTTCTTGAATTGGTTTCAGGCCAGTTCTCTTCAGAAGGGGTGAAGGACGCTTCTTGCTAATACCAACTTCGTTTGAGCTCGAGAGCCTCCGTTCAATAATGGATGGTACCTGATCATCCGGTGCAGCACCATTTTCATCGCCGCTAAGGGAAGTCCTATCGCTACCTGATTCAGAATTGTCCCTGGGATCGCTCGTGCTGCTTGTCTTTTCCCGCTCCACGACCCTATAGGCAAACATCTGGAATGGAATCTGCGAAACTGCAGGTATGTCTGTGGATTCCCAAGAAAGTTTCTGTGACAGTTTTGTTTCGATCTCGTGGTAATCCACACCAGGGGCAAAGGGTGTGTCTTGCTGGCTGCTGTGACCTTCTGGATTCAATGCCAGAAACCGTTTGATGTACCTTAGAATTCTGCAGATTGATGAGAAGCTCGGACGCTGGTTTGGGTCGGTATGCCAGCATCTTTTTGTCAGATTTGTGACGTATTTGGGCGAATGGAAGGGAAACAGAGGTCTCTCTCCGGCTCTAATGTTTCTGCTCATCTTCTCTCCTTGCAGATGGCTGTCCTCAAATGGTACTTTACCGGTCAGAAGTTCAAAGCAAATCATCCCGAAGCTGTACACGTCCGATTTATCAGTATACTTGAGAGTTCCTGCAGTTCCGCTCTGCTCTTGCTCTTCTAACACCTCCGGGGCATACCATATGAATGGAAAGCTCTCGTTCTGACCCGAAGGAGCCGCTTTGTGAGAGAAACCCTTGACAGAGTTCAGACCAAACCCTGAAATCCTCGCGTGCAGATAATGGGCATCTCCCGGATGGGTATTATTTCCTTTTGGTTTGACAAGAATGTTTGAGGGATTCAACTCCCCGTGGTATATTCTCTTCGAGTGAAGATATTCCATGCCGCGTGCTATCTGAAGCATCAGATCAACCGCTGCTGGGAGAGAAACAGTATTCTTCTTTCTCAGGCCGTATACCTCTTTGACGTGGGTACAAAGGGTTCTGCTCATCAATTCCATGATCAAAAAACACTCTTTGCTCTCTTCATCAGTGAATCCACAGAGGCTGTTCTCAATGTGTGGGTGGGAAAGGGACAACAGTTGAGAAACTTCTGGAAGCAAAGCCTCCATGTCCCCGTAGAACTGCCTCAACGCAAAGTTCTCCCCTAACCAGGTGATCTCCTTGTACTGGCCCTGGCCCTGGCCCCCATTCCCTAATCTCCGTTTCACTTGGTAATCCTTTGTTTTAAGGAGAGAGTACGGCAGGAGCCTGGGGGAGTTCAAATTCTCGTGTCCGTTCTCGAGGTTCTTCAGGAGAAAGTCAGCGAGCCTTGTGTCGTGGTTTTTACCGGACCCCGAGTTCTTCTTCTTCTTCTTCTCCTGGAGCTTGTTAATGAGAATCCAACGATCCTCAGACCAAGCGCTCTCGAACCGGCAGCAGAAATCGGAAGAAACCAGGTACTGTTTACCGAACTTCCACTTAAACATCTGAGGGTCTTTCCATTGGATCATATACTTGTTGGAGTGAACCAATCTCTTCTTGCTCATCTCATCCTCGCTCCAACCGGAGATCTCACCGGCCATCTCGATGGCTTCAATGACGCTGGGGAGACAGGAGAGGAGGTTGTGGATGTGAAGCTCGACGCAGTCCCTGTTCTGGGAGAGGGAAAGGGCCTTTGCCCACCAGTCGTTAGGTTCCAAACAAGTGCGGATGAACAGGTCGGCTTCGCGTACGACAGAGAGTAGGTCCCGTAGGGGTTGTTCTAGAACCTTCCATTTGGGGGTATGCTTCTCTTGGAAACGGAGGTTGTCGTTCATCTCTTGGGAGATGGAGAGGTAAGCGGCCGTGAAGATGTCGAGCAACAGACAGCACTGCCGCCGGTTGATGGAGATGGTGTCTTTGAACACCATCATTGCCCTCATGCTCCCTATTGCCTCCCCTATCTGCCTAAATTGTTCCATCCTTCCCCTTTTTGTTCCTTCGTTTTTTTCCGGCAAAAACAGAAGATCTCTCCAGGGGTAGAGACCCAAACCCACAAAGGAAGACGAATCTCTCGTGCAATCAGAAAGTTATGGAGTAATTATTCTGACAAAATAACCTAGACACAAGAATGAATGACGAAATGGAAAAAGTTCGATTCCGTTAACCTTAAGAAAGCGTAGGGGATATTAGTTGGAAGTCAGCGATTGTCTGATTTTTTTTTAGGTGGGTGCTGTCGTTAAGGTGCTGTTCTTCTGTTATTTCTCTCGTTTTACTTTTTATTTTTGTTTCTGTTTTTATTTGAATTTCTTTTTGGGGGGGTGCAATTTTAGAGGGTACACATAAACGACGTTCACCGCGTCCCTTTGTCTGACCCAAATGTCCCCCTCCCCCCCCCTCTTTCTGTCGCTCTGTATTAGCTTTGGTGTTTTCATGAAATGGACGTTCTCTGTTTGGCTTTTTATACCTACCTGTCTTCTTTTCTATGAATAAATCTATCAAACCACCACATTAGCCTTCTTATAAGTGTGTGGACATTGGAAAACTTTTTCTACAGTGAAATTCAAAATTATTCTTCATGGTTGTATTTATTAATAATCCTTACAACTAAATGATATGTTGGTACACACATTCACTTCGCATGTTTTTTCTTACGGGCTTCTTGACCCCATCACTGAACTGGTTTATACTGTACGATGTTCGTGTATATCACTTGTGTTATTTCTTCTCTCTTTATTTTTTTGGTCGGAATAGATCATGAGGGATGATAGGTTGCTCCACGTAGACTCCACGAACCGAATTATCATCTGATAACCGAGATGACCACGCGATGGAAGGATTTTATATCAACAATTTCCTCTTCTTTTTTAAACCTATGATAAGGTGGATTGTGTTTGCAGGAGATTATTACGTTGCTAATATCGTGTTTTACAATTATTTTACTTAATTGCCAAAATAAAATATGATATGGAATCCTTGTCATTCATCCCACCTTTCTAATATGGTCAGTCGAAATTAAAGATTCGACGATGCGAAAAAAAAACATTTGCATTTCAAAAGATAATTGGAAGACTAAGTTCTCACGCGCCATTGACTTGCGAATCTCCGAAAACGCGGAGTTAGCCCCAGTTCCATGGGCTATATAACTCATCAAAATCCAGCGCGTGCTACCTACGCTCCTAACACGCGCGTTGTATTTATTTTACTGCAGATCTAAAGCAACCTAGTCATAGGGCCGTTAAAGCCCAAACCTTAACTCCGTTCGTAACGTGCGACATCCTCACAAACGTGGGCTTAAGCCCATTAAAAAAAGGTGGCCCCTAAAGACAGGATTTTTTAATTCAGCCCCCTATACTTTATGTACTTTTCACTTGTAGCCCCACAATTATGATTCAGAACAATAATGCCTCCCAAGATTCAGTTCCCTCGCTTCTTTCAAGTGTCACAATGTTCTCCACATGGAATGGAACAATCAAATCATCTATCGTGTTCTAATGAGATCAACAGCAAACGAGGTCACATGCTAACCACTCTAATCCATCATATGAAGCAGCTAATGAATCCACGAATCAAATTACAACATCATCATCGGCTCTCTCATTTCGAAAACCAAACTCAATTCCACAGTCCACACAAAGAGGAAAGATGCTTGATTGATGGCACTTACATTTTATACATAAGACAGACGCCCCTCAGGGTGGGGAACTTGTTCAGCCCATAGCGTATTTCTGAGTCCAGCTTCTAGCGGTGGACTCGTACTTTGCCCTGTCAGTCTTGTACATGTGCGCTATTTCTGGCACCAGCGGGTCGTCCGGGTTTGGGTCTGTCAACAACGAGCATATCGATAGCAATACCTGAATCACAATACATCATACACACTTTTCAATCTGTTTGAAATGTCAAGACTCAAGACACAGAAAGCTTTGATGAAATGATAAAAAGTGGAGAAAGGGGTACTTGACTTTCAGAAATTTACATCTATGCCTAAGCCTAATGTCAGTTGCATATACCCATAGATATATATTTTATTAAGAGGTAGTAAACCCACCTTTGATATTGTCAAGGCAGGGCTCCACTGCTCTTTCAAAATATCAAGGCAAATGCTGCCATTGCTGTTGATGTTTGGATGGAAAACTTTGGTCCTAAATGCTACCTGCGGGACAAGTAGCATTTGCAACACAGATTGCTTTTGCTCGTAGAAAAGAAGGTGCCCTCTAGTCGAATTTGAATCGTAACAAATAAAATGACACAATTACATACCTTGGGAGGTTTGAATGGATAATCAGGGGGGAAGTGTATGGTAACTAAGAAGACACCCCCTGCATAAGGGCTATCAGTGGGACCCATAATTGTTGCTTGCCAATGGAACATGTCCTCAGCGACAGGCCCTGCAATTGCATACATTAACTAGGTTATGACAACACCACTCGTTTGATAGCATGACATCCGGGCAACTAACAAAGGCGCCTCCCCGAGCAACATCCGGCTCGTCATAATAACACCTAGAGAAATTCTGTCCACACTACTCAACAGTCTAATGAACGACACATGCAGAAACAATCGATGTTATTCTGCCACATGTCCACAGAAAACTTTATACAGCCGCCCCGAGCTGAGAAACGCATCATGCGATGATGAATTGACTCAGTAATCTATCCAATGGCCCGACAGAGACCAAGTAAAACAAGAATCAAGCTACTCCTTCGAATATTGACGAAGTTTCAAGGTCTAAACTTGGACGAATTTAAAAGCTTTCAAGCATACAATTCTAGAAGTCACCACCGATATGTTAAGTGTGCTAAAACGAGGCTGGACATTTCCCGGGACAACATAACAAAGAGCAAGTTCCAAGCATTAAGCAAGGTAACTAATTTGCTAAGAACAAAACAGCGACATGAATCCACGTCCAAAGAAGGGTTTTTTCCTGTATCCCTGATGCCTAGATCACCACCCTCAACAACATGACACGGATCGGAAGCCCTAACTTCTAATTCCGCACAAAGGACCCAGGCTAATGATCTGAATTGGTTATCAACGACCGAAATACCGTTTTTTATTTCAGACGGAAGACAACCCAAACTCGTTCTTTGATGAACGAGCGAAATGCTTCAGATTAACAAGTTAACAACAAAATCAAACACGGAAAAGGACAAAGAAAATTCATCGATCTGATCAGAACATTGCCAAATTGATCACGTCAGACAAACAACTAAGAGAGAGAGAGAGAGAACCCGAGAAGACGAAAAAGAAAAAGGAGAAGGGAGATCTCACCGGCGCTGCAAGATGTAGGAGGATCTTTCTGGAGATCCTTAAGCTCCTTGAGGATCCGCTTCGACGCCATGGACACAGCTTGTCCGGCGAGAGAGAGAGAGATCTGAAAAGAAGAGATGAGGTTTGTGTCGGGGTGCAATGCGTGGAGGCGACGCGGAAGGGAAATACCAGTTTGGTAATTTCGTGGAAATAGAGGGGCCATTTAGTTTTGGATTGGTTGTCCAAATTGACTATTTTCTTTTCTTTTTTTTGGTAATGAATTGACTATTTTCTTCTCCCAAACTAAACCGTTTATTATTATTATTAACTGTGAGTATGATGATGATAACATACAATCTGTCGGTGTGAATTAGCAAAAGAAAAAAAAAATACACACACAAACCGTCGTAAAAAGCTGAAATTATGTCGTGTTGCCGCGTGGCCGTCACCGGGTGAACAAGTATTGGAATCCTGGGACTCACCAATTTAAAATCAAAGATTACATAAAAGAAAACATCATTAAATGGCGGAGGGTTGAAGTCGTTATCAACTCTAATACACGCTCGACGAAGTGACGAGAGTTCCGGCATTAAATATAAAATGTCTCTCGATCTCCCCCGTATCAGCTAAGTTTGCCTAAAGAAGGGGAAGGGGGCAGAGTCCCACACCTTCCCATTAATGTTTTACATCGATTATTGCAGCACAATGCACACCTTTTTACCTTGCAGTCTAAAAATTCCCTGAAGGCATCATCAGAGGTTAATTAGATTATCGGAATCCCCCACCTCCCGACAACGAGCAGAGAGAGAAGCCGGTTCTGGTCAGCTAGCAGCCACAGGATGGCTCAAGTCCACGAGTTGATGTTTCACCTTCTTCGAGGTCTTCTCATATGTTGTCTCCCCTCCTGATCCACCTCCTTCGTTGTTTTCAACTCTAGATATAAGGTTCTCTGTCTTTCCCCTCCCCTCCGCTGCTCCCAGTTTTTCCTGCATCGCCACCAAAAGCCTTCACTTAAAAGCCCTGCCCTGACTTGTGTAAGTAGGACGTATAACACAATCAACAGACGGTACCAGTAACTCTTCCTTCTCCAACCGTAGTTTCTCTGACTTCTCATTTAGCAAGTTCAGCTCCGACCTTAGTGTCATGTTCTCTGTTGCTAGTGAGTCAACTTTACGGGCTAGTTCTTCCGCCTCCGCCTACATTAAGAATCCGATTAACTGGTTGGCTTAGTTAAAACCTCAACCCATACGAATAATGCAAAACTGGGACTTCAGCTTCCATCACAAGTTTAGACAATACAAAAAAGAAGTACACAACCGCATAAACTTTTGGACTATAGATATGCATTATGTTCACCTGCTTTCTCAACCTTGACCTCCTCGCAGATTCTCTGTTGGATTGTTTCCTCCTCTCCCGCTTCTTCTCCTTTTAGGTACGCACAAAAAAAAAAGATGCATGTGAGGACAGCACAAAAACAAACCAAATCTAGCACTATATTTGGATAACAAATCTGTTAAGGCAATAGTTCGTTTGAAGACTGAAGTGGATGTCCTGAAGATCACAACTTGAAGCAGAGAATAACAATGACAACTCTAGTTACAACACCTGTAACCATACTTCGGGGGGTATGACTGTGCAAGGCTGTATGGCTCCATTCATGCCAGAAGAACCTTGGAGCTCTAATGATGTGTGCATAACAGGACGCACCATAGTGGCTGTGGGTTTTCCATTCATCGACTCTCTGGTAGAAAGTGGGTTCACCTGTGTCGGAGGCCCTCCATCTATAGGTGTATGAAACAAGATGGAGCAACCACATTTCCAAAATATTGTCATAACTAGAAGAATATTCATACTTGTATCTGACACACACGGCATGGCTGAGAAAGAGTAAGAAACATATGCACACAAAATGACTAGGAGTAATCATAATATTATATAGTCTTAACATTCTGTCGGAGAAAATGGTGTTGAGCAAAAATTGTAGTTCATCAAGATACAAAAGTAGGAGAAGAAATACCCATTGCCGATGTTCCTTCTAGGCTCCTTTTCCTTTTGGATTGTTCACCCTGCAAAGTGTACATCCATTAATACATCACAACAAAAATAATTGATACATAAAAAACTGGCTTGCAGGAGGGAGGAGTAATCCATACCCCAGTTGTATTGCTATAACTTCCATTGCTAGAACCTTCGTTCTCTGAGCTATTGACATAGGAAACAAGTCTGGTGGTTAGACAAGGAAGTCAAACGACCAAGTTCCAAGAACGAAGGGATCGGACGAATTGTCAAACCTCTGGGAAGTCCTAGGTTCATCTTGTTCAGACCTCTCAACTTTGTCATTGCCTACTGACATTGCAAGTCCATCAAATTCTTTCAATTTCTTCATGAACCCTTGATCTGTATTCCCTGGAGTTTTTTTTGGAGTATCCATGCTCAAAGGAGCTGTTGCCTGCAAACCCATTCAAGCTCACATCTACCATATGCTTTGGAGAGAGTCCACATAACAAACATATGAAGACAATAACTTACAGCAGGCGCAGGTGAAGCTTGGACAGTTGGACCTTGCGTCTGCATCAAAATGAAACGACAGAAATACAGAATCAGGAAAAAGAACTAGTTCACCAAAACCCGTACATACTTTTTTAAATATATAAAAAAAAGACTCAGGTTAGTGATTGTATGAGGTTGTTGTCAAGTGAACTGACTCTAGGGGAGGTAAAAGACCGAACAAGAAAAGGGATGAGTACCATAGGAATCCCAGGATGAGCATAAACTCCACCAGGAGGGCAAAATGCTGGATATGGTGCCCCATAAGGTGCCATCATCGGCTGTAAGAGTTAAACAACAGTCACACTCAATACATGACAGATGAACATGTAATTACCATACATCTATTTGAGAAGGTTCAGTTGAGTACCGATGGAGGGGCCCAGATATAAGGCGGTGGGGCATGACCCGGTGCCACGGTTGAGTTGTAATACGGAGGAATGACAACTCTAGGGCCATAATATGCCTGCAGATGAAACCAGTAAATGAACAGTGTACTGGTAAACGCAAACAGGAAAGGAAAAAGTAAGACCAAAGAAGCCAACCTGCATCGCTCCCCAATCAGGATACACATGAACATTGCTCTGCTCCTGTGATTAGAAAGGCATATGTGTCTATCAGACTCAGATACACCATCGCTACTAACCCCACAAGCTTTGGTTTATTCTAAAGCTAAAACTAAAAGCTTAGCTTTAAAAAAAAAAACTAAAAGCTTAGGAACATAGCATCTTCAAAACTTACAGGTGCAGATGGCGATGATTTCTCAGACTTTGAGGACTTTCCTTCTTCATTGCTACCCATGTCTCAGTGCAAAAGGGAACTGAAAAGCCTCTCGAGTAGTTTTCTTGCCCTAAAACCAAATCGCTGTGACTTTGCCAGAAACTACCGGGAAGAGATAGAGCAAAACAAACACAAACTCTGTCAGATTTTCCAAACTCGGTCAGATATCTACTTTCCGACACGTAAGCAGAGATCGAGACGCCATAAAATTCTTTTGTTGGGCATAAATCTACCAGTTAATTACTCAACTAAGGTCGGATCTTACGATTTTGACCATCAAACAGAATAAAGATGTCGGAGCAAAAAAAAAATCAAACAGATCCATATAAGTATTCAGTCTCTCGTGTAGTAACTATCAAATTTAGAGAATTATTTCATTTTTCTTCCGGTTTCATTCTGCTTCCTCAATCTAACGACTGGAGTTTTCCCTATGCAAAACACCACTTGCACCGCAACTGTGCTATAGCTATTTCCCTCTTCAATTTCATTCCTCTCAAACTTTCTGAGGAAACAAACAGAAAGCAACACACCGGAGACGGATAATTTGAATTCTCGAATTCATTGCTCCATCGAAACCAAACTCGTTCGGTAGAATCAGACGTACCTTCGATATGAAGAACTCCGCGCCGCAGGATTTTGCCAAGAAAATTAGTAATTTAACCTAACAATTCCTAGTCAAAAACGAAGAACAAGTTCAAGATGAAGCTCTATTTCTCTCGTTGATTTCTCCAGAAACGGTTTCTTTGTGCAGGCGAGAGCCCGTTAGGGAGAGGGAGAGGAGAATGAGAGAGAGAGGGGGGGGGAGCGCCAAGGTTGATGACCACGTCACCGGACACGTGTCAAAATCAGAAGGGCTTGTAGGAACGACGCATATACTGTGGCCTGCCGAGCTGGCCACCGAGATCTGCGCTGGACCGTTTGAGTTAATTCATTAAGATATGGCTCCATCGGCTCGCATACGTGGTTCAATCTAAACCGTCCGTTGGTAAGTCCACCATCTTATGTGGTGTTTACTTTTCACCTCTTCTGTTTTTTGTAACATTTAACTGTAATGCATAACTAATTATTTAATTAGGCTTTTTTTTTCTTCTTTACCTCAAAATTAATTATACGTTTTTCCTTATATCTGAATTTTTTTTAACCAATAAATATGTATTTGCAGGTTTCGTTTTATAGAAATTTTCAACTAAATTCGGAGCCGAACTGGTAAATAATTACCGGAGGTAAATTCGGTAGATGATCAACAAATCTTTGTCTCGAACTGCTATAGGAATCTAAAATCTTGGCCGTCCGTTTTTTTATGCTGATTCAAATCCACTTTCCCAAGTCATCTCATGAGAGGCCCACGTGTACGCCACCGTCCAGAAATACAATTAACATCGACGGTTGATATCTATTACATCTGACGGTTATGAATCAGCCACGCCATTACGAATCACCCGGAATCTAATGCCAACGAAGCATTAATTTTATGAAATGCAAACCAAAAGATTCAAGTTTGTCCTCAATTAGCAATAAGACTATTCTCGATATTTGTTCCAACAGAAATAAATAGTAATATTCTATTGGACGTGTAAATGTAAATAAAACAATTTGCATTTTGTTTCCCAGCCTTTATAAATATTAAACTGAACTATAATAAACGCTTGTATGGAATAATACAAGAAAAAAGGAAATATTTTATTTTTATGTTCACAACAGGAATAAATAATTTTTCAAAAAACTAGGACTATTATTTCAACGTGTGTTAGAATAAAAATGAAATATTTACCTATCAATTTTGCATACTGCACGGATACAATCAATAAAATTAGATTATTATTAGAAGCATAGCATGACTTTTCTACCATGTATTAAAAAACGTCAAAATAAAAAAAAAAGGGAGAGTGGTCCCCACCACATTGGTCCTGAGGCTGACGTGTCGCACTCAGGGATGACAGCATTATGGGCCCATGGACAAGGTGGGATTCGTAGCCAGCTCACATTGTCACGGTCACCGGGTGTGGTGTGGCCTTTGCATGTGTCGCCACGTCGGATTCCCCGCGTGCTGGCCCAACCTTTCCTAGCCTTTGGTGCACCAAAACTATTTACATCAATTAACTCATTCTCATTCGGTAATTATTAATTAGAGCCTGTATGAATATATAATATTTTATAATGATATGAAACAGAGCCCAATAAGATGGTTCTTTTGATCTTTTTTTTTGGGTAATTTAGTTGGTGGAAAACTATTGTCTTGACGAAGTAGAAGTGGTCCAAATAAGTGTACCACATCTCTAAACGCATCATCCGCCTGGTGCGATTGTTATTTAAAATCAAAGAACGTAGCCGGGCAATATCCGACAAGGTGACGTGTCGTCGAGGCGACTTGCAAGTGGGACCCGGTTGACGTGGACTTTAAGGTAAGATCTTTGAGATTGGATCCGATAAAGACATAAACTGAAATATCGTATATGCCCTCGAGGGTGTTACGTAATAACGGTTGAACCTTGAGGGGGGGGGGAGATTACGATGATGCCCACCACCAACCAAAGCCCAAACAAGTTTATAAGTATGGGCTAACTGGGAAGTAGAGAGGCTTTATCTTGTCTATATTTGGGCCTACTTTCTCTGGCACTTAAAAAAAAAGGTTTTAAAAAAATGTAATTTTAATAAGTTTTCCGAACAAATTTTATTAATTAGAAAACTTGGTTTTTATGGGAAATTGACAAATGAAGTAAGGATTCATGTCCAAAAGGTAAACTCTATCATCCGCGTCACCCGTGAAGATAAGAACAAATTTTAACCGTACATGATATTTGGATTCGAACATATATATGGTTAGGAATTCATGTAGGGATGTATACAAGCGATTGTATTTTTCTGTATTTGCTAAATCAAAATCATACGCATTTCAATAAACACACACACTGAGTCACTGAAACACGTAAGGATCCGACAAAAGTGTATTCACAACACCGACAAATCTCTCTCCCTCGCACTATTCACTTATCAAAACCCAAATCCAGGAGCTCTTCTTCTTCTGAACTTTTTTTTTTTTTTTTTGCAGATCTTTAAGGAGATGGGTCTGGGTTTAAACAGGGGAATTCCCAGTTTGCTGAAAATATCATGCATGGTTATTGTCGTAATGATTTCGTCAGAATTGGCAGATTCGAAGTGTGAAATCGAAGGAATATTCAATTTCGGAGATTCGAATTCGGACACGGGAGGATTCTGGGCAGCATTCCCGGCTCAAACGGGGCCATGGGGATCCACCTTTTTCAAGAAACCGGCCGGCCGTGCCTCCGACGGCCGCCTCGTCATCGATTTCTTGGGTAATGCCAATGCCGCAGTCACAACTCATAGGCACAAGCAATGTTTTTTAGTCTATGTATGCATGTTTATTGGGTTGGCACGTTATATTATCAGCTCAAGCATTGGGGATGCCGTTTATAAGCCCGTACCTTCAATCGATCGGATCGGACTATAGACACGGTGCCAACTTCGCAACGTTAGCCTCTACTGTCCTTTTGCCCAACACTTCCCTGTTTGTCTCCGGAATCAGTCCCTTCTCCCTCGCGATCCAACTCAACCAAATGAAAGATTTCCACGTCAAAGCCCACCCTCATCCTCATTCATCGGGATCCAGTATCCTTCCTCCGCCCGACATTTTCGGAAAATCCATTTACATGTTCTACATTGGTCAGAACGATTTCACTTCCAATTTAGCAGCCATTGGTGTCGAGGCTGTCCGGCAATTCCTTCCCCAAGTCATCGCCCAGATCGCTTCTACCATTACGGTAACATATACACACACACATGTATAGTAGCTTATAACCCATGATTTATGTTAGCTTTGGAATATAGGAGATATATGGGATAGGGGGGCGAACGTTTATGGTGATGAACCTAGCACCGGTGGGATGTTATCCGGCGATATTGACCACATTCCGTCATAACCATTCCGATGTAGATGCGTACGGCTGCTTGATCTCCGTGAATAACGCCGTTGATTACTATAACAGTCTACTCCAGCAAGCCCTGGCAGATTCTAGAGCTCGGCTCGCGAATTCTACTATCGTCTATTTGGACACTAACAAGATCCTCCTCGACCTCTTTCGACACCCTAAATCCTACGGTATGTTCTCTCAAAATGTTCAATTCTGTTGTGTGTGGATGTTCTTGATTTTTTAGCCTTTTGTAATGCCCATGTAAGAGTTTGGTAGTCTAGTAATTTTTTGTAGTATTTAGCTGTTTGGTAGGGCCTTGTATGGTTTAGGTTAAAGCATGTGTTGAAGGGTCGTTCTAGTTGGAAATCTCCCCCGGTTAAGCTCGATTCTACTTCATTCACATAACCGGTCGGTTAACCGCTTGTCCATCTGTGGTATCCTTAACCGGACTCTTTTTTTTTGTCTCCCTTCAAAGGCATGCAACATGGCACAAGAGCTTGCTGTGGGCACGGCGGCGGTCCGTACAACTACGACCCGAGACTCTTCTGCGGCACGACCAAAGTCATCGATGGTCGGTCCATGACGGCCTCAGCCTGTACGGATCCCTACAACTACGTCAGTTACGACGGAATCCACGCCACCGAGGCCGCAAACCGCCACATCTCCGCTGCCATTATCGACGGCTCGATCTCTCACCCTCCGTTTGCCCTCTCTCATCTCTGTCGTATTCACAGCTTTCCCTGAAAATGAGTCTGTACTGTACCAACGGATGTGACGAATTAAAACGTTTTATTATGAGTTGTTAGATTTATGGGGGATTCTTTAAATTGCAATAATTAATCTTTATTTATATTTGTCTTGGTCTAACCCTGATTTATCCGCATTTGATACTGTTATTGACATTCACATACACCCATTAGCATACGTACGTGTGTTTAAAATATGTTCGTGTGCGTCCAATAATAAATGCGACTGCTATTGGGGCGACGGTCCAAACGAATATCGATTTGTTTTTAGATACACTTATATCACATACGTGATTATTTCAATTGCTCACTATCTTGGCATTAAGACAAAACTGAAGTATATTTATATCCGTCTTATGGGAATCAAAAAGTAAACTTTACAGATCGATTATTCTCTTAATCATTTTATTCTTATTTATTTAAATTATAAAATAATAAATAGTTAGTTTAGTGGTATTTTTCTCGTCACATTTTCATGCGCTCGAACTTGTAAAATATCGACTTTAATATAAAGTCAAGGGAATTGCTGTCTTTTTCTCTGTCGTATGTGGAGTATCTTATATCATATGGATATTTTATAAATTGAATATTACGAGGCCGAAACAATGAATATAATACTAGATTGTTAGGGAATTGAATTGAATATATGAACACTTCGTTTTTGTTTGACTAAACCCATTAATTATTGCTCAACACAAACACTCTATATCCATTTCAAACATGGATTATAATTTTTTTTTTATTAAAATATACTCGATTTCACATTTATATAGAGGTATCGAACGGTTATATTTCGGCAAATTTATTCCTATTCTACTTGGATACCGACATTGCATGTTAAAGTCTTATGAACTCTTGTCTTTTTTTTTTTGGGTAAATTGTAATATATATACAAACACTGGCACACATAATCAAATACTTATTTTTACGAAAACATTTCTGTTTTCATGGTATACTTACGAGAATATTTTTATGGGAGCAGGGAGATAACATAACAAATGTCAAATAGTTTTCACCCTGAGTGTAAATAAACCGAAAGAAACAAATTTGGAAGAAAAAAAAAAACACTGTGCATTGAAATGGAACTAGAACAAGAGATCACCAAAAAAGAAAAGAAAAAACTAAAGAGGAAACGAGGAATTAATCTGTCGGAAGATGAAGATGATGATGTTCAAGAGAAGGCTGGGTTCTGGCCATTGCCGCAGTCGGCATTCTGCTCCGACCAATCCAGACATATCCAATGGCTTCGCTCTTCTCCGATTCTCTCTCCATCTCTCTCATCTTCTTCTTCCTCACTAACTTCGCCGCCATAACCGCTACCACCGTAACCACAACGAATATTCCGGCAGCCACCAACGCCAACCACCACCACTTCAGCTTCAGTGCTCTCTTCTCCTGTTTCTGATTGGGAATCACCAGTGCGAAACGCCCAGAGGAGCTCCTAGTGGCACACTCGTAATTCCCAGTCAGGTTGCTGAACTCTATCGACCCGTTGTTGTTGTTGCTCTTTTCATCGACAAAGGCGACGCATCTGATCGAATTCTCGTCCTTTCCGATGTGGGTAACGTCCGAATCGAAGCGAATCGAGATTACATCGTTGTCCACGATTGAAAAATTCAATTTTTCGTCTCCCATATCATTCGGGTTCGTCGCGTCATAGGCGCTGAACCCAACAACCGGCGAAACAAATGAATAACCTGCCACCCGGAAGTATCTGGACGACGAGTTCCCGAAATTCTCGTACAACAGAGCTATTCTCTTCGCGTACGGCGTCGTTTTAACCAACGGAGGGATGAAGAAATGGCTAAAGTTTGCTCCTTTTCTCCAGAACATGCTGTTTCGGACCGTAACAACCGAAGCTTCGACGCCGGAGAGATTCGCCGGAAGTGTGATCTTGTACAGAGAGCCTGTATGTGGTCTCGGATTCGTACGAGCGGCATACGTACGGATCAGATCGTCCAAATCCTGATCGTTGGCGCAGTGAATGGTCACGGATGATAAAGAGATTGCGCAGAAGATGATAATGAGACTGAGATTCGAATGGTAAGATCCCATTGGGGAGATTCAAGGACGACCCAAATGAGTTTTCTTCGTCTCCATCTACGTTTCAGTATCTGCTGAAGGGAAAGCGATGAACTTGGTCGGAGGATGTGAACGAGAATTCAGAAAAATTAGGGATCCGAGAAATGAACCAGATTGATCCTTATAATGAGGCCGAAGCATCAAAGGGAAGCGCCATTAATCATGAAGAGAGAAGGGAGATCCCGAACGAATCAGACAACAGAGAGAGATTGGGGATTGTGAGCTGTATAAGAGAGTGGAGAGGTCACAGATGCTTATATATATATAAATATGTATATATACGCACACACAAAGGCATGTATCATTAATAAAATGTGGAACAGCTGCATGAAGATGGATCTGATGAATGCGTGTTGTTTATGGTTAACTAAAGCAATGGGGAAGTTGAAAGACGGTATTATACTCGTAAGCTGTGCCCTAACGCCGAGTTTTCCGAACCGTTATTTTAATATACAAATTGTATAAATAAATAATTTTCTTGCTTTAATTTGAGTAAAAAGGGATATTTATCTGTGAATTATCAGATTTATTGAGAATCTTGAAAACTGGCATGATGTTGTTGATGTAAATAAATTCTCAAGTAGTAGATTTATTGAGTAAATAAATTACGGAATAATAAGAAGAGGGTAATGTTTAAGAAGTTTTACGATTTTTTAAACGAGAAATATTGAGTATTAGTTAGTGGTTGAAAATGCCAACGAAGTGTACGGTGGGAGACCCATCACTCTATTCAGCGGCTTCTTTATTTATTTCTTCACCCAATTCGTTTTTTAAAATCATTAATTTGTTTATTCAACCATTTTTTAAATTATAATTATGTTTCCTTTTTTTTAAAAAAAGAATTTTTTTACTTGAATTATAGAGAAAAAAGAAAAAGGGTATGGGCTTACTGGGCCGTGGCCACAGGCTCCAAATGGGCCAACAGGATGTGAAACGTTTTAAGATAAGAGCATTGACCAATCAAAGCACAAGGATTGTCCACGTGTCAGAAGGCGATGATCTTTTTTTCTTCCTTTTTTTTTGATAACGGTAAATTTTGCCGATGATCTTTAGTAGAAAGGACTGAGAAAATCGTCGGAGAAAGTCCAGGAAGAATTAGACGAGAGGCGAAGAGGGACAATTTCTCGGCGCGCTTCCATGGCGATAACAGCAGCAGCATCGTCCTCCATGTCCGTGATGGTTCCACCTGTCGCTGCCGTACCGTACCTGCCTCCGCGATCTTTCAGCCGATCGTCTTTCGCTGCTCCGGCGAAGCTTGTTTCAGGTGAGCCATTTTTTCTGGGAATCTCTGTTTCGAATGCGGAGAAATGTAAAATGTCATGTTTCAAAATATAGCTTCCAAAGATTATGGAGCTAGTCGGCCTCGGCTACACAGGGTGGTTCGTCTACAGATACATGGCCAAACCTCTTAATAACTTAAATTGTATTTTGCTTTCTCCCATGGGATCTTTAAGAAGTGATATTTGCAGAACCTCCAAATGAGAGTTTTTGTTAATTGTGACAGTCAAGCAGAAAGGAACTTGCAGAGGATATAGAGTCCCTGAAGAAGAAAATTGCGGGAGAGGCTTCTGTATCCTTATCCTGTAATACATTCTCTCTGTTCTCTTGTTCATATCTGAAAACTCTCTAAATGTATTCGAGACGAACAAACCCAGAGATAGTTCCAGAAAATATAATTGAATTTTCCAGAGACTGAACACGTACTTTAGGATGACGTCAGCCTTGCCGTCCTGGAAATCATCCAAACCTTCTTGTGTGACGCACCGACCGCTCCTCAGCATCCGCCCTCTCTCTTCCGGTTATCCTTTCTGTAGGGGCCGCTCACGTGGAGAGACTCACACACAACTCTAAATAGATTTCTCATGGCAGTATAAAAATCAGAGAATTGGATTCAGATGGAAAACCAAAACTCCAGCGAGAAAGAAAGTCAGTTTGGAGGGAGTCTCAAGGTCCTCCCTCCTCTACATGGAAAAATAACCCAGAGAACTTCCAAGGGCAAAACCGGCCAATGATTGATCTATAGGCCTATATATCATGGTGTAGCAAGCATCTGAATTTCCGTTCATCTTCCACAGAGAACTCTAACGGCTACCGCCGGATGGTGAGCTCAGCCCGGAGATGGAGAACGCCATTGATGAAGTAGAGACATTCCTCTGACATGAAGGCTGTCCATGGAATTGCGAACAGGTTCCTGTAGCCTACCGCTTTCCCCCCTGTGAACTTGTAATTCCCTTTGTATTTGCTCACAAACTCCTCCGTCGGTTTCGATCTTGCTGCGAACTCATAGTCCACTGTGAAACTCACCGACCCTTTTTCTTGCATCCCAAGAAACAGCCCAAAGCAGTGGAACGAGTTCTGCTGGTCCATGTTGCAATGAGCCGACAGGAAGAACCCTTGTCCCCCGAGGTGGAATGCCTGCGAATATATCCGACCCGCTGGGTATAGGTTCGAGCATTCTTCTCGTTTTAAGTCCAGGTAAACTACGCACTGAGGGCGCGGAGCTTCAAATTCCAGAACTTTCACGGGTCGGTATCTGTAGGCTCGTTCTACAAACCTGTGGTTCAGAGAGGCGGGTTCTTCAGCAGCTAGAATGCGCTGACGGTGCGGGGCCTCTGCTTTGAAGAAGAGAGCTTCAAGGACAAGCTTGGACGCGACCTCGGTGTCAAAGTCGTTTGAGGTCAGTACTTTCTTGAGTTTTCGGCATGTCATGTGCGGGAAGCGGATGAAGCGGGCCAGACGGGAGCCAAGGATTTCTTGGCGTTCTTCTAAGACAGGGTAATGCGACCTCGCCCATTTCAATACAAAATCGTATACAATATCTTCAGATGCTATTTGGAGTTCATCACTGGACAATATTGCCTCAATACCGGCTAAAGGCAAGGCCATCACCTCCTCCGGAAACCTGTCCAAAAATCTAGAAACATGTGAATAAATTATGGACAATTTTCGGTTTCTTTACCCCTTTTGTGGTAGTCAAGTCAAGGAAGCAAGAATGTACCTAGATATGTCCCTGTAGCGAGACGAGAGAAATTTCTTTGCAGCATCCGTCAAAGGCCGAACTGCTTCTGCCATTAACACGCTTGAGGGAAGGTCCAGATAAAGCAATGCAGACTCAGGTGTCATGGACATATTTCGCAACAGACGGCTGCAATACCTCATGCACGAAGCAACCTCGAACTTGTCGGCAGCCATTAGTACATCGAGCAAAGCAGGGGCCGTCGTGATGGACAGTGAGTTACTATACATGAAATTCAAGAGCTCCATTAAAGCAGCTTCCTCTGAAAAGACACAACATGGAAAACAAGAGAACTACTTATTCTGATGATATCACCACAGCGAATCGAATACAGCAGAGACATAGAAATGTGAGAATACCGGAAGCATCGATTCTCAAGGTTACATGTCTTTGCTCTGACTCTCGCATGCCATTAGAGAACAGCTGAAAAGAAAGAAACATGTTAGAGAATAAGACGTCTCCCACAGAGCAGATATTTAACAAAAGCAATTTTGCAGAAAAGCACACACACACTACCTTGTAGAAAAAAGGGCTTTTGGCTGCCAAAATTGGAGAGCTGATATGCAGTTCTTTAACTCTGACAAATGTGGAACTATCCATCCCCCAGTTCGACTCATTGTCTGATGCACGTTCGTTCAACCAAATCAACGCATGCTCATCAGGACCAAATCCAACTAGAAATGCAATACCTGATTGCGATTCTTCAACAATTGCCATATCATCTCCATGCTCGTTGTCTTCGCCTCCACAATCATCCGTTTCAGGCTGGTCGCCTTTCATATCCGGCTCTGTGGCAAGGTCGAAGGCTGAAAATTGTATCACGATTATCACCAAAGATGACATTGTAAAAAACATATTCTAAGAAGACGGGAAGGGCTATGGTGCAGACAAAACAAAGTTGTGATCAAACTGAAACCAATTTTCCTAAATTCCAGAGACAAACAAATGATAAATTCTGTCCCTCCTCTAAAGTCTGCTGTCCCTCGGTTCCTCGTCAGCCGGACATCAGATTAAACCAAGAACCAAGAAATCTCAAGCAATCACAAATCTGAAATCACTGCTATGAATGCAAGGTTTTATCGACAATCAACAAAAATCTCAGGGGGTGAAAAGGGAAAAAAGGCCTCAAACCGTGATCGTCCTTCTTGACATCTTCTCGCCTGCGCTTGCGATCCCTCACCCAATCGACGATGCTACAGCTCCCTAACTCACCGGCGTCGGTCCTGAGTTCCGAAGTCGAAGGCTCGCCACCGGAGATCTCGATCCGGAGGAGACGGTCGGAGAAATTGACGTCGTTGAAAGCGAAACGGAAATCTCCGTCGTTGGCAGAAGTTGAGAGGGAGGGATCGGAGTCCATGACCATGGTGGGGTGGGAATTGGAATCGTTCATGAAGAAAAGAGTCCGTCCAGACGCGCCTCTCTCTTCCTCACGCCGCGACGATGAAGAAGAGGGAAGACGAAGATGGAGGAGCAGGGGAAAGGAAACAAGGAGAAAGAAGAACGGGAGATCTGAGGGAAGAGGTTAAAGAGGTAAATGAAGCAAATTTAAAAGAGAGCCATTTGTTCCTTATTGAACCGTTCAACGTTTCCTCTTCAACCGCGCTCCCACACACACGCTCATGTGCGTGTGTGTGTATATATATATATATATATATATATATATATATATATGTGTAATTTAAAAATAATTTTTTCCTTAAATAAAATATTCACATACACGCACACATGCAGATCCAAATTGCATTTGACAGATATTCTGGATATATATTTAGAAATTCCGGATATTCAGATTTTCACCTTGGCTTTTCCATTTTCATCACATGTCTCTAGATTTTTTATTTTTTTTTGTAAACTGTATGTAGACGATTACAATTGTCAAATATGAAGACGACAATGAATATTAAAATAATAAATACGTCCCATTAAAAACAAATGAATGGCAGTACTAAATAATACCCAACAAACACGAACGACCATGACAAGCTAATCAAATATTAAATTGACATGTACAATAACGATAAGCTTAGGTCAGTTTGAAGATCATCAATGCGTCAAATAACATATTTTAAATAAAATGACGAGGGTCCTTGGGAATTGATCGGTCTAAAAAGGACAACAACAGAAGCCCAGTATTCGGACAAAGTCCAAGACGTGTCTTTGGCAATTGGCATGCGCGCGCACACAAACAACATTTCCATATGAAGTTAGTTCAGCCACAATCGTCTGAAAATTATTATTCATATCATTAAAAATGCATTGAGCTGGTCAACCCACCATCATTTTCCAATCTAATCCGCGTCATTTTTTTCTTCTTCCAATCTCCGTGAAACATTACACATACACAAATAATAAGTTTGGGAAATGAACAGTCCAAGGAAAAGGCAAGAAGTGTTAGTGAAGAAGGGAGAAGAGACAAAACACACATTCGGATGTCAATGTCTTCACAATCACAAACAAACAGACCTGATTCTGCTACATATACATACATAATACATATATATATATAGAGAGAGAGAGTATAATATCGGTTAAGAAGAGGAGAGGGAAGAAGGGTCGTCGTCAGGGAGGAAGATCTGAGAGACGAAGTCGAGAAAGCGGGAAGAGTAAACCTTGGGATGGACGGCGGAGATGGACTTGGAGTCATGCTGTATGGATTTGTAACAATGCTCGATCCGTTTCCTCACTCCATAGCTTTGGAAAGTGTCGATTATTCCGAGGTACAGCACCACTTCGTACCATTCCTCCGTCCCTTTTATTTTCTTCCCCCTCCCTCCCCCTGTTTCCATCCTTTTTGCCCTTGCTCCTATCTTCATCCCAAAGTTTGTGCTCGACCCGCTTCATCATCAGCATCATCATCATCATCATCATCACAACCATGCATGACTCATGCTCATCTATATATATATATACCTATACAACAGTTTTACCTGTTGAAGAAAGCCTCACTGAGTGTTGATTTGGGAGGCTTTTTCATTTGCGGGGAATCAGCACATTCTATCACCACTGGAGTTGAGTTTATGCTCGCCATAGATTTTATAGAGATTGAACTCTCACTGTCCATCGAATCTGCAAGAATGAACGACTGGCACGGTCATACATATATATATATAGGAAAAAAAATGTAATTAACGAATAAGACTGTCCAAGTTGTCCCACATATTGGGCCATGCAAACGCATTAAGGGTAGTATTGGGGGGTAATTCACCTCTACTAGGAGTGCATGAATACATTGTAGAAGATCTGTCTGGAGAGTTGGAAGCCGTCTTCATAAACAATGAGCTAAAGCTATCGAGAGACTCTGCAATATATCAAGACAATTCTATGGTACATACCAATGTCTTGTCCGATACCACTGTCCTAAAATACATTCAAATTCAACCAAACAGAATGAATATTAGGAGGAAAATATACCTCGAGGTGAAGAGCTGTCGTACACGGGGCTTAATTCGTCAAGTGAACCTGCAGCATGGTTTCTAGAGGACTTTGGTCACATAATAAAGCCAATAATCATTTTGTAAACTTCAGGTTGTTACCTTTAACTGTAAACGCTCCGACCAATGTCATTGAAGAAGAAAGAAAAAGACAAACCTGGACATGAGCCTTTTACTTGCACGCCAAGCATCAAGCTATAATCCATTATGCCCTCCGCTTCCAAAAGTTCACAATCTAGTTTCGCTTGCCTGCAATGGCAAGAATTGAATGAACGCTTAGACAGTCAATGAAAAGGAGTATAGTGCCAAAGCAATAATTTCTTATCATCTGCTCTGGTCTTGAATCAAGGATGGTTCAAAGATTTCTGATAAAGGGAGACTAGAATTGAATAAGGGCGAGGAAAGTCACTTGATGAGCCGACGTCTGGTCAATGGATCCACGTAGAAACAAAAATCCAGGTCTATATCCTTCAATATGGTTTTCTCTCTCACTTTAATCTTCTTTGATGTTCTGCCTAGAGGTGAACCTTTCAGATCGTAGACCTTGCTCATGAAGACATCCGACTGCAGTACGTTTGACATGACAACAAAATATGTCTGCTCGCGTAGAAACAGAAACAGAAAAAAAAACAGTTCAAGTGACAGCTCCAAGCGTAAAACACCATATCGTAAGTTTCTGGTAAAATGGATGCAACAGCGTTTTTACCTTAACACCTCCAACAGGCTTCACGAAATGAGCACCATAAATCTTGGACAACAGCGTTGACCTGTATTTCTGAACATGGTGGTAATAATTGGGCAGCATCTCTAGTATTACCTACATCAAATGATTTGTCCCCTGAGAGATCCATATCACAGAAGGCATCAAATGCAGAAACTACACCGAAACAATGTCTCACTCCATCGATCAATAGAATATGATATGAATTTCCCTGACTACAAAAGAAGTACCAGCCAGATTCTCGAAGAACCATGGCGAGAGTAATGTATACAGAAATGCAATCCTGCCCGACAGAAAAAGAGGTCCATAACCCATCTCTGACACAATGACAATCCAATACCTTAATTTCAGATTTCCGGAGAATCTTGATGAGAAACCGGTCATCCTCGGAGAGGAGAAACATTTTGCCAACTTTTCCAGAAGAAAGCTTCCTCAGGGTCTCATCATTACAGATTGAGTGCGTGTACTCGTCATGATCAATATCTTCAAGTTGCTGTATAAGTCTGAAAGAAAGAAACCAAGCCAACGCCATAAGCTTAGAAACTTTTCTCGGGTATGATTAGTGTAAGAGAAAGGGGGAAAGGGGAATACCTGAAGCCAGTTGGACAATAGTCCTTCCATTCGAAATCGGTGACAGTGCCGGGAGGAAGGTGCTTAACGTGCTTTGAAGAGTACTGAATCCTGTTCTTTTCAGTGGCTCTAACGTCTTGGGAAGATATCTCCTTCGCACATGGCGCCATCTGTACCGATTCCTGTACATGAAGATTATGCATCTTTATACATGTATAGAACCGTATATACTGTTGCTTCTATATATGCGGGTTTTACACATTCATGGAACTCATTGAATCGTCTCCCCCAATGAACTCAAACCATGGGAGCCACTGAAACGCGCAAATCAAAGAAACAAATAAAAACAACTAAGCTCGAGAGAATTCCTAACAACACGAAGAAAGAAAGATGACCTAGAACCACCCATGATTTCTTCAAAAATCATCACTAAAAAGAAAAGAAGAAGACAAAATCGAAGGTTACCTGCTTCACGACCTGCGATTCCAATGGAAGATTCAAAAAAGAAAAAAGAAAAAACAAGAGAGAGAGAGAAAATTTGGAAAAGACGAAGATCAAATCGAAGAATTAGAGGCTTTTAAAAGAAGCCCCAGTTTTTTTGGCGGAACGGAAACAAAGAAGTGACGGTTTTGCCTAATTTGGTTAAGGGAAAATTGTTTCTCTTCTTCAAGTCACGCGTAAACCCTTTTTTTAGCAAAGATTTTAAAACTGTTTTCTAATTAAATTCTTCACACAAGGGCTTGAATTAGTAGTAGTCTTGTCTCTTTTTTACAATGAAGAACTAACCGAATGTTAGAACCTAAGAATAAGAATGGAATGACCACCCAAAAAAAAAATTATCTCCCAAAAAATGAAACGCTTTCTTTTCGAGCCTAGGCAATTCCGGCCACCACCGGATCATCATCGGGCGGCGGCTTCACGAACTTCCCGATGGCTTTCTGGCGACCGCCTTTACGTCTTCTCCGGTCGAGCTTATCCTTACTTCTCCTCTTCCTCTCCTCTTTCTCTTCGTTCCTTCTCTGCCTCTCTTTCTCCAAAGAACCTTTCCAGACGATCTCACCCGTCCACGGCCAAAGCCAGTGGCCCATCCCACCGTCAGAATCAGCCTCCTCGGCAAGATCCTCGTCCATGGACTTAAGGGTAGCGTAATCGAACCATTTGACCCACATGTGACCAAGCCTGCTCCTCTGCAGGTGCTGCTCCTTCATCAGACCCGTCTCCGGCTCCACGTACACCATTCTCCTCGCACTGTGGTATGCCCATACGTTCACCAGAAGCTCCATCAACCTCGAATAGCAATGCTTGTCCTGCCAAAAAGAAACCCAATGCATTCCATCGCTTCAAATATATCTTCATGACAATTTTTCAGCAATCCTTTGATCAGAACCATATCTAAACAAAACCTCGAACCATATTGTTAATTGGGTTAAGTTACTTTACTACTACTCGACCTGAATCTGACACAAACAATACTCATCAGGTCAAAATGCTGACTTTTGTGAGTTGGATTGAGGATCCTTAGGTGAAAGGTACCATCTTTAAGTTAGAAAAAGAGGAAAAGGTTACTAACTTTGGTTAAACTCAGATAGCACCGCCCTGTCTTGTGATGCTCTTCGTATATCTGTGCATCCAACGAATCCACAAACATCCTGCAAAAGGAGAGAAACACCATTACTAAATCCGAAATTAATTATGGTAATCAAAATTGGGGTATGAGAAACAAGAGAAATATGCAGTAAGTACCTGGAGAACATGATGAACTCCAAGAAAGACCTCGTCGGCAAGGCATAACTATGCATGACAGACCAAGTATCCCCATCCTCAGGCATTGGTGGCAATGAATCCAAATGCTTCACACCATACATTTTCTTCAGAGTTTCGTTGAAAGCAAATCTTGATTCACACCCGGGAGATTTTTTAACAAAAGTTGTCAGATATCCAAGTTCAGAGTCTCAAAAATATACCATATGTTACAAGTTCATAGGTGTTTTTTACCTGCAGTTTCCAGCATTTATGGCATCACAGAATGACCAAAAGGGTTTCTGTAAAGGATTTCTTGGATCTTTGTCCATACGAACCCAGAAGTAGAGGGCATCCCCATGTTTCCGTGCTTGAATGGCGTGTAGTATTGCATCCTCAGCAGTCTTGGATAAAGAAGCCTGTTTCAGGGCTCAGAGTTACATTCACATAACTGCAAACTCCCCACAATCAAATATAGTTACCAAAAAAAAAATTGTCGCTAGGATAAGGTTTTTGTTTAAACCAAAACTATACCTTCCTGGCAGTTGCTCTCCAGGACTGAAACCCTATCCATGCATTCTTGTGTAAACGGTCAATCCTGTTTGAAATTGAAAAAAATGCACCGAATTCACCAAGAGCATCCCGGTAGTACGGGTCGTCAAGAAGTGGCAAACGTGTTGCTGCATCGAGATCATCCATCCTCGGCCTTCGCCCTTTTGTTGACTGCAGAAGAAGAGTGCATTCATTTAACTACAGCTGAGAAAACACTACATGATTAGATATTAGAATGCACTCACCAAGCCGACCCCGCGATAGAGAGAATACTGATGGAGAAAAGGCCAGGTTCCTTCACCATAATAAGGTTCATAAATGCATAGAGGTTGACCTGTCCTTAATAGCTCCCCTTCTTCCCTCTCATGCAGATCATTCTTACTCCGGTCTGCCCTTTTAGCATTTTTGTATACTTCCTCCCATGTTCCATGATACTGTGACGCTCTGTCTTTAAGCTGTATGCACATTGAGTGAATTAATTTAGCATGAGAGACAAATAGCGATGAGAACGGGACTTCCAGAACATGAGTCTGTAACACTTACCTCTTCCTCTTCCCTCCTCTTTCTAGTATTCATCATCTGAAGATGTCTCTCTTCCTCCCAAATCTCATAGACAAATGAGTCATCGTTAACAGCCCCGAATTTTATATTGCTTCCGGAGGTGCGATTCCACTGTTCCTCAACCTTCACTAAAAACTCATAACTTCTAGCAGTTCTATTTCCATGCGATATGTTCAAGAAAGCTTCAAATGCACCCCATTGCCATTCATCTCTCAGTTTGGGAGAAATTTCTTTGACATTCTTAGGGAAGGCGACTTCTGAAGAAAACTTGAGAACATTCTCAATAAGAGTTGCATACCCTTCTATGGTTTCTCGAGCCATCATGTTCCTAACAGTGGTTTTTCCCATTAAGGCAATATTCTGAGCCATGGGAGATATTTTCCCTTTTGATATCACTTCAAGCACTATCTGTGTTAGAGCCTTCAAATTCTCCTTGGGGAAAAGATAGCCATTCACCCTGTCATCAACCTATTTGTTATTTCCAATATAGTCAGTAAACAGCTGAGTGAACAATAAACAAGTAAAATAGAATATGAGTAATTGGATAGGGAGGTTACATATTTCCGAATGTTGGGGAGGTCTGGTGCAACTATCGGTTTCCCCAAGGACATGGCTTTCATCAAAATTTCTGGGAGAGATGGCTCTTCAAGAAATGATCCGTATAAAACAAGATCAGAAGCCCCAAGAATCTCATCGACATTCCTGTCAATGCTGATATGCTTCACAACATCTTTTGGATACGTCAAGTTTTGGGCAATCGTCTAATAAGTAAAGACAAATCGAAGATAGAAAATCAGCGATACCATAATAACAAGCTTCAAAAGCCAAGTACCAGTTGACAAATAGCATAGCAGAAACTACTATACCTCAACGGCTATGCTATAGTTGGAAGCTGAATGTCCACCTAAAACTACGATTTTGAGGTGGGAATTATTGTAACTCTGACGGGAAGAATCTGAAAATAGCGGTAGCAGCGCTTGCAGAACCAAGGCGTGTTCCAGCCATAAACCCCTGTACAAGAACTGACTACCCACGACAGCAATGGCTATTTCGTCTTTTTGTGGACTCTCTAAATTATTCTTCCATGCTTCTGCAGGAGATCCAGGGATCACATAAAAGTTCCCAGCATCAAACTCAGAGTAAAGAATCTGCAAGAAAAAGGAACAGAAAAAAAGTAGAGCAGAAAATAATTAATTGAGAGAAATTACTCCAGAAAGGCTAATTCCGGGATTAGTTGTGCAGAAAGCACAAATTACTAACGAAGTAAACGTGTTTCACAGCAACTTTCGTAATGAAAAAAATTAAATATTACCGGAAGGAGGTAATTTTGGAAAACTACAACAGAAGCCCGGCTGAAAATCTTTCGCCAGTCGTTGAGAAGATCGGTCTGCCCTGTCGAGTTGTACCATCTTGACCGAACAGCAAGAGTTTTCTCATTGATGACCCAAATGAGAGGCAAAGATTTGAAAGGTTCTTGCAAGACACTGTTGCAAAATAACTAGAGTGAACTGAGGAAAAGTCCACGAGCAATACATAAATATAATATCTAATATCAAAACTAAGAACCATACAACACAATTATTTACAATGTCAAACTCCTTGATAATAATCATACCAAGAAAGCATACTCCTAGCTTCGAGAGAGTTCACAATTATGCCATCGTAGCTGCATAATCAAAACAAGAAAATGATGTATGGTCAGATATTATCACATTGACCAAGTCCAAGGCAGCCAAATTACAACCAATCATAAAAAAAAATTATTTGATCATACGAAATCAACATAGTAGATTCATTCTAGAGGCTATTAATCGTTTAACATCAGAATAATTTCATGGTTAACTAATTCAACATTATCCAAGCATGTGGAGCATACGATAGCCAGTCGATGACACAATTTGATGAGTGATAACTCTCAAGTATCGTGACCGGAACACCTAATTGCTGCCAAATGCCTCGCACAGGACCATCTTCAAGCGAGTAAACCTGCCAAAAAACAAGTTTGACCAATGTCATACTGACGAGTACCGCAAGGAAGAAGAAATAAATCTATACCTCGATCGCATAGCCGGTTTCTTGCAGCGCCTTGGAGACAGTCACCATTAACAGCTGTTGTGGATCAGCTAACAAATCGGCAAAAACCTTCAGACAAGAATTTCCTCGTATGAAATGAAATCTCAACAAAAGCATCCGAGCATAATGGTTCAAGGCATAACAAGCAATGCAGCATCTTGGAAACAAGTATCAATCAAAATTTCATTGATTCAGGAAAAATGAGGCTGAATTTTGTTACTGACCAGAGCCAAATTCGGCTTCCTGAATCCGAAACGTTGCAGAGTAGCATTGACAGAAGACGAAGAGAAGTTCAAACTATTGGTCTCTCTTTGGAATTTCAACAAAAGCTTGTAGGGCTCAAACCTAACATCCTCACCGAAATCCAAGAAACCTTTCTCCTTGAAAACCACCAAATCCGGCGGCAAAATCTCCTTGTTTCTCCACGGTATGTCCGATTTATCGACCACCAGTCCCGGCAAAAACATCTGGAACAGCACAACGAAGAAGAAGAATACCGCCACAGTACAAATCCATTGGAGGTAATCGAGCTTCTTCAAGAGGAAGAATCTCGAGAGCTTCGACCTGTTTCTCTGCAGAAATGGGAGTTGCCTTTCTGATCTTGCTGCCCTTCCGTTCTCTCTCTTCGGCGGAATCCCAGATTCCAGAGAACCCATTCTACGTTCTCATGAAAAAATCGAAATTACATGCGAATCCGGCGACAAGAGGGAATCTCGAACAAAACCCACCAAAATCTCAGCAGAAACAAGAAACCTTAGATGCTACTCACGAGCAATCCAGTACGAGTGTGAAGACCCCCCCCCCCCCCAAAACACTCTAACCCAGCAGAAGCAATCCAATCTCGAACACGATCCACCTTCTTGGATAGAAACCCAACGAAAAAGCCCCACGGAGATTACAGATTCCGAAGGACAGCACCCGAAGCGAGTGCGGTTTTCAGATGTGACGAAGACCAGAGAGAGAGAGAGAGAGTAAATATTTGGTGTAGCCGGCGACGTAGGTATTCGCCAATGGAATATTCAAGACGACTTGAGAGAGAGAGAGAGAGAGATTTCGGGGATCAAGATTCAGACTCGAGAAAGGTAAAAACGAGAAATCTGTGATTGCAGCTGAAGACTACGAGTACCATTTTCGCCCCTGGCGTCAAATTCGTTTTCTTTTTTCGTCTTCTTATTTTCCTTTTCTCTCCAATCACCTTTTAATATTTTTGGGAACATTTTTCACTTTTTCCGGTGACATAAATGTTTTTTTTCTTATGTTTTAAATATATCTCTAATATCCAATTAGATTTTTTAAGGATACATATATTTTAAAGATTCTTTATACATATTGAATTTAGATTTATAACGCATTGACTATTGTTAAATTTTTATGGGTTATTATAAAAGGTGCAGTAATTATAAAATAGTTACATGAAGGGTTAGAATTGGCTGCTCTGTTTATTATTTGTATGTTAATTTTGTTGGATATTGATAATAGAAGACGAAAGTTTCATGTATTTTCCAATAATAAATCCATTAAACAAATAGATTTTCCTCAGACACAATCACAAAGAATTAAAAGAAACACGAAGGGAGCATGTAAAAAAAAGTATGTGACTTGATGGATAAGAGCTTTGTAAGAGTGGAGACATTCAACAACATCAAACCATCATCATGTAAAGATCTTCTTGCCCTAACCCCTAAGTGTTTCTTCTCCTTTCAAAATGCCGGCTGTGGCTACAATTTCCCGAGCGGGGACTCGTCCGCGTGATCATCCACCAGACATAAACCGTACTCCCGGAAGCGTTTGATCTTCTTCTCGAAACCTGTTATGTAGTTATTGTGGATTATGACATGTTTTCCCTTTGTTTCTGCAACCCATGTCTGGTTCTTGAAGTATAAACCTCCTGTTGGGAATGCAGCCTGAGGAAGCAAGTAGATATCCACCTGCATGATTCACACAAACCACAAAAGAACGATTTTGGTTTTGGTTTGTTGAACTCTGTGCCCAAACCCGGGGTCTAAGAAGATACACACGAGGCTATGAAACTTTGAATCGTTTCTGCAATGAGATCATGACACATGAATAAGAGTCTAGAGCAGTTGAACTAGGATTTTGAGCTCAAAGGTTAAGCCTTCGGAGAGTTTAATCTGAAATTCTCGTCCACCCAACAACAGAATCTATAAATGCTCGATGCTTTTTAAGAATGACAAATAAAAAGATGAAAGCTCTCGTGATTCTAACTCAGCTCAAATCTTCATCCAACAAAGACGGCCAGAATTCTAGAAACTCGGTAATTTGTATAAAAGAATGAACTCAATATCCTTAAATGCTCAACCTTTGTATAACATTAAGCAAATATCGTCCAACCATACAAAAAGGTTGCAAAAGCTTGACACTCTAAAGAAGCACTTGTGGCATGAAATTTGACAAATAGTGATGAGGGAGCTCACAAGAAGCAATGTACCTGACCAGCAGTCTTGTTAAGTGCCCAGTTAAAAGCTGGCTGATCATTTGCCTTTTTTGCTTTAGACCATGGTTGGTCTTGGAGTTCCTCTATCCATTTCTTCATGACAAGCTTTGCTCCATCAGTGGGTCGCAAGAAAATCATGCAGCTACATATGTAAGTGCGTCCCTTTTTGCCCGGAGGTGGCAAATCATGAGAGTGATCCAGAGGCTTAACCTAATTCCATGAAACGGAGACAAAACAATCCGAGAGAGAAGATACTATTACTCCAAATGGAAAGGCAAAACACCCGAGAGAGAAGATACGATTACTCCAAATGAAAAGCAAAACATGGCATACTGGAAGGAGAGATGGATTTACATACCGCAGCCATGTCATCCATGAAGTATACATCATGATTTCCCTCTAGATACAGGAAAGGATCTCGCAACCATACCATATCAACATCGTTGTACATAACATTGTAACCCAATTCCAAGATGTGTAAGAGATGCCGAGGCCTCCGAGATGTAAAGTTGAAGAAACCCTATTGAGATGGAAGTCAGCAAATGATTTAAAGCTATCCAAAAGGGTATGATGTGAACAATCGTCTGTCAAGTTCGCAAACATCACAACTGTGAGCCTTCCGTATGCATTAGCTTCATCAAAAATCCCAACATTACATGAACAGTGAACAATGGATCAATTCAAAACGCTAGACATTCTTTCGCAACAAGTAAACACCAGCTACTCAATCCGAGAGTGAGATGAGATAGCTAGATAAGACATAAACATTTCCTCTTAAATCCTATAAAACGATGAGATCCACACCGAAACAACTAGATAACAGTAACACAACGAAGCTAGCCAAGATTCCTCGACCCAAAAGCAAACAGAATCCCGGTTGATGCAACCCCAGAAACATACCTGGGAACCAAACTTATGGGCTGTTTGAGAATCCGGCGCCGGAGGAACGAGGACGGCATGACCGGGCCACTTCTCGTTAACCTTGTAAAGCGTGGAGTAATCCTCTGCGATCACGAGCACCTTGTCGGCATGTTTATGTCTCGAAACACTGATCAACCAGTTGCTGAGAAAAGGCAAGTACGGATAGCTAACGGCGCAGACGATCAAGGTCCCGTTCTTGGCGGCGAACGCGGCGGCGTCTGCAAGAGTATAGTCGCGCCATTTGGATACCGAAGAGGAAGAAGAACCCGTGTTTTGAAATGTGAATAAGGGTGTTCCTGCCCAGGGTAAGAATACTCCGAGGAAAACAAGGAGAGCGAGGAGGAGGAGGAGACCGGTACGGCTGAGGAGAGAGGTGGGTCGGTGAGAGATTGCAGAAGAAGAGAGAGGAGATGAAGAGAATGGGTTTGAGAAAGGGTTCTGAATCGGTCGCTGGTGCAGGAATTGCTGCTGCGCCATTGTTGAAGGGGATGTTGCAGCAGGGTGCAAACAATGGGGGGATCTTGCTCTCTATTTCATGGAAATCTGAAATTTCGGTTTGAATCAGAAACAGACATGAACACAGAAGTGGAAGAATTCACAAATCTGAGGAGAAGTGAGAGGAATGAATATATGGGAGATGGCACACAGATCTTGAATCAGTGAGAAACTGGCAAATTGGCAAAAGGCGGAAGGATTTTCTTCGGTCTAAAATGGGCTTAATATAGTGGTCATTACTAATTTCACATATGGGCCTAAAACTTAGCCCATTAAGTTGCCGACAGGAGAGTTCTAGGCCCACTTTACGTAATGTTGTTGTTAATCCCCCCTCGTATATTTCTCTTCTTCACTGATTCACCCCAAATATTATTAGAATTGAAGAATCCAACTCTATATTTTAAAATTTTCATCATAGGTCCATAATGTTTTACAGTTATCAAAATGCTCCCAAATATTGTCACTTTAGGTTAAAGAACTACGACACCAGGACAGTTAGTTTGCATGGAAACAATTAGATAGGTATCCAAATATTTATATCCATGTTTACATCAAAAATATTTTAACAAAATGGTTTTTTATGTAAAGTATTTTGTGTGTGTTTTTATATCATGTAATTTCTCAAGTAACTCATCAAACTCTTGTTGGTTTATTCGATCGATGACAAGAAATTACTCGCATGAAGCACAGAGTATTGAATCCACGAAAACCAACCCATTTATTAAAAGGGCAATTTAATAAAGTCCTTGAGAGTAGGGAGCTTGATCTCGCCCTTCTTTGAGACGGGGATGGTAATGTTTCCGACGACAGGAAAGTCAACGATGAGACCAATGTCGAGTTCGTAGTCAATGCCCCAATCCGCGCCAATGTCTCTACCCAGACTGATCAACGCATCGTACGGAACCGTCATCGTCACGTCTAGAACCGTCACTCCCCTCCCTTTCAGTGTTCCCGGAGCCGCTACCTTCCCCTTCGCCAGTTCTCTACGCATAACATATTATATCCATTCATAATATCAAAACCCATCGAGAGTGATGAATTATATGGTCAAGGTTGATTTTAAAAAAGAAAATGGGTTACCTGCCGGCGGTGGTGAGGTTGAAAGTGATGTCGCAGAGGGGAATGGGGAGGCACAAGGGATTGTTGACGGAGACTTTGGCCAGGAACTCGATCGAGTCACGGTTCACCTTCTTCGGCTCGACCCATGTCACCACGGCCGCCGGCAACGGCAACCTGGATATCGCCTTGTTCATCACCTGCCCCATTTCCCCTTTTTTCCTTTATATATACGTGTATATATATATATATAAGAAAAACTCTTATACTTTGTATTTGCATGGACCGACTGGATGAAACGTGATATTTATATGGAGAGTTGGACCGTGCAAGAGGGAATTCATAACTCTAGTCCGATGATTAATTATATTAATGAAAAAGACGCATAAAACACGTGAATGCATTGTTTAGCCGATTTATTCATGTCGGATCTCTCCATATGTCCGCGATCGATCGATCCGACTGTACATACGTATATTAGTTAGTGTGGTTAATTAATGAGACACAGTCTTGATTATAATATATGCTGATTTTGTCGAAAGCAAGTTGCTGTGTATTTAATATCTTGATAGAGCTTGAAATGTTTGTTCAGGATTTATATCAAGAACGCAATTCATCTACTATAACCCGGAAATTAGAACCCAATAAAAAACCCAAACTCGATAGTTAAACCGATGAAATGAAATCGCAAAACATATTTTTTTTCGAGTTCAAATATCAAATTTTTGAGAGACAAATCAAATGGCTGATAACAATCTTGACATTTATTTGGGTTTTGGTCCAAAATATTCGGTATCCTCTATTATGTTTTGGACCGTATTTATTACTGCATCCTTATCCACGTCAAACAATACGATGTCAAAGAGCAATAATCTAAAATCACATTTTTAATCGTATCTGGATTTAAATTAATCCTATGAATGCATGTGTATGGTAAGTTGCTTCTGACGTGATTATAGCAAATATTTACTAAGATCTATCCAATGGTGCAAATACCATACACGTGTCGTTTAATACGAAAATCTTCGTATATGGGCCTACAAAAGACCCAAAGTGCTTTGGGCCAGGCCAGTCTCTAGTGGAAGCACTATTCCAAATTCCAAACAAAGATTAATAAAATTTTAAATTTATCCATTATATATAAATAAAAAATACAGGAAGAAGCATGCATGCATACGCATTTATAGCTTGTCCATACGGAAACGAACCCACTAAAAGGAAACGAATGCATTATACAATAAAATGATAAGCAAAACATGATTCAAAACCTCATACGGCATGTGACGTGTTTAATATTGACGATAAAATTAATACAATTTGAAAGTTCTACGATAAATTAATTTCCCAATAATTTTATAATTTAATATTTAATTAATAATACAGATAGGAAATTGGAGGGGACGTTACCATAAATTTTTAAATGGGTTCATCTTACTCGATAAATTTTAACGTGTACTACAGCAGGGTGTCAATTTTGGTATAAAGTACGAAATATTTTTTAAAATAATAATAATAATAATAATAATAATAATAATAATAATAATAATAATAATAATAATAATTCCATGATAGATGGAACGGAAACGATGTACAAAACAAAACCTAAAAAAAGAAGAGAGATGAGAAAAGACGTATTCCTATCTTTACATAAGCCGAGAATAATTCCAAGAATCTCTCTTTCCTACAGAGTATCACTACGCCACTACTTTTGTTTTCCCGGCGAATCAGGTTCCACCGGCGGTCGCCGCGGTGTTGCTGACCATCCAAAGGTTCCCGAAACTCCCCGGAGAGATCCCGTATAAGCAGTCAACGGCGGCAAAATCCTCCAGCCCCTCGAAGAAATCGTCGCTCACCACCGTGTCCGACATCGACAGAAGATCCTCGTCCCCGTCGAGATCCCCCACAGCCAGATCTTCCACCGGAAATGGCAAATCTTCGGAAGACGTGACCGGAGACGACGAGGAGCATCCGGCGGAGGAGGGGAGATGGTCGGAGGGCTTCTGGCGGGTGCTTCCGGCGAGTGAGTTGCGGTGGGTGGGGGCTGGGTGGTTGTGCTCCGCCGTGTAGGTGACGATGAACATCGCCGGGTCCGATTTGTTCCTTTCCACTTGCTTCCGGGCCAAACACCCCTTCGACGAACTACATCTGTAGTATCCCCTGTTTTTTTTGCCAGAGAAAAAAATAGAGGCAGAGTTATTTAACAGGCCGAGGAAGCAGAATCACAAAAGTAGACAAGTTCTGTCCTGAACCCATCTCGAAACACTACACTCACATAAATGAATGTCGTCGAGAATTTCTATGGCAAAAGTTTTAAGCTTTTCAAAACATGTAAATGGAACAGAGTTATGATGGGAAGGATCATGCACCTGGGATAAGGAGAACCTTTGATGGGTTTTTGTCCGTACTTCCGCCATGCCCAGACGTCGGAGTTCAAAGCCTCTGCTGCTACATGGCATACCCTCTTCTGCTGGATCTTTCTGTTTTATTCGCAGAGAAAGATCAAAGGAAAACGGTTTAACAAACTGCAATGATTTTGAGAGATGGGTATCCGAAATCGATTATCAAAACATTTCCGACAAAAGCAGCCCCAAAAATTCATTTTTTAGACACATCTGAGACTATTTTCTCGCTGGTTGTTAAAAGACAAATAGATTCGAACACCGAAAAAACCGAAATTTTATTCACAAATTCGACCAAAAAACCCAACTTTATGACACGGATGCCAAAGAACAATCTCTGGGTTACCCCAAAAAAACGAAAAGACAGTTTTGTGTAAGAACTAATTTTTTGGGTTATCGAAAAAAAGATGGGAAATCGAACCTTCTTTTAGATCTGGAGTTGTTGGAACTCGCGAGTTTGCTGGTGACACTACCGGAAGAAACAGAGACCGATAGAGGCCGCTTCTGTGTCTGCCGTTGCTGTCTCAGATCTTCTGCGTAATTCAGGCAAGTAAACGAAGACACAGACACATTTGGTTCCAGCGCGAACGGCGTGTAGATGTCTCGAAGCTCTCCGAAGACGGCGTTGTCGATGTACCCATGTTGTCGTTCGCCGGAAACAGGGGAAAAGATAGGGTTTTGGAAGGGTGCGGCGGAGAAGACGGTGGTTGATGCGGCGGAGATGGCGGCACAGCCTCTGACCACCGCGTGAAGGTCCCAGTCATCGTCCATATCTCGCGGGAGGGGGGGCAAAGCTCCGAAAATCTCTGTACCTTTGGCCTCTGCAATTTTCGTCTGGGGAAGAGAAGGGAGAAGCAGACGAGACAAAAGAGAACGCTGACTTTTGAAGTCTATATAAAGAGGGAAAGTGATGAATAAAGAGTTGAGAATGGAAGAGAATTAAAACGTTAAATTAATATTTGCAAAATGATGTCACTTTCGTCCGTTCTTTTAATTCAACCATACAATTATTTAAAATTTTAAAGTCCATACCCATTATAACTTCCCGGTAATGTACACATGTTTTCTTTATTTAGCTGATCATTATGATTTCAATATAATATACCTTGATTCTGCAGTCTCGTTTATCTCAGCCAACCAAAAAAAATGAAATGAAACACTACAGATTATTTATTAATTTGTAATAGTTTAGAAGAAAAAAATCATCAAAACGTTAAAGGTCATTTACAAATTTAAAGCAGAAATTTCTTGTTTCCAAAGAAAATCCGTATGAACACATCAAAAGATGAGTATTGTCATTTACAGGCTAACCGGAAAAAAGGTGAGTATTGTCGGAATCTCTATGCATATAGACATATTTTTTTAGAAATAAGTATATGGACACGTACATGTAGAGAGAGAATAAGTGCGCCTTACAAAAATCTAGAGAGAGAGTAAGCTAGGGCATCTCGATGCTTATCCCGTCCTTTTCTCCCTCCTGCGTGTTTCTGTGGTGGAGAAGAATACCGGAAATAGTTTCCGGTTTCCGGTTTTTAGTTGACCTTAGCAAAATGTCAAAGGGCAAACTCACGCGGCGTAAATGTCAACGCGTTCTCACGCGCGTTCTTGACTTGTAATGCCGGCAGAAGCGTGGAAGACAATTCCAATTCTTTCCCGGGAGCGCCTTTGATCGATGATGGGCACAGTCACATAATATATTTTTTTTATAATCAAAAAATTTATCGAAACTTTGACATAATATATTTTTTTTATAATTAAAAAATTTATCGAAACTTTGACCCGATTATAATTTAACCAGAGGATAATCACACAATATTTAGTTCGATGTCTCTTAAATTATTATTAATGTAAACAAACTTATTGAAAATTTGTCTTTTTGACCCCAACACACAAAGTGTTACTATAATCTTTGAAAAATGTACGGATTTTTTTTTTAAAAAATAGCGAGGTGTGGAAATGACAAATAGAGTGTTTCTTCTATATACATTGTTGAAAGTTCCGTCGCACGTGTCAAATGGCGAGCGCGTGTGTATAGAGATAAGATGAGGTGGCAATTCGACAGCTGGCAGATCTTGCCGGTCCCACCTTTAAAATGCCGTTACCATTATCCCTCTCTCCTCGTGATGGTGATTCCTCCGGGAGAGATATCGGACGGTCCACGATTCTTCCGGCGGCGTTTCATCCTACGGTCAGATCGAGCTGACTTTCTCTATTTCATTCATCTAACGGTTGAAATTCTCCCGACGGAGGGAGGCGCACGAGCCACGTAAAGCGTAGAAGATGGCTTCGAGTGGGCTGCACGAGGCAGGCAGCATGAAAGCGCGTGGTCCCACGCCATTTCTTATTATATTATTACTTTTATTTTTATATATACACGTAATTTCCACATAATATTTGAATCACTGATGAGAAACGAGAAATTTCAACATTTGTTTAAGCATTGGGTTTGACTAAGCTAATTTTTTAATGGATCTCTAATCATATTCTCATTGTTTTTTTTTTTTTTGGTGGGCAATCTCTAGGATATTGTTTGACAAAAATGAAGTTATATCCGAGGTAAATACATACATAAAATTCAAGTCACGGTATGTTTCGAGAAGTATGGTTCGGTTTTACACCGAAAGGATATTGGGCTTAATGGGCCGACGCAATTGGGTTTAATTGGGCCCTCGTACCAAACCCAATTCACCTCTGAAGACCCTCTGTTTCGCGTAGAAGCTTTAGGCCAATTGGAAATCCGATCTGTCCCATCTTTTGATTCTGATTGAAAGGTCTCAAACCGGTGTTGGCTTGTAACATGTGATTAATTAACCACGGAAATTAATTCCCAAAAGAAAAAGTATAGCCATGTGTAATTTGATTTGTTTTCTCGATTTTTCTTCTATTTTATTATTTTCCGAAATCTGACTTATCACATGATCGTGAAGCCCATGTCCCTTCGCTTCATGCCAAAGAGAAAGAAACATTAGCAATTTCATCGCATTATCTCTACCGCGAAATCTTTTCGAGCCATGTACTTTTTTTTTGTTAATACATATTTTTTATAAAATTTTGTCGATCCAACAAAACGTACATACATACTCAGAGGTATACATCGTGACATAAAAACTACAAAACTTCAGTGTTGATTGGTTGTTTACATTTATATTGTTGAATCTTGAAATGATGTAATGATTAGTATATATGTGGATAGAACAGTTTATATTGTCATAAATAAATTTAATATACGAAAAGTCCCAATAAATATGTGAATGAGATAGATTTACATTGCCGACGCCATGTTACCTCAATAAAATCTGTCACCACATAAATACTTCAACCACGTAAAAATCTATATATATTAATAAAGATGTTTAAAGGATTGTGGTGAAGCCACATCATCATCCTATGTGGCACATTCTCAAATTTTGATTGGTTTTTATGGTTTACAAATTTATGGTATTGTATTGACATGTAAAATAATCAATAAATTGAATTAGTTTTATATATTAAATTAAATTTATGAGAAAATCATGTTTAAACTTATTTTTATTTTTCTCATATAAAGATATTTTTTTTTTGTTTTATTTTTATATATTAAATCTATATATATTAATAATTGTGTTTAAAGAGATTTAAAAAACTTATGTGAAAATAAAAAACAAACTTTTGTATTTAATTTGTAAATTTAGCTTGAATATAAAAATAGTAACATAATCATTCTACATGATATTTTAAAAATTTTAATTAGATTATAGATGGGTAGTGTATATAATAGCAAAAAATAATTATATTATTATAATTAGAAAAAGGAAAAAGTAGGAAGGAAATTTAAAATAACGTATAGTGCCACTAAAACGTTTTCTTTATTAGTAGGCGGATTCTTATAATTAAAACCCCAAAAACTAAGAAGGAAATTAATCAAAAAAACGTATGGCACTCAAGCGTCGTAGTTATTAGTCCAATGACCACTATTTTTTTAATTAATAGGTGATGTATTTATCATTCAAATTCATGAAAAAAATAATCAAAAAACGTACGGCCACTAAAACGATTCATTTATTAGTCCAATGACTATTTTAACGGTGAGAGTGGTGAGAAAACCATTGAAGGTATTTGACACAGCCGATGGATCACGCTCTGGGATATTTCGGATAGTTTGTTATGTCTTCATATTAGAATCTCCGACGATGAAGACGGAGGGATAGAAAAGGAGAAGCGACGTGGGAAACTTCTGTGGCGGTGATATCAATTGTTCGTCGGCATTCGGCAGGCACCTTTAACGGTTTCCACAGCACTCCCTTCACACATCATTTGTCATTGGAGATTCTAATCTGAAGACATAACAAACGAACTGCTCGCTGGCATTTGATAGATGGGGAAGGATCGATGATGTAGGTGAAGAATTCCACTTCATGTTTGGTTGCTTATTATAATACAAAGATCACTCATATTATACCCTTTTGACTTTTTATTTCTTTTTTATTACGATGATTGTGAATGTACATATGACCAAACCTCTTCTAACGAAATAGAAAATAAAAATGAATCCAAAAATGGAAGACGATGGTTTGGCAGAGATGGCGACTGGTGTTTCTTCACAAAACGATGTCATATGGAGTCCTTTGTGTTCCACGGTGAGGAATATGATACTACTTATATATCTATATTTAATAAATATTAAAAAATCAAAACAAGACATATTGGCCAACGGTGACATGCATTCCTCTTAATAATCATATTTATTATTTTTTTGGTGTTGTTATTGTGCTATATTTTATATTAATCCACTTTGGTAGCTTCTTCAACCTTACGTGACCTTTTTTTTTCCCGTGTAAAAGATTATCAACTTTGGCTTGGTTGTCATTACCATAGACTGCAAGTTCACCTCTTTGCATGTATTATTTAGTTATTATTTGCTCCATTATAAAATAGGGGATTCTTTAAATTACATGAGACCACTAATTCTTGAATAGGAAAAAGTAGATTCCGATGAGATGGTGGTGGAACTAAACCAACGGTGAAGAACCCGAAGAAGAAGATGGTGATGATAATCATGGAGCTCTACTAAAATGGTGGATATATATATGTATAAATTTCTATTTTTAACTTTTTATTTGTAGATATCTGTGTGTATATTTGTGTATGTATGAATGCAATTTTTATATTTTATTTTTAATTTTAAATTTGTATATATGTATATATATGTGTATGTTTATGTATTTGTGTGTATATGTATTTGTATATATTTAATATTAATATATTTGTATTTGTGGGTATATTATAGGAGTACCATCGACGTATTCCGATTTGTCTCTGATCAGATATCTAACATGTGCTTCTTCCCCGTTGTGCCACTACGAAGACACCATCATCAGCGGCAAAGGCAAATCCTAAGCCATATCTGCGGCATATGGAGCACGATATCAATGGAGTGGAGTCGTCATGTTTCAAAGTTATATATGCATGACGTTTGATTTCTTTTCTATTTAGAATTAGTCATGTTTCAAGATGTTATTCGATTTTTTAGTGGTTGATTCAAATTTGATGATTCATAAGGGAATATCTTTTTTCCCTGGATTAACCGTAAAAAAAAAAAGATGATGCAAAGTTTGGTTATGCTATCACTACTTTTTGTATGCACATTAGAAAAAATCTATTTTATTGTTAGTTTTTGTACATTTGCAAATTTGCATAGAATTAAAAATAAATAAAAATAATGTAAGTATATAGATTCATTAAAAAATATTAAGTTTGAATTAAAATAATCACATCCAAATATAAAAATAGATAATGATACTATTTAGACATTAAATACGACGACAGTGTAGTGTATTGAAAAGTCATTAGCGTTAATGATGATTTTAATAATAATTTATGTTATGGTGCAATAAAAAGTATGAATAATGAATGATAATATTAGAAAATATTTTACGTTACGGTAATATGAAATGTATCAAATAATAATAAAATATTAATATAGATTTTAATTTTTATTCTCTGTTGACACATGTGCAACCGATAAGTCACTTCCACTCACCTATATATATATAATTTGCTTCCTTCCCATCTTCACAGCTTTCATGTCATGTCTTTTGTATATAAATTCGAAATAGATCATGAGAAAACAAATCCATCGAACGGATAAGAGCAGCAACTCGGAATGCGAACACGAGACCGAGGTTTAAGATGACATGCTTCCAATGATGGCAGAGAAGATGGAAGTGGAGGAATTCGTGTCAGAATTATTCAAAGGGTTTAAGATGTTAGTTGATGTTGACAGATATCTAATAACGCCCTACAGCCTGAGGGTAACCTCTGCGATACTGGCCATCCAAGAGGTGATGAGCATGGATGATGCAAAGGCTATTTATGGTCAGAGAAGAGAAGGAGACATTGACAGAGATAGAGCTCTCAACTAGATCCAATTCTGCATTCTCATGGTGAGGCCGAGTCCCGGTATGATGGATGATGTCAAACTTGGTTCGAGAAAGCAATCAGCCAAGTACTCACCTCCTTTCTTGATCAACAACCCTTCTCCCCCTAACAGGAGAGGAGTGTATGCTACTCATCATCTATTTTTGATGTATCTTTTCTGACATAAATTGTTGTGACAGTGTATATTATATAAATCCACAATCCAAAAGATTTTATTATAATGCAAGTATTAATCAATCAATCACATACATACATACATACATATATACATACATACATACATACATACATACATACATACATACATACATACATATGTACATATATACATAATATATTATATAAACAGTATAGTTTTTGAAAAATTATATTAATTAATTTTTTTATATACTTATTTTGACACAATATGTATAATATTAGTTCTAATAACAGTTGAGATTTTGGTTGATTTTCTGCTGCTCAACTAATTTTTCCGTTCTTTTTTTTAATGAAGTGACCTTGATTTGTTTTGATTCTTACCATTTTTAGGGATTTTTTTGGTTGTTTAAATCTAAGTTTCCATTTAATTTTCTTTTCTCTAGAAAGTGGGTGGTACAAGTTAACAATGAACGGTTGAAGTTTGAGATTAACACCATATTATCTCGAAGAAACATATAACTATTTGATTTCACATTTTTAAATTTGGTATTTTATTTTTGGATTCCGATTTCACACCTATATATTATTTCAATTATGCTTTGGTATAACTTTATGATTATAGAATTTTTAATGGGATACTTTTAAAATTACATTAAGGAAACGATGTTGACACAAAACTAGAGATAAAGGATGAACATAAATATATATTAATTAAATGATTCTGATTGATTCCAATATACAATTAGAATCATTTAATTAATATATATTTTTATAATATAAGATAGGCATTCATTTTATCCATGAGACCTAAAAATAATATATTATCCATGAACCATAATCCATGAGACCTAAAAACAATATAAGAGAGGCATTCATTTTATACCTATCATTTTATACAACCAAATGATATTTTTATAAGACTTAATAATTTTCATTGTAATTTATCATTTTTTTTAATTAGAGAGGGGGCATGTGGCCCCACCCTTCACAATATAGATATGCCACTGGCCATAATGCATATTTGTTTTCATGGAGTGTATTTTTTATAATGTTTTATGTGACATATGGTCTAACAAAAATGTATTAGATGTAAAAATATTTTTTTTGAAATTTACGATTTGTTTGTTCGAATATTATTTGTTTCACTTATTTTTCTAAATCAGTTTTTATTATGATAGATGGTTTTGATATAATCCTATAAATCTATACAAGTTGTTCTATCTATGAACTCAAACTTAAGAGATAAAATTTGCATCTATTGTTTTTGGTCATTAGATTTTTGAATATAATTGTATTATTTGATAGTGCCTACTACAAAATATTCATTAAAGTAAACAATAAACTTTTAAAATGATTAAAAATTATTATAAAATTAAATTAAAAAACGTTTTAAATGGAGAAACTGATAATCTAAAAATGAAAATAATAAATATTTTTACAAAATAAATTTATTTTTAAATATGGTGTATTTTTATTTAAATTAGAATGATTTAAAATAAAATATATATATGATATGATAATAGATAAACTAAAAAATATAATTACAAGAAGTAATGATAAAGAAATGATAAGTTTTTTAAATGGAGTTTGGAAACAATAAAGTAATGAGAGAAAGAGCTTAATTTTAGTTAAGTTAATATTGTAATTTTAATTAATTAGAATTTAAAACTTAATTTTAATTAAGTTATGGGTAGTGGGTAATTAAATAATAGTAAATACATATGAAAGAGAAAAAGCTTGAGCCGCCTCCTTCTCTTCCGTCGTCGCAGCAAGAGATCGATATATAATCTAAGAAGAATTAAGAGAAAGCGAGCAGTGGGTCTATATCGAGAAGAAAGTGAACAATATAATGTTGATTTGAAAATAAATAATTTTACATATTATTTATATATCTATATAATAAAAATATTCATATCAATACATTCTACAAAAAATATAATAAATTTGAAATATGTTAAACTATAGATGTAAAACTAAATATCATCAAATATATAGATTTAATAATTTTAAAAACGAATCATAACTACAATATTTAATAATATCATTTTAATTAGTAACTTATTACAAAAAAATTTGTATAGATCCGGAAAACACAGTGAGAACCCAATAACAAATCAATGACATAAAAATTAAACATACGATAAATCTATTTTTATTATATAGTAAACAATAATGGTTTTACAATATTTAAAATTTATCGATAAATTCTGTCTACATTAAAAAAATCATTTATATCATTTTACAATATTTATATTAACAAATTTTATAAAAAAAAATATGAAACATATTCATCGCAATGCATAGAGAAAGACATATATCTTTAATATATAATGAATATTGATGATTTTACAATAATTTTATATTATTGATATAGTTTTATTCTATAATAAAAATAATAATTTATTTAATTTTCCAAATTATATAACAATATATTTCAAAAATGTAAATGAAATATAATGAAAAATAATCCGCGCATCGCGCGGATCCTTTCTAGTATTCGTAAAAAGACGTGCATGTAATGTGAACTAGACACCGTAACAAGAGCAATAACACTAACCGTTTTTATTATATACACAACGACCCTTCATACAACAACAAACAAAATACATCATCGATCCGTGTTTTTTTTTTAAAAAAATCTCCCGTATGATAGGAGAAAATCATCATGATAGATCGAATACATATATATAATATGTGTGTATATATGTGTGTGTATATATATATATATATATTCTACTGATCATAACGAGATCATGGGACGAAAACACCAATCACGACGATGATCTCAAGAGATAAGGCAAGCGTTAGGGTTTTCTTCCATGCTCTGAACGTAGTAATACGTAGTGAGATGAGGATTATACGCTTTATACGCCTTTAATAGCTCTACGGCATGGTCCGCCGCCGCCGCTTGTCTTTGATCTTTCTTCTCTTCTCCTCCTTCCTCCTTCTTTGGAGCTTCGCCCTCTTGCTTGTCGGCTTCCTTCTCTTTCTTGCTGGCCTCCTCTTCTTTCTTAGGCTCCTCCTCCTTCTCCTTCTCCGGCTCCATTGCCGGGCCCACCATCATTATATCAGTCGTTGGCCAGTGTTTTCTCAGCTTACTCACCACTGTCACCGGATCCGCGGTTCCGATCACCGTCATTATCCTCTCGTTCATCTCCATTGCTATCGAGTCTATCCCTATAGCCGTAAAAAACGTTGGCGGAGATCAAACGTTGGCGACATATTCAGAAACCATACGGATGAATAACCACCAATGTGGGTTCATACGTATCAATCAATCACATGGGTATAATGACACGTTTTCCAATGAATCTAATGGTCGTATTTCCTTTTCAAATGGAAAACAATAATTGAATGGAGCAAGGTTGACCGTCCCGTCAATTGTTTCTCGAAACCAAAAGAAACTTAACCGGAGTCTGTACCGGAACAGACCATATACAGGTTGGTTTACAACACCGACACGGTTCTGTGAAAAAAAAAAGGGTCGGAAGATTACCTGAGAGGGCTGAAACTGTCTTGAGGGCCTTCTGCTTGGCCTTGTCATCATGCAGATCCAGTCTCAACACGATTTTCTGCTCCCAACATAAAACAATAAGGAGATGACGTGACAAAAAAATATGTAAGACTGTCTGGTCCATCTTACAGAGCAATGCCTTTGATTGAACCAGAGGCACTAAATTATGCAATAACAGGGCGTACATACACCTCTCATCGATCATAGATAGCATCATGGCTTCATTCGTACGAAATTTCATGTATGCAAGCACGCTCATGCATATGTATGCATGCATGCTGTATAATATGAAAAAGATTTATACGTGGGTAGAACGATCTGTTCAAAATTCCCAGGAAAAGGACCAAGAAACATGGGTCAGAAATTCAACCAAAAAAAAAAAAAAAAAAAACAGGGCACAGACAATCAGGGATATGGGGAAGCACGTGTTCGATTGCTTCCTTCCAATAGTAGAAATTTAGAATCCGGGAATCAAGATTATCCTAAAACAGAGCATACAACATAAAAAAGGCTGCTTTTTTTTTTTCAAAATCAGAACCCAAGAATATATGCATAGAAGAATCAAAGCGTGCATACGTGGAGTAACTGGAGAGAGAGAGAGAGAGACCTTCATTTCTCTGTTCTGTAAATTCCCTAGAGTTTGCATAGGCGAGAGAGAGAGAGAGAGAGAGAGAGAGAGAGAGATATGAAGAGAAAATCAACACAAAATCTGCAGAGAGAGATGGAGGAGTGACAATAATGAATGGTACGATAGAGAGGGAGGAGGTGAGTCAGAGAAAGAGAAGAAGAGTCGCTGTCGAAACGCGCGTCTGTTTCACGTCCCGACGTCGAGGCGAGTCCCGTGTTACTTTCTTGCGTCTCACCATCACCCCTTTCGGCCCTCTGTCTGCGTTTTTTCCCCCTTCAGGACAGCTCACGGTCAATCCAAAAAGGAAATATTATGATTCTGGCGGAAAATAATTAATTTCTTCCATATGTATTAATTTAACATTAAATTTAATATGTTAGTGGTGACTGCAAAAAAAATAAATTAATTCGATTACTCCTAAACGCAACTGCTCATGTGATATTCATAATTTATCGTGTTGTATGACTGATCAACAGTACGCTCATTTTTTCCTTGGATTGAAAATTTCTTAGAAATTTTTTAAAAATATTTTATCCTTTTATTATTATTTAATTTCATTCTACTTATATGATTGATTCCCACCATTCCACCGTCAGTTTCCCAATTCTACACGAATTCGATTCCCTAAATAAAGACAAATATTATTTTTCCCACTACCAAAAATATTAAAAAAATTATAAACAAGTGCGAAACAGCTGCAAATCCCACCCATGTGTGCAACTCCATTTAATAAAAAAAATAACATCCACAAAAAAAGAGGGAAAGTGATGAATAAAGAGTTGAGAATGGATATATATATATCGATCATGTAAAGGTGGTACTTACTAATTTTTATTGGATTTAAATTTACAGCAAAATGAAGGCGAAATGGGAACATGCGATGGATTTGGGGCGGAGAGGCGTAGGAGGGTTTTTTTTTTAGAGAGTTTGGGCCTCTCGGAGTGGGACGTGGGACCCATTTCCACCGTGGCCTTTTATTTATCCGTCGATTTAGATTCCGTAACAATTGATCTCCGCCGTTGATTTTGATGGGGCCACTTGGAAACAAAAACTTAAATCAAAATTTCCACGGTTTGACCAATCACAACACATTTGAAGACATTTAAAATTTCCCCTTCTCTTGCTCCTTAGCTTTAAGGAGTGATAATGCTAATAGACATGAACGTCGACCACTGCATAGCTGGTAGTTATTATCTATAAAAATCACATTATTAGGGGTAGACGTTTCGGGTTTCGGTTCGGTTCGGGAACGATATTTTCGGTTTTATAAAAAATGTACCAAATTAGAACCGAATGTTAAACGGTTCGGTTCGGTTCGGAACGGTACCATTATATGAATACCAAATAAGTACCGAACTATAATATTTACACATATATTAGTGGAATATTTGAATTTTAGTTCGATATTCATACGATTCGGTTCGGTATTCATACGTTTCATTCGATTCCATAAAAAATGTATCAAATTAGAACCAAACGTTATTCGGTTTGGTTCGATCTGGTTCGATTTCGGGACAGATCGGGTCGGTACTAAATTCCCGAACCGAAGTGACCATCCCTACATTATATTATGCGTATTATCTCTAAATAAAAAAAACTGTGTGGATGAAATGAATCGTTTCCAAATAAAAAAGACGAAAGCGATCCGACATAATCTGAGATCCAACGGTCAGGAGTTCCCTGACCGTCCAGGCTTTAAAATTTTCAACGGTTCATAATTCCCAAGACTATGAGGCCCCAAATCGGTTAGCAACCATTGTTTGTGGTTTGTGTTACGGTCGAATGATACTCTTTTACGAATTCTTCGTCTTTCTTAATTTTCATTTAAATAATTCTGACATCCTGGTCGAGATGCTAAAGTTAATTTTATAAAAATTGTAATTTTGAAAATAAGCCAAAGCATAAAAAAAATATTCAATTAAAATATCAACTATATACAAATTCAAATAATATTTATTTTTAAAAAAAAATTATAAAAATATATTATTTTTATGAAAGAATGTTGGAATTTTAATTTAGAGTTCTAAGAATAATATTGTTTTTTTTAACAGTTTCTCTTCAAAATAATCAAGAATCCAAACACATTGGATGATGGATCCTTAGCTTAGTTTATTGATTTGTCCTTCTCGAGTTTGCGATAAGTGAAAAGGCCGAGGACAGTCTGTGGCCCAATTAAAGTTTATTGGGCCAATACTTTGGTACGATTGGGCGTATATTATAAAGTTTTGATTGGTGTTTTCATCGCCACTTTTTTTTTTTTTAAAAAAATATTTAATTCTCATCGAAATATCAGAGCCGACATGGATTTTTTTTGGGAATTATAACGAATAAATGGTTTCAGGTATTCTTTTAAAAATGATTTTTTATTAGTAGAACCTATTTATAGAAATTCATAACGACTAATAACCTTTCTGGCGTATAACAGACAAGTTTGAAAATATTATTTCAATACTTATCGGGGGACGATTCAATTTAGTCATCAAATCTTTGAATACCCCACCGACTTTCGAGTGATATGTACGGTTAGTTATTAAGTCTACGGATATTTTTAGACATAGTTTATTTGCGGCAACACAAAAGGAAGAAGATTAGTCAATTGTAAAATTTGAAGAATTTGTCTATAAAAACTATAGTCTAAAAATACAAATATTCGGACTTTTGTATATTTAAACCGTGGGGGTAATAAATTAGGATGTCATGTAATGATAATAAAATTGAAAAAGTGGCACGTGCGAGAGAGTGTAGTCGTGTCCAACCCAAAACATGTCGCAGAGGGATTTGGTGTCCGTATTTACCTCGTCTTCAACCGTAATTCCCTCGATTTCACCTTCAAATATAGTCTCACCCCCCAAACCCTAACCTATTTACTTCTCTCCTCTTCCTCCACGTTTGATTTCTCACATCTCCTCCTTCAGAGGCGAACTCCTCCGTCTTTCTAGATTCTCATCTCGATCTCTCTCGGATTCTTGTTCCAATTTCTCGTATTGGAGCAATTTCGATGGATCGTCATGTTCAGGATTCGTCGGGTGCCATGAAGACCTCCAATTCTTACCATATGAATACCTCATCGGCGGCGTTGCCGTTGTCGCAATCGGCATGGCTCGAGGTTCGTTTGTTCTACGTCCGCGTCTCGCCCTGCGTCGTTGACAACGTCCCGGACCACCTCACTCTCCGTCACCCTCGCCGCGAGATCGGAGCCTCCCTCGACGTCAACGGGGTCCGTGTTCCCGCCTCCCAGACGGCGTCGCTCGTCCTCCGGCGTGACCGGCTCGACCGGGAATCCTCGGAGGTCACGTACGTCAGCACCGAGACCGTTCGTGTCACCGGGTGCGTGGATTTCGAGGTTTACGACAACGGTGATATGATCCTGTGTGGGAACCTCGACAGAATCGATGGCGCGTGGAGCAACGGTACCGTGAGCGACCCGAAGACTGGGTGGGGAATGGATTGCTACATGGCAATGGGTAACGGGTCGGGTCCGTGTTCGACGGCGTTTTTGCAGCCGAAGTTAGGCGTATCGTCTCCTTTGGTGGAGGTTTATATAGCGGGGTGCTGTGGCGGCGTGCCGGTTATATTGACTAAGACAATTCAGGTGAGCCCGAGGAGGAAGGTGGCAAGACATGTGACCCTCGACGCTATCCCGGAGGACGAGGAGGTCGGAAAGGATCGAGACATTGTTGGTGTTGGCGTTACCCGTAATGGATTGCTCCGACAACGGAAGGTATCATTCAGCGTTAGCATGTTCTGGTTATTCTATATCTTGAATTGGATCATCACCCTGAATTGAAAACAGAAAACAAATTACCCTGATGCCTAGTAGTCTTAGCTTGATTTCTGTGGAGAGTTCTCGGCGATTGGTCGGCAGAATAACATAGGTCTGGCTTTCATGGTGAAGGGACCTGATTCTTGTGTCCGTCCGTGACATCTTTGTCTGATTCTTAGATGCCCATAAAGCCTCTTTGCACAAGTAGCTGTCCAAGTTGTGTTTGAGTGATTTTATTTGCACGCAGCACAATAAAAGTTCCACCATAGACGTATGTACTAAGGGTTCGATCAGCAATGAACCGATTCTAGCACAGCGTGTTCATCTAAGTGGTTTTCTGAATTCTGGGATATGATATTGCTTATATGATCTCATGTTGGCCATCTAATATGTGCAGAATGTGGAATCAGAAGAGGATGAATACGAGTGTGAAATGAAAAGGTACTACAGTGAGGAGATGTACATGATGGAGGAGGATGGGCAGCTGTCATGGTTCAATTCAGGCGTAAGAGTGGGAGTGGGGATAGGACTTGGAATGTGCATTGGAGTTGGGATAGGAGTCGGGCTGCTGATGCGTTCATATCAAGCGACAACCCGCAATCTCCGCAGGAGATTTCTGTGAATGGAGATCGGATGCAAAGGCATCATCTTCAAAGATTTCTTGAGATCAGTTAACAAGAAAGGGTGGCGACTACTGTATGAGAGTTTTGGTGTAGTAGATAGTTAAATGAAAGAATGTACATAGCTTTGGGGGAACGGGTCCATGTGAGTGTAAAAATCGGCTTTTTGTTCATAGAGCTCTAACAAGAGCGTGTTCCCACCGTTTGTGTTTTTGTTGAATGAAGAGTTGTAGCTTTTGTATATAGCGAGAGATTTGTGTTTTTGTTTTTGGCATTATATATATATGTAAATCAGTTCAATCATCCCTTAATTGGTTGGTTTTGGAACAACTGGTTGGTTTATAATCATTTTTATTACACAACTCCTAGACTTGGAATCATTCCACAAAACAAAAGGAAACACACAAATGGAGAGAGGGCGCGGTGGGAAAAAGATACGGACCTATGTAATAAAGTTTGCCTGCCGAGAGATCCGAACACGACGTCGTATGGGGGCCACGGAGAATGAATCAACAATTCAACATAGACCAATTAAAATTATAATTACGCCCCCCCCTTTTCGAGGAATTTATGTAATCGACCCCTTATCTTTCCCATAATTACGGATTTAAACCCTAACGACGACGACCGAATTCAAGATGTCGTCCACTCTTCCAGAGTAGGGAGAAGAAGCAGATGAGCAAGATCCGGTCCCCTCCTCCGACGATGCCCCACCGCAACCACCCTCCGGTGACGACGCTCCCTCTCGTCGTCACCCTCAGCTGTGTCGAAGATTGTGCTCTCGAGCAGGACTCCCTCTCCGGCGTCGCCCTCGTCGAACACGTCCCCCTCAGCCGCATCGCCGACGGCAAGATCGAATCCTCTTCCGCCGTTTTCCTCCATTCCCTCGCTTATCTCCCACGCGCCGCCCAGCGCCGCCTCCGTCCCCACCAGCTCATCCTCTGCCTCGGCTCCGCTGACCGCTCCGTCGATTCGGCCCTCGCCGCCGACCTCGGTCTCCGCCTCGTCCATGTCGACACTTCCCGCGCCGAGGAAATCGCCGATACCGTCATGGCTCTCATCCTCGGCCTGCTTCGCCGCACGCACTTGCTCTCCCGTCACGCTCTCTCGGCTTCGGGGTGGCTCGGATCGGTTCAGCCGCTTTGTCGGGGAATGAGGCGGTGCCGTGGTCTGGTTTTGGGAATCGTTGGTAGATCCGCGTCTGCTCGGTGTTTGGCTACGAGGAGCTTGGCTTTCAAGATGAGTGTGCTCTATTTTGATGTTCCGGAGGTATGCCTTTTGAAAATGCTTTACCCTAGCTTCCTGATTTGAGCGCATTCTTTCCCAACAAGCTGTTGTTCTCATTCTTATGGTGTCTTAATCTTGCAAAACAAGGCCAGTGCAAAGTGGTTTGAGATCCGTCTGTAGTTTTATCATGTTTTAAGCACCCAAAGTTTGTTCCTTTGACTCTCTCTCTGGTTAACACATCCGACTGATTTTTTCTGGTTCTGCCTTAAGTTGCTGCTCAACTTATGATGTGTTAACGTTTTGCCTCTGAGTGAGATCCTATGGGCTTTGATGTTTTGTTCGTTATTCATGGTTTCTTTCTCATGACTTCAGGGAGATGAAGAACAACGCAGGCCCTTGAGATTCCCACGTGCTGCCCGAAGAATGGATACATTGAATGATCTATTAGCAGCAAGTGATGTAATTTCACTTCACTGCGCATTAACAAATGATACAGTTCAGATAATTAATGCGGAGTGTCTGCAGCATGTAAAGCCTGGTATGCATTTTCGTATCGAATGGGCGAAATAGATTTGTGATTCTCTGAGTACTTTCCTAAATGACTAACACTCATGGTTCTGCTTTGGCTATTTCAGGGGCATTTCTTGTAAACACGGGAAGCAGTCAGTTGCTGGATGATTGTGCTGTGAAGCAACTTCTTATTGATGGCACTTTAGCTGGCTGTGCTCTTGACGGTGCTGAAGGACCACAGTGGATGGAAGCATGGGTATGAGCTTTGATTCATTCTACTTAAGCTTCACATACTGGAAATCTTGGGCCTGCATAATCTCATTTTTCGCTGTCTTCAAGACTTATTTTTCTTTTTGTTGTTTCTTAGTAGCCCCAAACAAAAAGGGCCTCCTTTTCCTAAAGATTCCGTTATTCTCTAGGTGAAAGGGGTATATTGTGTTGGTTTTAACTTGTTTGAAAGTCTCCGAAAGTTCGTGGCATTATTCGAGCTCGAACTGTTCCAATTTCTAATTCAGCTTCTGTCATGAATTCTGGTCTTAATGTAACGTGGTCCCTCATCTGATATGTTCGATAGGGAATACATGTCAACTTTGTTATTTTGAATTGAGTTAGAGGGATTAGATTGCTGCCTCTTCTTTGAACTGCTCTGTCATGGAACATATGGTTTTAGTTGTCATGGTGGTGAATTTGTGTTGCAGCTGAGTAATATGATAGCATTACTAGGTAGATTATAACACATTACTCACCATATGTTGTCTCTATTGCAGGTGAAGGAAATGCCAAATGTATTAATCCTACCACGCAGTGCAGATTATAGTGAGGAAGTATGGATGGAAATACGGGAAAAGGCCATCTCTATCCTGCAATCGTTTTTCTTCGATGGTGTAATTCCAAATAACACTGTTTCTGATGAGGAAGTTGAGGAGAGTGGAGCTAGTGAAGAAGATGAACAACCATCTATCAAGTATGCAAAATCAGCACCAATGGAACCCACCAGTAGGCAACAGGCAGAAAGTACACTCACTAATAGCGGAATCGTCCAGAAAAAGGTTAGCAGTGAGTTAAAGGACTCTCCTAGCTCTGGTCAGCAGCAAAGTTCTGCTCTGCCTCAAGATACTGCCGCGAAAGCTGAGGTAAGACGTAGCAGATCAGGGAAGAAAGCTAAAAAGAGGCATTCACAGCAAAAAACCATGCAAAAGCCTGACGATGTTTTGGGGTCACATATAGAAAGTGCTTCAAGGGGAGAGGATACTGCCATGAGTGACACTGAAGAAGTATTAAGTTCAAGTTCTCGGTGTGCCTCTCCTGAAGATTCAAGAAGCAGGAAAACACCTCTAGAATTGATGCAGGGCTCCTCTTCTGAGCAGATTGTAATGTCAAGCAAGAAGTTCAGCGGAAGGTCCAGTGAACTGCTGAAAGATGGCTATGTAGTAGCTTTGTATGCCAGAGACCTCACGGGACTCCATGTTTCCAGACAAAGAACTAAAGGCGGTGGTTGGTTCCTGGATGTAATGTCCAACGTAACGAAACGGGATCCCGCTGCCCAATTCATCATCGCCTACAGAAACAAGGTTCGAGCAAACAACCATAGTTTGTTTCCAATTTACTAATCTGTGAGATCTGAATATTCTCCCAACCGATTGTTTGACATGCAGATGAAGTATGGCCATCCACTCAAATGAATAATATATATATATATATATATATATATATATATATTTATATACGTATATGCAGTTCTGGTGTACACAGATTTCTTTTTCCAGTTGTGGAAGAGTTGTCATATTCTTCCGAGTGGCTAATAGGGATTGCTACTGAACCTTTAATTATTCATACAGGATTCTGTTGGTTTGCGGTCTTTTGCAGCTGGCGGGAAGCTATTGCAGGTATATTACTATTATACAGAGAATTCATGAAAAATAGGAATTAATTCAGCCGGCAAAACCAGACAAGCTGGTAGGAACAGATGTGGGGGTGAGCCGGATTTTGTGCAGTGGAAAGCATGTGGGAACTAATTGAGGGCAGTGTGTGAGCTTTTGCAGATTAATAGAAGAATGGAGTTTGTGTTTGCTAGCCACAGCTTCGATGTGTGGGAGAGTTGGTTGCCAGAAGGTTCTTTGGACGAATGCCGCCTTGTTAACTGCCGGAATTCCTCTGTAAGTCTCTCCCCCTTCCACCGGCAAATCACTTCAATTGAAATCCTAAACAATGCGAGATTTAATGTACTCTTTGCGATAAAAAAAACACTATTGGACTAAAGCTATAGCAAAAACTGGTGATTTAGCTGCCTGGATACTGTAACTGGCTCGGTAGCCTTCTGATGTCATTAATCTTTATTGGAAAATGCTGAGGAAGCTGTGAAATTGGTCTTCTTCTTCAGGCTGTATTGGAGGTGAGGGTGGAGATTCTGGCAACCGTTGGAGAGGACGGTATCACACGTTGGATTGACTAATAGCTTCGTTTTTGTGAGTCTCTGGGTTATTAACTCTAAATGGAGCCTCTGGATTTCGAATTTAACAATGGTGTGGTTTTGGTATCAAATGTGGATCAATTTTTATCTGTAAACAGTTGAGCCTGCGGTTCTTCGAGCGAATACCATGACCTTTTTTGGGTCTTCTAATTGTTTTGTGTTAAATAGGGTTGTGGGTGTATTCTTGTTCTGCCGTCGAGGAGGAAGGTTCATTCTTTTGGGTCTGCCGGATGAAGCAAATTACTATTACTTGTCACACCCAAACCTCAGAGAGGTCTCCCCACCACACAACTTAACTTATCTGATACCATTAGAAGTGATGCGAAATCTTAACGCCATGGACAGGAAATCACAACTCTTCTTCTCGAGAGCAAATTGGCGGATGGTAAAGAAATCCAAGCAAAACTAAAAACATAAAAAAAAAAAAAGTTCTTCGGTGGACACAACAGCGAATCGCAAATGGTTTCTCCAGTTACATTGCCCAAACCTAAAACCCCCACTTGATGGTGCGTTTTTGTACTTCTGGGCACGTGTATATTTTTTACATTTGGCTTTCTCAAAGTGCACAGTGAATTATCTGTGGCCAAAGCCCAGGTCGAGGCCATAACCCAAGGAGCCCTGTCGGTGAGGACCACCGGCTTGACCCATCATCGGTTGGATCTGCTTTGGGTCCATCCCCAGGAATCTCTGCAGTGACCCTGAATTATCACTTCCCTTTACTTGGGTAACTAAAAGCACAACACAGAAAAAAAAAACATTAACATATACAGGACAGATATAAAAAATGCATCAACGGTATACGGTTTCCAACGGAAAACATTCAATTTATCCCCCAAAGCTTTAACCTTCAACACCATTCATTACTGCCCCTATAGCAGTTGAACCAAGCCCATGACGGCCTTTACGAGGTTGTATTGTATAATAGTAAAAGAGGAGAAAGATCCGTATGTGTTGTCATACCTGGAGGTGGCATGTTATGTCTAGCAAAGTTTGGCTGCCAATGGGCAAAAGGAAAGCCTTGCGATGCACTGAGGCCGGGTACCACACCTGGCATCTGATTGTTCACACCAGGAGGTTGATGGTGCAGTGGACCCCCGGGAAATCCTTGTAACACATGGTGGGGGTGAGGCATGTTGCTTCTCATGTGCATTTCCTGCAACATAGGATGAGAGTGACGATCTAACTCAGGAACCCCACCAGGAGAATGATGGAAAGGTGGGTGAATCATGTTTGCTGGAAACTGGTGATTTGGGGGATGATCCTGATGAAAGCTGCCTGTGGCCATTAAATCGCTCTGAGACTTTACAGTACCATGATGAGGATCAAATGAGTGGAACAAAGGACCCGAACCATTTAGATGAGAAGGTTGCAGCTGCGGGTGAGCACTAGAAGGCTGAAATGGGAGGTCTGGCCCATTTGGGTAGTGAGGTGGATGACGGAGGAAAGGACTATCTTGACTTCCTATTGGCAGTCTTTCTTTCCTTGGGCCATAATTCAAGGCAGCTAGCTTCTCAGCGAGATTAAATGGCCCTTCTTTTGGTTCTTGATTAGGGGAACCTTGGAAAGGTACGAATTTCTGCATGTTCGCAGTGCCGTTAACTGCAAGTAAGTTATCCTCTCCCAGGAGACCAACACCAGCAGCACCAATCCTAGGGCCCAGTTCAGTTGCATTGTCTGCAGAACGAAATAGACCTCCAGGAAGGCCATCTGATCTCATTTGATCACTTTGGCTCGCTTCACTGATAGACTGGTCTAATCTGAATGGGGTCCCGGCTAGGAGAAGACCTTCATCTTTAGCTGAAAGAGACAAACTATGAGCTTCAGAAACTCCAGCATTTGCAGAGGCAGATTCTCCAACAGATTGCAGTTCCTTCATGAAGGCACTCCCGAAAAGAGTTTCAAGAGTCAAAGTATTCCCTGAATCTGCTGCCTCTCTGCCTATTCCACTAGTTTCAGGTGGTTGCTCAGCGGATGGTCTACTTTCTGCATTTGAAAATAGCCGCATAAACTGATTTTCAGGGCCTGCTCCTCTCTGCAGCAAAGAAAGTAGGTGATGCGAAGCATGGTCATCAACATATGCTTTTTGCTGTTTGTTCCTCACAGAAGAAACATCCGAGTCTCGCATAGCTGGTGGTGGATGCGAATAGCTATCACTGACTTCAGACAGAATAGACTGTTCAAGGTCTTCACAGGTGAGAACCGGTGGAACAGCTGCAGATTTACTAGGGGAAGTATAGATAAGCTGATCAGGGTTTTTAGTGTCATGGCCTTGGAAGGGCAGCCTTGCTGAGAGTTCATCCTTGGATTTTACATCAAATATTTGGAGTTTATTGGCACCTTGAAGCAGTGAGAGCAAGCCGTTTGACTGCTCGCTGGATGAGATATCTTCATATGGTTTGTTATCTGTGTTTCCTAGAAAGAAAAAAAATAAGAGTAGGTTAAGACTTCAAGGTTGCCATAGGGCAGCATCTAGACGGTGATTACCTTCTTCAAGAAACAGACCTGCAAACTTGGAAGATTTGACGGTTTGAGGGCTCGATCTTTCCTCTACTTTATTGTCATTTTGCTGCAAAGAAGGAGACAAATACAATATCGAATGAGGTGCTACAAAAGTTTCACTAGAAAACTATGCACACATGGAAACAAGCATTCATCTGAGATGGGGAAAAGAAATAATCAAAGAATTGATGCAATCAATGAGATTATATAACATAGACCATCCTTCTTTCCACATCAGCATGCCGTAATCATGTGATTCAAGGGCGCTGACAACTTCATAACAACTATATCATCCTACCATCTTGTAATATGTATATCATATAAAAAAAGATAGATGCACCATTTGAACCAATAACAAAGCTCATATTGGTTACAGATTATAAAGAAAATAACAAAAAAAGTTTAAGTAATGATACAGGTAAGGAAGTTACCTCTGTAAAATTAGAGTCCTTGCCATCATTCAAGTTCAAAGCGGCATTGAATAGCTTATCCAGGATTGAAGCTCCATCCGAGTTCCCTAAGCTTTTCTTCTGGTCCAACTTTGTGATAGCTTGTTCACTCTTTTCAGAATATCCTGAGGCTTCACTAAAATTTGAGATGCAGGGAAGATTCTCAAAACTTTTATCTCTGCCAATTGTATCAGTAGTTATTCCAAGAACTGTAGACAGATCAACAGCCCTTTCACTTGTGTTAGTGGAGATATTGACATCAGTACTTCTCATCAACAGCTCACTTGAGCCCGTTTGATTTGCCGGTGCTTTCTCCTCATTGTTACCAGACATCCCATTCACTAGATGACCATCTTTTGAATTCAACAGACTACCTTCATGTTGATAAACTCCAGTCTGCACAGAAGGTGAGAACCAGTTAATCAAAGGTGAAGAGAAAATAAGCATGAGCAAAGAGGGGGCCGTTAACAAGATTTCCAAGATGATATCATCAATCATCTCCTAAAAGCAACCTTAACACGACAGCTATTACCAAGATGAAAATGTATTGCTTTCAAACAAAGACTCACAAGCATATAACCATCACAAAATAGTCCCACAATCAAAGTTCAACTCTCAGTCATTAATCATGATGAATGCCTTGCGCACAGTATCTATAGAAACGGTCAAAAGCTTGATAATTCTAGGCATGAGTTTTCTCCTTTACTTCACCAACAGAAGGAGCTGAGAATCTTTATATCACGATGTGCAGAATACGGGTAACATGTTCCTCTTTCAAGCAAGAATGATATTTCTATAAGAAAGGCACTTTCAGTTTCTATCTTTACATCATTGTTGTGAGCATATTAACCTCTATTTTGCACTTGTTTAGGTATGTCAATAACAAGAGAGAATACTATTAGAGGAGAATTTCTATTCAACAATATGCAAATGAGACAAGAAAGATATCGAGAACACCCCAATCAAATCATAACCAAGCATGGAATTCTAAGAAACAGGCACTTACAGGAGGCTTCACTCCCGGTTTTCCTTCCAAAGGCGTGTTTGCAAAACCAGGAGGTACGAGTGGTCTGGGAGTAGTATTTTGAGGTGGAACCACAGTGTTATTGGAACCAGGAAGTATTGAAGATTCACAGACATGATTGCTTCTACCTAATTGGCCTTTTTCATCCTTCGAATCCTGCAACAGTTCAGTGAGATCAAATCCCTTTTTCCGCCCTTCTGGACTTAATTTTTGCCTCTCCTGGAATGCTTTGTGTTGTTCTTTCCTCATCAACTCAAAGGAAGCTGAAAGAAAGTTGAGAATGTCAATTCGAGTTTGATTTTGATAGAGAGAGAGAGCAAAATGCAAGTATAGGCTCTAAGAACTACACAACTGGCAAAGACCTAATTATAGAACAGCACTCAACAACAGTTCCGATGTACCTCTTCTCTTCCTCTCTTCTTCTGCTCTGTCTTCACTTGTAGAGTCAGAAGAACCAAATGTTTCATCATTGAATGAGTCTTTTGTGTCGCGCCGTGAGTAAGGTGATGCCTACAAAAAAAAAAAAGGAAATTTAAGAAGCCAAGTTATTATAACTAATTTGAAACTTCAGCTGTAGGCCTCATAACAAGACATGATCCAACATAGTGAACCATCACAAAGAGTCAAAGACAAATGATAGCCCCACAAAGACAAATGGGCATTTCACCTTGTATGGGCGTGGAGGATGATAAGGCTCGTTGCTTCTACTCAGCTGATACGCATCATTAGATTGAGACCTTTGACCAGATGTGCCCACACCATATCCAGATGACCTGGGAAAAGAGCCTCTTCCTAGAAGTCCATCATGTTCAGGAGCTTGCCAAGGTCTCCGTGAAGGCATGCCATAACGCCTTCCAGGCTCTGCTATCACGACAAATCGTTTATTATCAATTTCTTTTCAAGTTCACCAGAGTAGCCTTTTTGCCATTTACCATAGTACAGATATAAAAACTTACATTGGAACATATTGAACAACCAGCTGGATAGAATTCTAGCAATCACAATAATGAACAATGTTTTACCAATTGAGAAGTATATCTGAAAGATTATGTTTTGGGGTAATGACAAACAAAGACAAAGATAGACGGTTTCGGATTGCAAAAGTCCACCAGAGCGCCCTTCTCATCAAAACAATGGGAAACAAGTAACAAATAATACCTGAGTCCCATTCGGATTGTGAATCAGTAACTTTATCATTCCATCCACCAGAGCGATCTTCCCATTTTCCATGGGTTCCTCGAGAATAACTACCCATTTCACCCCTGGTAGGTGGAGACGAACTATAGTCATTCTGCCTGAAACCATGAGATGACAAATCGCTAGAAATCCTTCGATGCTCTGGCAAAGGATCTTCTGAGTCACTGCTCAAGGAGGAGGGTAAAATCACAACACATTTCTCAAAAGCAAATAGCATAGCACATAAAAAAAGCATGGAATTTAACAGACGCATTTGTATAGAAAAGAGTCTCACCGTAATAGTGATTCGTCAAATCCACTTGGCAGCTTTGGGAGCTTCTTGCAAACATCCAAGTTACTCAAGGATAAAAGAAACTCTCTCTTGTATGAAATTCTTGGTTTCCTGATTCAATAGAAGAAATTATAACTTCTCTGATGTTTATGATGAGAGTAAAAGTAAACTTACGCATCATTGACAGAATATATAACCTACTTTGAGGATCCATCATTGGTTTCAACAGGTGGATCCATCGTAAATTGTTGATTATTATCTACACTCATTTTGCAAGCAGACAATATAGCTATACCCTCCCCCCCAAAATCACCCCGACTCTTAACTCAGTCCAAAACGTAAATATTTCCAAAATCCTGTAGAACCACGACAATGAAGATCAATATTACAGGGCATAACATTTTCTCATCTCTCTAATGGCCACCATTAAACTAAATCCAGCAAAATCATAATCCCAGCTACCAATCAACAAGAAACCCGCGATTCACCACCAGTAGCCTAGACCGGTCATCTCGATCGAGCTATATGTACAATAAGATTTACAGACGCAGAAAAATCTAGCTATCCTTCTACAATCCTCGCCCAAAACTGCGAAATTTCCGGAAATCTAACAGCAGAAACCGAGTGTCTTGCTCATCCTTAAATGGTAAATCTTATCTCGCACCGGATTCCAAGGAAGCATTTCCGGCCAACAAAAAATTCGAATCGGTCAACCTCATATGGAGATCGAACGAGACAAATTCTAGGGATTCTTCCGCTAATCTAAGATGTTCGACAACTAGGGTTTCGGCGCCGCCGGGAAAACACCTGGATTCCAGAATACACCTGTTTAAAGAGACGGCAAAAATCTCCGATTCCAAGAGATGAGGGCAATGGCGAAGAAGATTAGGGTTTGGGCCTGTAAGAAAGCTTTCTGGTTCCTCCGGGTTTTAATCGATTTGCAAGAAAGAGTTGATCGTAGAAAGAAAACGAAGTCTTACAGAGAGAGATTGTCTTTCATGGAGGCAGGTAATGAACTTCCACGCGCCTGTCTCGCGTGACTTCACGGTCATTGTTTTTAGAAAGTCTTTAAATGACTAGATTAAATTTTTTTTGAATTGTATCATTTGTTGACATTAATATAATAAAAACTTATAAAGATTATTTGTTACATTCATCCAAAAATATATCTATATAATTTAATTATTGTAAATCATCATTATATTATTTATAGAATGAATATTAAAAAATATAAAGTTGTATAAAAATATGAGTGTCGTTGTCTACACATTATATAAGTTCGATGTAAACAATTTGTTATGAGTGTCTTAAATCTCGATTTTTTTATGCGTGATGTGCGAGTTATTTTTTATTTGATTATAAAATATTATTGATATGAATGTATTAAAAAATATTTTATATATTATGTAAGGTGAAAACCCTTAAAAATTCTCAAACTTCAAATTCGGTTGAATACTAATGTGAAAATTTATGCTGTTGTGTCATATATGTCACATTGGAAATCTATATTTTTTTTTCTTCATTTGCAAACTATACCTTTATATAAATTTTTGACAAAATCCTTACTTTATTATCTAAATTCAGTATTGTCATTTAGTGCTCCGAAAAATATGCAGCATAAAAAAGTAATTGTTTTTTGGAAACTGTGTTATCCGGGAGAACTGTTTTTTCATCTATGAAACATGTTTTTCATCTAACACCCATTTTCGTCCGTGAGAACTATTTTTTATCCGAAAAAACTGTTTTTCAACCGGATAAAAAACAGTTCTCCCGAACAAAAAACAGATTCTCACGGACGGAAAACATATTCAATCATTAAAGAAATGAATAAATAAAAGAATATAAATATCATTATATTATCACTATAATAATAATATTGTTTTATATATAAATCATCTCATATTTCAATATAAATTTATTTTATAAATTTACTATATATTATAAAAAAAATTCAAACATTACATAAAAAACAGTCAGAAAAAAGATATTATTAGGTATATATATTGTTGTTAATTTATTGTGAATTTTGTATTATATATGTTATTGGTTTTTAGATTTATTTCGTATTATATATATATGGTGTGAAATGGAATAATATTTATATTATTAATTTGTTTATAAACTAATTTAAAAAATTAAATATCACATTATGGTGTAGCAATATTTTTTATAAAATTTCTCATCTTAATATCTATTAAAATTGAATCATATATTTCATGCATTTGGTGGTAATAATTTAATTTAATGCAAAATGGTAATGATAATATTAGTTATCCAATTTGACTCTTTTGGCATCAAATCCAATGGTCAAGTGGACCATAAAAATATTTTAATTCTTATTCACTTCAAAATTATGATTAATGCAATGTTACAAGAGATAAAACATTCACGGCAGAGAAAGTCAATTAATACGTATATTCATATACGTATACGTATATACACATATACATATTTATATATACATATATACGATACATATTTATACAGATATATATATAAATATTTAAACATACATATATATATACATACATATATATATGATTTAGACAATCATATTCTACATCTTGTTATTTAATACTGTCATGTCAAAAAAAATGAAAAAGAACAAAATTTTATAGATACATAAAAATTTCTCAACTTGCAAATGGTTGAAAAACTAATTTCTTACCTTGTAGGCTAGGGAAAAATTCTTGCAAATCATGTCATTAGAATGCTTGAACTTGTAAAACAGAGCCAATTAAATGTTTGATCAACGTTGAGTGTCATTTATATTAAATATTATCCTACATGGTATTCCATATCATATTTTATGTCAAAATTAATTGCCATAGCCATTCTTGAATTAAAGAAACGTTAAAAAAATAAACGGCAAATGAAATCAGATTGCTAAAACAGTCGAGATTTAATGGTTCATTTAAAAATAAAAAACCATAAAATTCTCTCCCAAATATATAAAATCCTAATCCTTCTTCCGTATTGAACCCTAATTCCTCTTCTTAAACCTCTTTGCTTTCGTCTTCTTCGTCGACATCTCTTATTCGATTTTCCCTCTCCGTCGACTTCTTCCATTTCGTCTCTTCTTCGGTTTCTATCTCTCCTAGGATTTCATCGACTTTCGATTTCTTCGACTTCATCCCTGGGTTTGACTTGTATCTTTGTGGTCTTCGACTTCTTCAACTTCATCTCTAGATTTGACTTGTAATTCTTCGACTTCTATCTCTTTTGGATTAAAAACAAAAAATGTATGACAAATAAATTTAAACCAATATCATTTAGTGGAATTGATTTATATTTCGTAACTTAATATCACATCTCTTCTATATCTCTTATTTTTTTTTATATATTTTCTCAAGAGATGAATCATTCTTTTCTACTATTCTTTTTTTGATTGTTTATGGGATTGAACAATATTTTTTAAAATAATTTGTTATGTTATACTTTATGGACATCATTGATGTGTTTTTCAGAGTTTGCAACACGTGGAGCGAAAAGAATGTCTGTATTTTTTAAAATTTTTATTTTTAAACTATATATTTTCAATTTCATTATTAAAGACAATGTAACAACCCAGAAAATAACTCAAGTTCGCTTGAAAGAAAATTCAAATCTTTTATATCAAATTCAAACCTATTTTGTCTAACAGATTTAAATAATCCAAAAAATTTCTAAGATAAACAGATTCAAGTTAATGAACTTTTTTGATAAATCGATTCGTGGAATCGGTTTTATTTATCGATTTAATTTGCTTGCATTATTTAATCCTGGGATTAACGATGTGGCAATTATTATGACGTGGAATATCATGTAGACAATATTTAACAGAAATGATGGTTAATGTTGGTGGAAATTTTAATCGGAACTGTGTTGCAAGTTTAGAGATTCTAATAAAAAACTACAAGTCGAGGAATTAGTTATCCTACCATTTTTAAGTTAAGATTTTGTTTATGGACATATATATATATATATATATATATATGTAATATGCATCGGCTTGACCATAAAATCTCAATTTTGGTATTTCCTCAAGTAGCAATCTTCTTTCCAATACGTTTAATATTTAACTTATACTTTTTGTAAATTTTAGAACCTAAACCTTTTAATATCAATGAACATTCCACCAAATGACGATATATCATATCAGACAATTAATGTATATGTCCAATATATATTTTACATTTTGTTTATGTTTTTATTTATATTTTTTTGTCTTTTATTTTCATAAAAGAGTTAACTATTTTTTTATTCGGTTTGAATAATGGTTTAACTTAAATTTGAATTGTATTAAAATCAAAAATGGTTTTTTGTCTTTATTTTTTTATTTAGACTAACAATGAATTTTATGAAAAATGATTAGATTTATCAAAATTCCTCAACTCTCTTTATTATTTGTGAATTTATTTTAAAATCTTAACATATATTTTCTAAAAATTTTAACAGTTACTATTAATTTTACAAAGAGAAATCTAAAAATTATATAATTATATCAAAATTTCGAAATAAATAAATATTAAACTTTTTTTCGATTGTTTTTGTTTTTTGTAGTTTTTGAATTTTTTTATAATATTTAGTAAATTCAAGAATTTATTTATATCAAAATATGAGGTAATTATTCATGCAAACTTATGATTATTATCATTGTTAATATAACACATAAAAATTCTAGATTATTTAATATATCAATATATATATAGAAATGCTAATAAGATAAAAATACAATAAATTGAAATTGAAATTAATTACAAAAAGAGAGCTACCGTTTTTCCATTAGTAGATTAGTGAATAGTCTATCCAATAATAAATATTCTTACTACCGTTTTTGTTTGTAAGTAGTGGAGTAGGCAATAAATATTGTATTTAAATTATAATAATACATTTATAAGCCATATTCTATTTTTATGGTTATTAGCTGGATAATAAATATTCTTACTACCGTTTTTGTTTGAAAGTAGTGGGGTATTCTATTTAAATTATAATATAATAGTACATTAATAAGCCATATTCTATGTCAATAAAAGTTAAACAAAATAATGTAACTCATAAAGTTTTGAAATGACCAATCAAAATTTAAAAAATGGCAACATGGAATGCTTAGGTGGCTTCACCAAATCTCTTTAAACTCCTTTATTAATATATATTGATTTTGAGGATATAAACTCCGCAGTTCTACTTCGTATTTGCAATAATCGGGAAACAAATCCCTATATATTTTAAGTTTGACGATTTCGCCCCAATTGTTTTGTAAGTATAAATTGAACCATGAACATTACTATCCGTGTTACATATGCTGGTCGGTATTTGTCCAACTCCAGAATTTATGGACTAAACTTCAACATTTTGTATATGTTATTGATCAGCCGTAAAGAATTGAAATACATCATCATGTTCACGCAAGAGTAGCTTTCTCTGCCGCAATGTACCGGGACGTTTTTGACAATATCAATGTTTTAGGGTGAAAAAGAAAATCAGGGCGTAAAATAGGCCCATGGGCCATGGTATAAGCGTGGATGCAGATTCAGACGAAACGACGACGTTCGAGAAATCAAGGGCCCAATACCGAGGGTAAATGGGCCCGGGTATACCCATACCCATATTTACAATCGGCCTCATTTCCTCTAAAAGGAGGATCCATTTGTTGCCGTGATGGGTTTTCTTTTTATTGGCGTTTTCTCCAACCCAAATGTTTTTGTTTTTAAGGTACATATGAGTCGGAATTTTGTTGTATAAACTTTAAATTATTTTGTGATTTTTTTTTATGATGACGATTACCCGAATCTATCTTGGACTGTTGCTTTGACTTAATCGCTAAGGTTCTTGTCTCTCTCTCTTTCTAAAAGTCGTTTTTGTATTTGGTAATATATATCTTAATTAGTCTTTGTATGGAATTGGACTTGGATGGGCAGTTTAGTCTTTGACTCAATTAAGTATCTAATTAATTGTTAATTGACTAAAGATTTACCCTCTAAAATATTCTGATCCACCAATAATTAAAAAGGAAAGGAATAATCTTTTTGGCGAATGGAATGCTGCTCTGGCCACACCCATTATCTCTGTCTTCGCATCCTATCAATAACTCGTTCCATAATGTCTTTTAATATAACATCACCCAATAAACAATAGCATTTAACCATAAAACGGATTGGATATTGTATTAATCTCCTTGATATTACTAAAATATACATTTGAGGAGAGTTATATCGGCAATCAAACAACATGATTGGCTCAAATCGAATATCACCACATCCTAACAAAAACATAAAATTAAATATATAAATTCTGCCGGTCCATATAATATGAACGAAGTAATAATATCTGGCGGCTACGATGCCGTGGATTCCATGGAGATCACGCTGCACCGATGTCTGTATGGTGTCATCTCACCCCAACGGTCAAGCTCCGTCACCTAAAGACGTTTCGTTTACACAAAACTCCTCGAAAGAGGTTAGGTCCCTCTACTACTCTCTCCCCGCTCCCGTTAAAGGGTAAAACAGTCTTTTCATACGTCCTACCCTGGTCACCGTCACCTTATGCAAATACACGGCGGCGGAAATTCAGCCAGCTCATTCACACACGCACTCTTTCTCTCGAACACGGGCACTCTTGAAAGCTTTCGTAAATTCCATTGATTGGCGGATACACTTTTTTTTATTTATTTAATTTGATTCGTTTTGTTTGTTCATTTAATTCTATCTTTTGAATTTGTTCGGTTCTTCGGCCCCCCTGTTTTTGTTTCCGCTTCCAAGGCACATGCAGCGGCGATATCTTTAGATTCCCCGGAGAGTCGGATTCGTTAGCCGGAAAGTTTGAGGCTTTCCGGCGAGAACTGCTAAGAATCCGGAAACCCGTTATCGGAGAATTGCTGGGTTTTGTGTAACCGAAGTGAAAAAGGGGGCGATGTCGCTATACGACGCTACTTTTATCAACACCGAGCTCTCGAAACCAACGTCGATCTTCGGTCTCCGGCTCTGGGTCGTCATTGGAATCTTGCTCGGATCTCTCATTGTCATAGCTCTCTTTCTCCTATCCCTATGCCTAACATCTCGCCGGAAAAACCGAAAACCCCGAGCGGACTTCGGCGCCGTCGCCACGCCGCCGATCTCAAAGGAGATTCAGGAAATCGTGCACCACCACGCGCCGGTGGCGGACTATCACCACCCGACGCAAGCCGCCCCGGCGGAGATCCAGGTCGACATCGGGAAGATCGAGCACCGGGTTGTGTTCTCGGATCGCGTCTCGAGCGGGGAGAGTAGAGGAACAGTGAACACCAGCGAAACGGCATCGTTTTCGGGAAGCGGAAGCGTCGGGCCGGAGGTTTCGCATCTGGGCTGGGGCCGATGGTACACTCTGAGAGAGCTGGAGGCGGCGACGAACGGCCTATGTGAAGAGAATGTCATCGGAGAAGGTGGGTATGGGATTGTGTACCGCGGGATTTTAACTGACGGTACTAAGGTCGCTGTCAAGAACCTGCTCAATAACAGGTAAAAATCGGAGCTTTGGTTTCTATTTCGGCTCAACTTTTGGAATTTCATCATCAAATTCTGCTTCTTTACTCGTTTCTAACAGGGTTTTAGTTTTTCTGGGTTGAGTTTTTTACTCCCTTCTGGGTTAGTTGGCAGCCTGATAGTGCTTCTTTTGCCTGTTCGGCTTTTTTGGTACCGTTTGGTTTGTTAGTCTGCCGAGACACTTGAAGAAACAGGGTTTTACACTGTTTGGGATCCATTTAAGGTTGTTCTTTTGCTTCTGCACTCTGCTTTTTGTGCATTTTGATGGCTTGAAATGTATCCTTAGATTTCCCCAGTAGTTGCTTGACTTTGATCTTTGCTCTGTACACATTCCAGATCCAAAGATTACTGTGTCGTGACATCTGTCTCGTATGGTTCTTATGGACTGTCCTTACTAATAGTAGCAGCTTATCCTTCTGCATTGTCGTCTATGAGATTTCTCATGTTACTGTTTTGTGTTCATAAATTTTCAGGGGTCAAGCCGAGAAGGAATTCAGAGTGGAGGTTGAAGCCATTGGGCGTGTGAGGCATAAGAATCTCGTCAGGCTTTTAGGGTATTGCGTTGAAGGTGCATACAGGTCAGTAAACTAGCTGGTTATCTCTAACATTCAAATACTTTTCAACAACCGAGAAATATACTGTGTAGCATTATCTCTGTTTTCTTGAGACAGGATGCTCGTGTATGAATACCTAGACAATGGCAACTTGGAACAATGGCTACATGGTGATGTTGGGGATGTCAGTCCTCTGACTTGGGATATCCGTATGAACATAATACTTGGGATAGCGAAAGGGTACTCTCAAATACTAGAAAGTTCATCTCTTTATCCGCTGTTTGAATGGATTTCAAATGTGTAGATCTCTGGTATATCGACAGATTGGCGTACCTACACGAGGGTCTTGAACCAAAAGTTGTGCACCGAGACATAAAATCCAGCAATATCTTGCTTGACCGCCAATGGAACCCAAAGGTCTCAGATTTCGGACTTGCCAAGCTGTTGTGCTCTGAGAGAAGTTACGTGACAACCCGTGTGATGGGGACTTTTGGGTAAGTTCATAATTTGTGCACTCCTGGTAAATTTCAAATTAAGTATCTCGAGGATATTGATATCGGAAATAATCAATCCCTCGAATTTGTGGATGTGATCAGTTACGTGGCACCAGAATACGCTTGCACCGGAATGCTAAACGAGAAGAGCGATATTTATAGCTTCGGCATATTAATCATGGAGATAATCACCGGAAGAAATCCAGTTGATTATAGCCGACCTCAAGGAGAGGTATATATTCTCTCTCAAAACTGACATAGTTCGAGTGGTTCGGATGTGCACCAGTGACATGCATAAGCGAATGATTTGCAGGTGAATCTGGTGGAATGGCTGAAAACAATGGTGGGGAACAGGAGGGCTGAGGAAGTAGTCGATCCAAAGCTACAAGAGCCGCCTTCCTCCAAGGCTCTTAAACGTGTGTTGCTCGTCTCTCTTCGCTGTGTGGATCCTGACGCTAACAAGAGGCCTAAGATGGGACATATCATCCACATGCTCGAATCCGACGACTTGATGTTCCGAGATGTATCTCTCTCTCTCTCTCTCTCTCTCTCTCTCTCTCTCTCTCGTCGTTCCTTGTCACTGTCTTCACGCATCTGCAGACACAAGCACAAACAGCATATGCATTACACGTGCATGTGGACGTAAAATCATACGTAAACACTAACAAACATTCACATGCATAACTTGTCGAACCTGTTGCGGTTATATATGTCCTCCCTCACGTGCATGCACACACGACATGATGTTTGTTGACACAAGAAGTTGTTAAAAGCAGGAGCGAAGGGCAGTGAGGGAGCACATGAAACGGGAAGAGAAGAAGCAACAGATGACGGCTCAGACAAGCGACAGCGACAAGGATTCACGCCATCATCACCACCCTTGTTCGACTCTGAGGAGATGATCATAATTCTTAATCTGTGTGACATAATATAGATGTATAATTCTTCTTTAATATCCTCTGTAATCATATCCACCACCTTATTGTAACTCCTTTTTGTCTCGGAAAAATGGCCCGATGTTACATCAAATGTGACGCGACATGTAGAGACACGTTTATCCTCTTATATGGATTGGGCATGGACCGACCCACCTTAGCTGTTGTTTCGGATGCATCGCAGCCACATATGTTCACACCCATTGGGACAGGCTGGTCTTTTCATAAAGAACTTGCTTAATTGGCAAAATGGACCCATCTCATTCCTGTCTTCATTATTATTGCCCATCAACTTGAACTCGAAATAATTCCAAACAATTTATTTAGTTTTTGATAAATAAACAATTTATTTTTCATGACGGCAACTAACATACGTCATTTTGGTATCTCATTCATTATTCGGGCCGTGGACCTATCTATTCATGTCATAGCCGAAATGAAATGATAATTAGGTCCTTCACTATATACCCATCAAGAAGTTTATGTCACATTAGTCAAGTACGTGTTTTGAATTAATTCGAGGGTACAATTCATGGCACTGACACCAATTTCATGTGAATATCCGAATCTTGATGAAGAACCGGCAGATGGTGCCATTGCATACGCACGTAAATGTGCTTCTGTAACAGCTTCCTTATAAATGCATATAACTGCTGGGAATTTTCGTTCACGGAAAGTAAATTTAATTTTGAAAACTCAGAAAATACGAAACATCATTTTAATTGTTAAGTATCTTTCTTGTCTTGAAACACCAACACACCAGAGGAAGTCATCTCTCCGCATGCATGAGCATGACGACAAGATTCGGTACCAAACAAAAACATGACAAAACAATAATCCATGAGTCTTTTCCATTTTTGATACTAAGTTCTTCCTCAAAGGAGAATCCACAGATCCAACGAAACTTTCAATCGAAAGAAACTATATGCATACATATATACGTAAAATATACATGCATATACATACATACGTGTGTGGTGAAGGCCCAACACGAGTCCATATGAAAATGGGCCCAGTGAGTGGTAGGTAATGACGAAACAATCCCTAGATAGCTAACTGATTCACGAAAGTCCCAGAAATTTCGAGCCGTTGGATGCGAGGAAAAGTATGATACCACCGTCGGATAAGGTAGACTTTTCCACTGGTGAACAGTTAACGTAAACAACGGTCGAGTGGAAATCTTTGTTACTGATATATCTTAACCGTACACGTGTATGTCAGTCTCAAATCTTCGTCACAGCCACGTGACTGAAACCTAACCTCTTTCGCCTACCAAATCAGCGACGACCTAAAATTTCTTCTTGCCTTGTTCATCCGCACCGATACGGCAACTTCGTGACTGGTCGTATAAGAACGCGCTTGGAGACGTAGTTTCCTGGAAATTCCTGCTCTCCGTTGGTGCCGATTTTGGTACGATTCGCTGACCCATCTCTCAAATTTCGATCTTTCTCTTCGTTTCCCTTGGAAAAACACCTCTCTTTTGGGGTTTTTTCTTTTTTCTTTTCTCCGTAGCTGGTTTGCTAGAGAGAAATCAGGTCTCTTTTGCTGCTTCTCGGATTCTATCTTACTTTTCTTATTTGCTCGAAAGTATCTCAGGCGAATCGGGTCAGATTTTTGGAGTGACCAACAGTTCTATCGAGCGATCTATAACTTTCCGGTGAGTTTTGATTCACATGGTTATCGTTGACCTCATAATTCATCTATGCCTTGTTCTGTTTTGATTTGAATTTTGACATGGGTTCTTCAGAATCATTTGGTAAGATATTGGTTTTTTTGTTTGTTATGGTGCTATACTGATCGGGTGACTCTGTTTCCCTGGATTTGGGTATAGATTTTTATGATCGAGCAGTGGATCTGTTGATTTGAGTCTTTTCCTGAGAAAATTCCATATTCAGAGAGCTCTAATTGGTTGGATCTTGGGAAAAGCTTGAATCTTGTTGTTTGATTTATTCCCCGAAGGAGGCATGACTTCGAGATAGATGGCGATATGTTAGCTTGATCTATTTTCTTACTAGGAATTCTCTGAGATGAGTACTTTTCCTTGAAGTGTGCAAGCATCTTTGCTATGGATCTGATACAGATTCCAAATAGAAACATAGTGCTCTTGTATTGGTCTCGTGGCAATGGAGGATTGATTTGCTTCGTTCTCTTTCATGTTTCTGTTTTCAGGGAACACCACAACATGAGCCGTCCACAGGATCCACCTCGTGGGTTTTTCCCATTTGGAAACCCTTTCAAGATTTTATCCCCAAAGAACTCGTATCTATCCCCGAAGCTTCTCTCTCTGTTGAACAGTTTCGAAGTGGACCTGGCAGCTAGGATTAAGAAACTCGTACCAAGCGACAAGAAGGATATCCTTACTTTCTCATGGATGAAACAAGCTTTGGAATCTCTTTGCGAGACCCATAAGAGCATCAAAACCCTCATAACCGATCTTGAGCTCCCAGTATCGGCCTGGGAAGATAAGTGGATTGATGTGTATCTGGATGTTAGCGTGAAGCTGCTTGATCTCTGCAATGCCTTCAGCTCAGAGCTCACTCGTCTCAACCAGGGCCATCTCCTGCTTCAATTTGCTTTGCATAACTTGGAGGGCAACTGCCCCAAGAATCTTTCGAAGGCCCGATCTTCCCTGGACAGTTGGAGGCAACACATTATTGCGAGGAACCAGAGAATTGAAAACTGCCGGGCAATCTTGAGCAGCCTCGTAGGATCGTTGGCTCTCCCCAAGGTGAAAAACTCAGCAAAGGGAAAAGTACTCATGCGTGCACTATATGGTGTAAAGGTCAAGACTTTGTACATATCCGGTGTCTTTGCTGCGGCATTTTCGGGTTCATCCCAGAACCTTTTATATCTCCCTGTGTCTGACGAGATTCCATGGGCACAAGCATTCATGGAAATGCAGAACAGCATAAACCCAGAAATCAAAAACATATTTTTGTCAGGTGGGCTGACGGTTCTGAAAGAGCTGGAGGCCGTTGATGTGAGCGTGAAGGATCTGTACCCTGGAATTGAAGATGGGTCAGTTTCCATTGCTCTGGAACCAGTGAAGAAATTGGTCACAGAGCTGTCTGAGGGGCTAGATCTTGTCTCAAAGGAAGTGGACATCTTCTTCAAGATAGTGTTGTCGGGGAGAGACGCTCTACTGGGAAACCTCAGGTCGAGCGGGGCAGCAGCAGCACCGGAAAAGGCATTGGGAAAAAATTTCATAGGGCAGACCGGCGTGAGAAGACCCTAGCTAGCACTACAGCTTGTCTGTTGTACAGATGGTTTAAATTGTCCATCTTGCTCGTGAATGTAATACGGTACTGTCTTGGTGGTGCGAGTTGTAAGGTTTGGCCTGTAATCCTACTATCTACTTATGATGTCTCTGTGTTTTGTGCCCGGAAAACGTCAAGTCGTCGTATAAGCAACGTCTGCCAGATAAGAACTATGATTAAGCTTTATTGTATCAAACGTACTGAGATTCCCCGCATGGGGACGGATTGATTGGCGAACAAGATTGTAAAACAACAAATATATCTATATCTATATGTATCGTTGACTTGCGGAAGAGGAAGAATACGGAGAAAGGAAAGCCCATTTCTTCACGGGTCGTCCGAGAATTTGCCGTTCAAAAGGTTAACACTACACGTATCTCTCTACACGGATTTACAAGCGAACCCGCAAAGATACAGCGTGAATCCGTAAAGTTCAGTGAGAAACATTTCAATATGATCTCTGCACCTCTATCTGTTCTTCATGAATCTGATAATGTATACTGTAGTATGAAGAAGATACGAGGAATTGGAAGAACACTAACAGCTTCAGTTTTGTTTTGTTTGTTTTTTTCTTTCACAAAAGGATAGAGTTCATCTTGATTTGTTTTTGTTCTTGTCCAAAAGGGCTGAATCTGATGCTTGAAAGAGGCTCCCCATTGAACAGTGATAGCCGCAGAGATTCCGCATTATCTGTTTCTGAATCTGATGCTCTTATTCGCTATCATGTTTTTTATTTATTTATTCTAATACATCCATGTCTACCTTTTGTATATATATCTATATATATTGGAAAAAATATACATAAGCCATGATATATGTGTGTGTATATATAAGCCATTGTAAGTGACGTTTACTCATCTAAATTTCCCTTGATTCTCATCTTGATCGGCTCTTTCAGCCGAACAAACAAAAGAAATATATTTGAATTATTACACTTCCTATATGATTATATATTCCAATTAACATTTTTCTCTTTCGTGGAAAAAAAAGAGAAGGATTATATATTCCATAAAATAAAATATTAAATCAACAGAAATTTAGAGGGGAAAAACGAATGTAAGGTTTTATTGTGGTTTAGAAATAATTACAAAATACTATAAACAAGATTCACACACTATAGGCTTACCAACGTCAAAATATGAACTTGACCAATTGAGACGGGCAACAATTTAATGTGCGTAGATCCAAATATAGATATTTATTTCAAATCTTCCACGCATTACATAACGCCATTACATAGTAAACGAGACGATGTTATTGGAATATTAGAGTACATATATATATATATATATAACATTGTATATATAGGAGAGAACTAGCAACGGTTGTTCATAGAGACGAAATCGATCTGGACTCCGACGAAGATCTGGTCATCCACCAGATAACCCTTTGACTTGTCATCAATGTCTGCGAGAGGAGCGAACTCCTCAAAGCCCCTGTCCTCACCTGGTTCTGCTGAGTACCACTCCGGACCAACTGCAATACATATGTATAGTTATATATATGATTATACACACACGCGCGCGCGCGCGCGAATTCTAAATCGTTTCAGTTTTGGTCAACGTACGTGAGCGCTGGAAATGTTTGCGTCGGATTTGGTCAAACAGTCGCAGCTTGAATCCGACGTAAGTCTTTGCCTCGAGGGCGTCGCTGGTGAACCTATCTCCGGACAAGTACACCGAAAGTGATTTGCCTTTGCCCTTGTTATTCCCTCTAGGATAAATGCGTATCCTCCTGATTTTAATTAGCACGTGCTCAATTAAACCTACTGGAATAAGCATGTGGGAAAAAAACATACAAAAAGAAAAAGGCAGACCATATCCGGCTTCCAATGACAAACTCGTTGGAGAAATGGTCGTCTTCGAAGGAGAACATGGTGTAGTTAATCATCTTCCAAGTGATCTTGTTCCTCGGAGGATTCTCGACGATGGAAAAGCATTCGGCTGTGCCAACTTTAGCGTCCGCTAAGCCCATAATCTTGACACCAAAGAGAGCAATATCGTCCACAAGGAACCCTTGTTCTTCGTCATGAAGAGTTGCATGGGAAATCACACGCACATCCTTCCACGTCGTTCGAGATAAATTACATTTCGGACTTCCTATACCTTAGCATCCAGCAAAAAAAAACATAAATTCAGCATCAGGACATGAAGAAATCAAGTCACAAGAGCGAGTGAACGGTGAAACTACCAGTAGCCCACTTCTTCTCGAACTGGCTTGCGGCAAAAAGTGCAATTGGATACTTCCACGCCACAACCTCTGAATCTTGCTTCTCGAAATGAATGGAAACATGCCCGTATTTGTTCGGATAAAGAATAAGTTTCCTGCGTAAAGTTCAAGAAAATGAACCGACTATATATATATATATATTTCTCATGCATGCAATTCAACCGGCCGGAAGAGTTCATATACTGACATATATGTATTGGGCAACGTACGTACTGACCATTTATGATCACCGAGTTCGAAAACGGAGGATTCACACGCTTTGATCTCGTATTTCCCAAGCAAGGAGAAATTATCAATCTTGAAGAGGTGAGAACCCGGGTGATTGCCTTTGAATTGTCTGACAATCTCTGTGGAAAAAAGAAGAGATGCAATTACACTTGAACTTGAAATAGAGAGAGTGTATAAATCTCTTTCTGTCCCTTAATTACCTCCAATAGGAAGTGGACGTGGCATTGTAACGGATTATGAAATACGATGTTTGGTGATGTGCATGCCCAGATCGATGGAGGAGGCTATTTATATATATCTTGGGTCGGTCCATCGATCAGTTTTGGTAATATATCATTTTCGACCCCATATTACTGATAATCACATTCTAGCCCCAGCATTATCTATTTGATAAACGACACATTTAAGTCTTTTCCGAGAAGCTGAGGATGGAAAATTTGATGCATGTGGACCGGCCAGAAAGATGTTCCATTCGATAAGCGTGAATCATTCGCTCGCCATGAGATTGATGAGTCGCATTTCTTAAGATATGTGAGCACGAGATTCCTCATGATAAGGATGAGAACATCAGTGAGCAAAATTCAATGTGAATCCGATGCTTGAAAGGCCCTTCGTCGGTTCAGAACCGTTAAATATATATATCATCTTCCATTTAATATATATATATATATATACATATATAAACTAATATGAGTATAGGTTGTAGTCTCACGAAATATATAGGGCTTCTCTAACGCTGCAATGAAAAAGTTTAACTTGGATAAAATTGGAACGAGAAGGATTTCATGTGTATCCAGATATATGCAATATATATATTATCTTGTTATTATTTGATAGAAAAAGGGCTTCGAAAGGAATTCATCAACTTCACGCCGTAGTATAATATAAAAGTCATACACTGGCTTCTAGAAAAATGAATTGGGTATTTTGGAACAAAACCGAAAGATATCAAGACCCATTTCATTCGATGCCAGTCAGATCCGGTCCAATGGATTACATTTTTGGGCTTATTACAGAGGAAAATCAAAATGAAGGGGCCCAGTAGGATGGAATTTTGTGTTGGAAATCCATATAACAAAACCAATTCGTAAACCTCACGATTACAGAGAAACTTGCGAAAGAACTCTATTCATATTATAGCATTCTAATCATGATACCATAGGAATCATATTTAATTCGATTCATATTATAGCAATCACTTAGATTGCGTCTGATATTTCACGCGAATCTTGTCCAAGCCATCTATGGCTTTTGTAATTAATGAACAAAAGAATAATTCTTACGACCAAAAAAAACTTGAAAAATGGTCAACGAGACTAATTAGGAGAAATGAATAATATCATTTTAATTTTTTTTGGTATGGTACGTTGACCAATTTCCTAAATCATTCAAGAGTCTCCCTTTTCGCACAACTTATAAAAAAAAAAGGCGTAACCGTATGACTTATTTATTATCTTTCTTAAAATTTACATATTATGATGGTTATTATATAGACACGGAGGACACTCTCCCTTTTCTTTTCGTAGGACGACACCAACGAAAAAATAAAAATTTAATTTTGGGAAAAATAAATAAAAGATCGTTTCTTCTCCCTCATCTCACATTTAAAAGAGTTGCATCGTTTCAAAGAACATCGCCTCCACCGCCAATAAACACACAAAACGGCGTAGTTTTATAACTCCCCCGCCGTCTTCTTCTCCGGAGGGGAACCCTAGTTCGCAGCCATGGGAGAAGATCAAAAGCCCCTTTTCACTGAAAAAACCAAATCTTTCTCGTCTTCTCCTTCATCCCTATGGCCCCTATCGAAGCTAATGGTCAGTTTCGTTGCCTTGATCTCTCTCTCTTACATTTTCTACTCCCTCGGTTTCATGGTTCGTTCCTCCTCTTCTTCTTCTCCATCGATTTCGCCGTCTTCTCACATCGCCATATCGCCCAAACCCCGACTCGGGTCGGGTCAAAACCCGGAGAAGACCGATCTCAAGCACATCGTCTTCGGCATCGCCGCCTCCGCAAAACTCTGGAAACATCGCAAAGACTATGTCAAAGTATGGTGGAGACCCGACGGAGGGATGAACGGCGTCGTTTGGCTCGACAAGCCTGTAGAAAACGACACCGTTTCGTCCTCGGCCTCATTATTGCCACCGATCAAGATCTCCTCCGACACGTCGAAGTTCAAGTACAAGTACCCGAAGGGGCACCGGTCGGCGATCCGAATCTCCAGGGTCGTGTCGGAGACGGTGAGATTGTTGAACGGAACGGAAAAGGAGAGAAACGTGAGGTGGATTGTGATGGGAGACGACGACACTGTGTTTTTCACGGAGAATCTGGTTAGGGTTCTGAGAAAATATGACCACGAACAGTTTTATTACATCGGATCTTCGTCGGAGAGTCACTTGCAGAACCTGCACTTCTCGTACGGGATGGCGTACGGGGGAGGAGGGTTCGCGATGAGTTATCCACTGGCGAAGGCGTTGGAGAAGTTTCAAGATCGGTGTATAGAGAGGTACCCGGAGCTGTACGGATCCGACGACCGGATTCATGCTTGCATGTCGGAGCTCGGAGTTCCTCTGACCAGGGAAGTTGGCTTTCACCAGGTCAGTTCTCCGTCTCCTTTGTTAATGTTTTCCACTTTCCCTTTTTTGATGTGTTATATCTGTTTCGTGTTCCGTGCTCTCTTCTGTTTTGTTTTCCGAGAATCACGAGGATGATATTCGGGATTTCGATTTTTCCATTAAATTTCGAAGTAAATTATATTTCTGAGTTAAAAGGTATTTTTGCATCTTCGAGTGTCTGCATAAATCTTTTGCAATTTTTATCACCGAACATAAAATGTCACATGAAATAACAGAGGGAAAATGGGAGACAATTTTACTGTTTATTCAGATTGAAAAGGATAAATTATATAGAATAATATTAGATGAAGTTAATCTTAATTTTGTGGGGAAAAAATAAAACAAATCTTTACTTGCCATATCTCTGAATTGATCCAAATAATACATTGTCTTTTTTTTTTTTAATTCCACCTAATCTCATGGGTTTTTAATTTTCCATTTAATATCGATAACTCCCTTTTATTTGGTAGTCTACAAAAACAGAAGAATATTAAATCTACGGAACCAGCCATAACTTCAAAGCGCATTTAATTAATTTTTAAGTTAGGTTTGTCAAAGATATTATTGAAATCATCGATTTTTTTTCCTCATCGTGTGTTCTTCTTCCTGAAATCTCTCGCTTTTATTAAGTGTAGCATCACCGATAATTACAAGTTTAATTAATTGTTTTTATATTTACTAACATTTATAACGATTAAGAACCGATGCTCATTATTCTTCAGTTTGCATAACATACATAATCCCATGGTAAAATCAGTTAATAAAATAATTAATATGATACATTATTTTATGTGTACAAGTGTGTGTACGTGCATGCGTATTGTTATATTGTTTGCATCTCGGCGACGCCTGTGGTCGTAGGCAGCTTTTAGCTTTAAGACTCGTCCCATAAGTCAACCATCTTTGAAATTGGACGACTACTCACTCGACCATATCCCGAGTTTCTTGTCAAATTCAGAATGTACTTCGTTTGCTACGTGTTTATTTAATATTCGACGTTATTAAAAAAATTTAATTTCCACTCTAAATGATTTTTTGCAAGCAAAAAATGTATAATACGTGCTTTTTTGGTATTGATGGGGTGGAAACAGTTCGACGTGTACGGGAAGCTATTGGGCCTGTTATCGGCCCATCCAGTGGCGCCGATCGTATCGGTACACCACTTGGACGTAGTGGACCCCATCTTCCCGAACATGAACCGAGTCAAAGCCCTTCACCGACTCATGCTCCCCGCCAAACTCGACTCGGCCAGTCTCATGCAACAGTCCGTCTGCTACGACGCCGCCCGCAACTGGACGGTCTCCGTCTCATGGGGATACGTCGTGCTGATAACACGTGGCGTCCTGCCGGCCAGGAGGATGCACATCCCCGCCCGCACCTTCGTCGACTGGCACAAACAAGCCGACCCCCACAACTACGCCTTCAACACACGCCCCATCAGCCATGACACGTGTCACCGGCCACGTGTATATTACGTAACCAGCGCTCTATATGACCCGTCCTCTCACCGGACGGCCAGCGAGTACGTCGGCCGCGCCACGTGGACTCCTCCTTACTGCGACTGGGAGATTCCGGATCCTTCCGAGATCATTCGGGTCGTGGTTTACAAAAGACCCGACCCGGATCGCTGGACTAAGGTAATCAATTGTTCGTAATCACCGAAAATATATTTTATAATGATTTGGATGGTTCTTAAAAAGCGATATCTTTTGTTAGGCTCCGAGGAGGGACTGTTGCAGAGTATTGCCTGCGACGAAGAACGGGACGATGGTGCTCAATGTGGGAGCTTGTGAAGATGGTGAAATTGTTGAATTTCGGTCCAAATGAATTCCTTTTATACATATATTTACATACACTTGAATGGATCTATATAGAGGTTCTATAGGTGAGGGCTTTTTCATAATTTTAATTTTGCTTGTTTTTTTTTTATTTGATTTTTTTTTCAAACTTTATCACAAAAACTACTCACCCTGAGTATTGCATGGGAGTGCGGACCATCAAAGATTACCCCTTTATTCAAAATATCCTTATTCAATATGTATATATAGAAAATTATTATCTTAAAATATGGACAATATTTGACTATTATTGCGAGGCATGAAGTTGGAAAACAATATAAAAAATTCATGGAAAATCTAAAAACGTAAAAACAATTTATTCTAAAACTTCATATAAAATTAAACGGAAATGGAAGGAGTATAAATTATCTCCGCACAGATGTATGATTATAAATATTACAGATCAAAATATAGATAGTAATCAGCAGCGTAAGAACAAAATGTGACGGTGCTCCATAAATAGTAGTGCAGACATTTAAGTCGACCGACAATGACCAGCTGGAATGACGCGTTAACTCGGCCTCAGCTCGAGCATCTAACTCGGCCATACAAATGCCTAAAATTCTCTCCGTCATCCTATTCGTATTCCACAGTTTCCAATCTCTCGCTCGCCATGGCGATTCCGCCCTCAAGCATCGGTTTCCGTCTCCTCGTCTCCCTTCTTGTTGCTCTGTTCGCCGTCGCCGTATCCTTCTTTCCGCCCGACGAATACCTCCTTGACTGCGGCTCCGCCGTTGACTCCACCGTCGACAACCGCAGATTCGTCTCCGACTCTCCGGCGTTGAACGCACCGTTCTTCTCATCGGATGGATCGATCTCTGTTCGAGCGGAAAATCCATCTCCGAACCTTGCCCAGATCTACCGGACTGCTAGGGTTTTCCCGAGATCCGCCAAGTATGAGTTCAACGTCGGCGAGAAAGGGACACACATGGTACGTCTCCATTTCCATCGGTTCAATTCTTCGAGAATCGATTTCGGTGAAGCGGAATTCCACGTTGTGGTTAACGGGTACGTCGTGCTTAGCAATTTTAGTGGCGAGGACGACTCGTCAACTAAATATGGTCCTAGGGTTAGGGAATTCCTGATCTGGGTTGATGTCGGAAAGGTCGTTATCAGGTTGGTTCCTAGTGCGCGTTCTAAATTTGCGTTCGTTAACGCCGTCGAAGTTATATCAGCGCCTAAGGATTTGATCGCAGACGTTGCCACCTCCGTATCCGATGATGGAACCGAGAAATTCAACGGCTTGGTACATCAAGCGATGGAAGTTGTTTACAGAACCAATGTCGGTGGGCGGAAAGTTACCCCTTTTAACGACACGTTGTGGAGAACTTGGGTTCCGGATGATGAATTCTTCAAAACCGGCGAAGGATCCGACAAAATCTACTTCGCCAGCAGGATAAAGTACATACCTGGAGGGGCAAGCCGTGAAGTTGGCCCTGATAATGTCTATAACAGTGCTCGTGTGGTTAAAAGCAAGAACGGTTCGGTTCCTCAGGTTAACATGACATGGGAGTTTCCCGTGGCAAAGGGTTACAAGTATCTTGTCCGGATGCATTTCTGTGACATTGCTAGCAAGTCGCTGGGGGTTCTATACTTCAATGTTTACATCAACGGGAATTTAGCCTACCAAGATTTTGATCTGTCGTACTTGACGGGTTACGTGCTGGCTTCCCCCTTTTACATGGACTTTATGGTGGAAGGTGGTTACCCTTCTTCGGGTTTTATAAGCATAAGCGTTGGGCCGTCGAGTAAGAGCGGCGAAAATGCGGTTGATGCGATCTTGAACGCAGTTGAGATCATGAAGATGAATAACTCAATGGGTAGTCTTGATGGGTACATTCCCGCGGAGATGATACTAAGCCGCTGCCCAAACAGAAAAAACATTAGCATTTCGATCTCAGTGATCGCCTTCATGTGCATACTGACTAGTATTTACATCGTGGCACGGAGGAGGATAGTTAGGGATGGGTTTGGCTGGTCGAAGTTGCCTGTGGACGTCCCTGGGCACGATCTGAAGGCCGGGAATCAACTTGCACCGAGAAGGCCATGATGACTTCCGCGTAAATTTCGTTCAGCTTTTATTACAGCACAGCGAAATATCTTCTTAAATGAAGCTGGATAAAAGTATATCCATTACCTTTTGGAATTCTCTGCACAGGTATTTGCCTTTGCTTGCTTCAATTTGCGTTCAAGAATCTCGCGCCATTTATTTGTATAAAGCTTACGCTCTACGGTCTGTACTCTTTGTTTTTGCACAGTGCCCAAATCATATTGTCTCATAGGTTCAATCGACATAGGTCAGGGGGAGGAGGTCTCGTAGGTTTCTTTGGGTTGTATCAATTTTGTCGTTCCTACTTATATGTTGATTAGTCTTACTCTTAAGATTAATCAATTTACGTTAATTAATATAGTAGTGGGTGTTCAATTTGCACGATTTTTTATGTCTATATATTATATATACACACACACAATTATGATACATAATTGGTGTGTCAATAATACCAAGCTTCCGAACGTGTGTTGATATTATAGTAAAATATAAATTGAAGTAATTGGGCCTGAGCCCAAGAGAGTCCAGTAAATACCCATTAAAGCCCATTTTACGACGATACCGAGGTTCTGTCTTGTTTGGTATAAATTTGAGTTTTGTTTATGCTTTGGTTGAGTCCAAGAGAGCCCACGCCGAGTGTCTGTTTTGTTTTCAGGCGTTGGCCTGATTTAAAGTTTGGACTGTGTAAAATAATCTACCACAGTACTATGGAAAAGGTTGACAATAGCTTTTGATTGTATTTTGCCGTGGATTTACCCTAAAACTATCTGTAATTTTATTTGAATATTCAATAATTATACGCTTTTTCACATATAAACTACCAACATGTATAATTTAACTTTTTTTTTTCAGACGTTTAAAAAATACATTATCTGGTGGAAAAAAAAAATGAATTATTGGTCTATAAGTTAAAAGTCTCACGTCAAGTGAGATGTAAACTTTGGATAACCCAAACCCGTGCCGATGACTCGCCATTTGTAAATCTTCTGTTTCGCAGCCGTACGATCCTCTTTGATCTGCTGGGCCGGGCCCACCAACATCTTCGCCGCATCCAACCACTGTCTTGGAGTGGCCCCACACACATGTTACCACTCTCCTACCTGTCGCGCGTAAAACTCACGCATTATTTTCCCCCTCGTTCCAGGAATGAAATGGTAAACAAACCCCTTTCCGCCTTCCGGTGTGACCGAAATACCCCCCCGAGACAAAATCTCTTGTGCATGCTCTATGATGCACCCTCACGTGACTCATCGCCCTCCACCGCGTGACTAACAGCTATATTTTCAAAGAATTTTCTATTGGTGTATGTAACTTTAGGACTATATGAGGTTGGACAATCGGTGAAAGCGCTGTTGTATTCTGTCTTTACAGTGTTGAATGTAGTAACATTTTCCACCCAGAGATTTTAACATTAAGGCTCAATTCTATATATAATTCTTCTGGGCTTTCCCCAAGGGGCAATTTCAATAAATAGTCGAAGACCTAAGGGTAACACCGACCAACTACAAAAAGCAGATCGAAATATATGAAGGAAGGGCCGAGAAGGCAACAGAGTTGAAAAAAAACGCAAAAGCCCTACTTCTGTGAGATCTGTGCCAAAACACACACAGCAAAAAAATAAAAAATAAAAAAAACCGCTCGAGAAGAAGAGAATCGGGGTATGTATAGGCATGTGTGTGTATATATATACACACACGCACACATGCTTGTCACTACACTTACATGGAAAAAAATATATATGCGCAGGAGTATATGTATGCATTCTAAGCATTTGGTTTTTTCTGGGATAGTTTTGGGTAGAATGAGGATTCGGAAGAACACGACACTGTCGTCGCTGCTTTCGGCGGCAGGCTGCGGCGGAGAGAAAACGCAGACGCACGTCTGCCACCTCAATCAGTCGCCGTGGGATGTGATTCCTTTCACTTCCTCTGTCGATGCCGCCGCTGCCGTCTTAACGAACCAACTGGACTCGCCGTGGTTCCTCCCTTCTTCGTCGTCTTGTTCTCACCAGGTAAGCGTTGTTCCATTTCCGTTGGATTTCTCTGCCTTAAATGTCCCGCATTTCTCTAGGTTTATCTCCGTCTATTATCACCTTCCCGCATTAGGGTTTTCAGTTCGGGAACGGAAAGAGCCCTAAATTTAGGATTTTGGGTCCCTGAGCAGTTTGGTTTCTCGATTAGGGTTAGTGGGTCGTTATTATTTTCCATCTGGAGTGCCTCTCGCTGTCTGGGTTTCGCTATCGAGCCCATTATTCTTTTGGCATGAAGTTGGAAAACTGCCTTGCATTTTATTTTGGAAAGCAGTTCGATGGAGACGATAGCTTCAATGGGAATGTGAGCTTGGGCGATTCTTACGGCGCTGCTGAGAGGTAAACCCATCACCTTCCCTCCAATCGCTTCCACATTATCGATTATCGTTCGCTTCGTGTTTCTGCGTTTTAGGGTTTTCGGATGTTCTTAGATAATCGAGTAATTAATCAATCCTCCGAATCGGATTCGAAATGCTGGGCTCCACGGTCGACCCGGTTCCGATCTCGAGCTTTAATCGTTGGATTTTTTTTAAATCATCGATCATTCGGCGTGAAGTTTAAATAATAAGAAAAAAAAATCCAGTGTCGTGTCCGTGGAGAAACTCGGTATCATTGCGGAGGACAATGACGAGAAATCATCCGACGAAGAACACAGCGATCGATCGGATTGGAAGAGCAGCAGCAACAAAGCCAAGAAAAGCAAAAGCAAATCCCACGAGCCCAATTCGTCTCAGAAAACTTCCGGCGCCAAGAGCGGCGACCAACCGAATCCGGCGTCGGGGACCGCCGTCTCGCCGCCACGGCGGGGGCCGGAAAGCATCAGCATCCGCCACCACGACAACGAATCCTTACGAGTTTTACTACTACTCGGGGTTCGGGCCGCGGTGGGGCAAAAGGCGAGACGGAGGGAAGAGTGGGGCCGAGGAGGAGAAATTGGTTTGTAATGGGGATAGGGATGGAAATAAGAAGAATGGCGATTGTCGGAATAATGGTAATGATGATAATAGTAATGTTGATAGGAGGGTTTTAGGTGATGAGGATGGTAAAACGACGACGTTTGGAGGTGAATATAATTGGGAGGAAGAAGATGACGTAGTGGACCAAGAGGGGAAGGTGATGACGATGATGATGATGAAGAAGAAGAAGAGAGGCAGGAAGCCCGTAAAGGCAAGGTCCCTGAGGTCCCTCGTGTGACCTTTTTTTTTCAGGGCCTTTTTGTAATTTAACAACCCCACGACCAACCCAGCACTCTCTTTTTTGTTCTTCTATTTGGGTTTTCTTTTGTGAACATTTTATGTCGTGGGTAGATCAATAATTTTTTTTTTATATTCCGAAGGTTCACCAAGATTTCGACCCTATCTATATCATTGGATCCGAAAGCAGCCTTTAGATACGTATAAATGCGTCTCTCTCCCTGCCTGCGGGGTCGAACTGACCACCTTCTACGCCTAATCTTCTCAGGGAGACTTGGCCACTATGAGTGCCTACGGCTCGACCACCACAAGGTGGGTGGTAGATCAATATTTTGTATGTTGCCATTTGGGCTTCTTCCCTTTTTTTTTAAAAAAAAAAAATCATTTTAGTTCAAAACACCAACAAATTGTAGTTCTATTAAAACCTAAAATGAGATTTCAGTCAAGATCTTTCTCTGACATGATTTAAGTGATTGTCGTGTACAATTAATGATATGATCCAACCCAGTCAACGGAAGAATCCTTCTTCCGATATCACCACATCCTAACAAAAACATAAAATTAAATATATAAACGTCACCACACCAAAAAGAAAAGAAAAGAAAAAGGCTTTCAGATTTAATGGTTGTTTGTTGCTCATAAATATTATTGGATTGCTCTTACTAAATATCTTGAACGAATTTTATTATTACAGTTTGACCGGGAAGATGAGAGTCAACGTCAGCCGTATGTTCTAATACATCTGGAAACAACGTGAATGGTTACAGCAATTCACATATTAACATATTTTATAAATGCTATCCCAAATTATATAACAATTAAAATAGTAAGCAAAGAGATTCGTTGCAAGCTACGCAACCCTTTCTCCGAAATAAATATATTTGACGTTGAAACATAATATGCCTTGTCAATTTTTTATTCCACCGCATAGTGTGAAGAATATAAAAACCATGCGGAAAGAGAGCAACACCTTGTCTGAAATCAGTAACACAGCATCGAACCAAGTAAACAGAACGTGTTAAGGAAGAAACTATATTGTTGAGAAAATAAACACTATTTACCATACATGGGGAACTCAGTCCGAGACTGAATTGCTTGTCTGAGGATGGCAAGAGACGGAACGGGTGTCCATGGCGGACTCTGCTCTGTAATCCTTGCGGATTCCCCACAGGATCTCATTGCATCTCTTCATGCTGGGTCGAGACCGTCTGTGGGGAGCTACGCACTGGAACGCCATCTCTAAAACCTTCTCCACTGCTAAGTTGTTCGCCGGATTGCGTTCCAGCTTCGGGTCCAGGATGGTTATTGCATCTCCATTCGTGAACTTCTTGATCGCCTGTTCGCGTTTATGTATGCAAACAGAGTTCATGTCTTCTTTCAGTCAAATGTCATTACATAACACGTAGGCTTTTAAATTATTGCAAATGGTGATGATTTTTCCTGGTCAGCCGAAGAAGCTTCGATTCAAAACCTTTTTTTTTTCCCATGAAAATGGATTCAAAGTCGTCTATCTGTATTTAACTATACTTGTGACGTGGGATCAGATAGATACCACAAAGAAAAAGATGAAACAGAGTTGTGAAGATTCGTACCCATTTAATGGTTATGCGTTCTTTGTGTTCGCGGTTAGCCTCGATGGGACGCCGGCCTGTGACAAGCTCGATGAGTAGCACACCAAAGGAATAAACGTCGCTCTTCTCGGTTAGCTGATAGGTCGTTAAGTACTCGGGATCCAAGTACCCTGCAGTTCCTTTTACTTGCGTGGAAACATGGGTGGCTCCGGTTTCACTGTCAGCGGCCAGCCTGGCAAATCCAAAGTCAGCCACTTTTGCCCGGAAGTTCTCTGTCAGGAGAATGTTGGAGGACTTGATGTCTCTGTGGATGATCGGATGATCTGCATTGAAACATCTGACAATATTTGTAACCGATTCTCAGACAAGAACAGATACTTTGGCACAGCACATCACTTGAGATTGGAACTTGCCTGTATACATGTGAAGATAGGTTATCGCATGGGCAACATCGATGGCAATATCTAGCCGGGTAGCAAGATCGAGAATGTTTCCATGCTTGCCTGCAGAAGGCTCCTTGCAAAATGTTTATACGTATCTTTGGATGCGAGTAAGATAATGAAACCGGAAAGTACAAGGAAAAGAAAAAAATCGCTCACCGTCCAAGTGTTCTCGGAGAGTTCCATAGGCCACATACTCGACAACCAGAATCTTTTCATCCTCGTGAACCAAATATCCGTAGAATTTAACCAAATTCATATGTTGTATTCGAGCCAACGTCTGTATCTCACTCAGAAACTCTGCTCCTTCGCGGTCGTCATGGATACTCTGCATCCGACAACCGATGTTTTCATACAAGTGGGAATATTCTTCATAAAGCAAGAGTTAGATTCCAAGGATTTGTAAAGTTTGAAGAAAAAGAAAGATCGACGCTTTTTAGAATTGGACCTTCTTGGCGCGTTTGATTGCAACGGTGGTGCCATCTCTGAGCTTGCCTTTGTACACAGTCCCGAAACCTCCCTGACCGATCTTGAACGTCGGTGAGAAGTTCTTGGTCGTCGCGCAGATTTCTTCAAAAGTGAATCTCGGTCTCTCTGCGTCCTTTGAATTGCCATAATGCCTCTGGTTGCTTCCTTGCGAACTCCTTCGCGGCCGGCTGCTATATTCTGCTCATTCAGTACGCATAAGAACAAAAAAAAAATCATGAATTCGGTTCCTGTATCATATAACTGACCCGTTTCAGATTGATATCTGGTGAGATTATCATCCGAGAACGGGAAATTGTGCTTAAATCACGAAGGGTGAACATCGACTTGAGAAATCCAGAAATTGCGGACAGATTCAGACAGGGCTGCAAGTTGCAATTCGGATACGCAGCTGAGAGAGAGAGAGAGAGATTGTACCGGAGTAGGAGTCGGAGCTTTTAGATACGACGGGATCAGGAGGAGTGAAGCAGTTGATGAAAAGGCCGGCGATACGACGGGCGACGGAGGAGGTGGACTTGTCGGAGGAGGCGGCGGTGGAGGAGCTGACGTCGGTGTAGAAAGAGGCGGTTGCAGGAGAAGATCCGGCGACAGAGCTAGGTCTCCGGCTATTGTACATCGGATGAGAGGTGAAATCGCCGGTCTGTGGAGGCCAAAGAGAGAAGCAGAATCGCGGGCGGAAGTGGAGAGAGAACAGAGGGAGGGAGAGAGACAAAATGGCCGGAGACTAATCTTTTGATTTTTCAAAAAGGCAGTTAGCCCGATGGATCTTCAATAAATACACATATACGAAATGCCAGCTGGCTCATATGTTTCAATAGTTGGTCCATTATTTTCCGAAAATATATAAATAAACAAATCGGATACCGACGCGAAGGAAAATTTACTAAAACCTTTGATTTGAAGTAAAATAAAATTATTATCGGATGAGGTGGCAGTTTTCAAGGCAGTTGGATTAAGCAAAGTTTCTTAATCATTCAGAGGGTGTTGACCTTTGACTTTTTTGCCATTCTAAAATGGGCCGTTCATTTCAGTTGTTTTAGGCCCGTTCGGCCCATTACAATGTTTTCGGAATCCGGATGGACACGGGTTTTCCAGTTGCCATCATTTTATTAACATTATAATTATTTATTAATATTAATAAAGAGAAGAGTTTTATTCTCGATCGCCTCATCCCGCCATCATATATCATCTCCGTCGTGGGTACGTACTTTGTCCTCTCCGCGTCATCCTTGGGCGATCTTATCGTACCAGATGTCGTCTATTCTCCTGTCTGTGAGTATAATCGATTTTAGTTCTCTCTTTCTGCTTGATTTTCGCCTTTGATGAATTGTTGTGGTTTATAATCTGGTTCGTGTCTGAGAATCGATATGGTTTGCTTGATCGAATGCCTTCTTTTGCGGCCTCTCGGGTTTTGGTTATGTTTCGGTGGATTTGATCAGACTATCATCCGATTAAAACCCAATTTCGATTTTTTTCCACTATTGATTTGCTTATGTTTGAAATAAGCAGAGGCATTCGTTCTCATGTGGCGGTGGTACTGTTAATTGGATTAGGCAAGGCGTTGGGTAACTTCTGATGGATGGTTGTTCAGAAGAGCTTTAGAAGTTGAAGTTTTTTCCAGTTTTCTGAACCTCTCTAGTTAAATCAAACGACGTTTCTAATATTCGCATGTAATTTGGGGCGTGTACTTTAGGAGAGCTGGTGGTCTAATGTGTCGGACAAAGAGGAAGGAGACGAAAATGCTACCCAGGGAAATGATTGGGAAGTTGTGTCACTTGCGGCTTCAGCATACGATGCTTCTCCTGGTCTAACAGAGGCGGAGTTGAAAGATGATGACAATGGAGTTGTTACTCTCTATGAAGGCGAAACATCTCACCCTTTGTTCATGTCTCGTCACTTTGTAAGTGAGCATGAGAATCTACCCCTGGAAAGTAGTGAACCCGAGGTTCATGACGACGAGGTAAGCAGGGAGATCGAATTTGGATTTGGTCTGGCCCAGACACAGGGAAAAGAAGAAGGAGATTTGACGCTGAAGGGTTTGAACTAATCGGATGAGTTTGCAGGACTTCAATTTCTTGATGCAAAAGGTAAAAGAGAAGAAAGCACATACAATGCAGCCATCAATTCCTTGCATGATGGAAGAACAATTGTTGGGTCAAATGTCTACGAGGAAAAGGAACCTATTCCAGATCAAACCGAGACATGCACTTGTGTCGTTCCTGATATTTCGCCATCTCTAAGGCCTACTGAAGATGACAAGAATGAAGAACCGGGCATCCCCTGTGAAGCCTGGTGGAGAAGAAGTGTGGCTTCGTTGTATGAACAGGCGAAAGAGGCCAATGCATTTTGGTCAATTTTCATCGCTGCAACTGTGATGGGCATAGCGATCATCGGCCAACAGTGGCAACAAGAGAGGTGGGGGGTTTTGCAGCTCAAGTGGCAGTCCAGCCTTGTAAATGAGGTGTGTATTCTAGCTACCATGTATTGGGACATATTATTGTCAGATACACATCGAGCACCAAACAGTAGAGGTGGCCGTGATTCCTTACATCAGTGAAAAGAAGAAACGGAATATACATTTACATATACATATATATGTACAGAGCAGAGAGGCGTATGATATATGTTGGAATCCATTTTATTGCAGAAAGCTGCTGGAAGGTTGTCGATGGGGCCGATATCTCATATGAAAGGGCAGACAGCGACGGGGTTCCTTCGTTAGGACCAGCTCCTTCAACGAAAATTAAGTACAGTATGTGTATGTACTCTTATACACATATGTATATATGTTTCTGCATGTTATGTATATTACCCAAATATAAAGATATAATAGTTACATTACATTATCCATTTTCATGGTTTCGTTTCCTAATGGGCATGTAGTATTGGTCGGGTACACAAAAAAACGCTCGCACGTATACGTATGTACATATTTTCACGTCTCCCAAAGCAGCTAATGTGTGTATATAAATGATGCGGACATATATAATGCTAATGCATATGACATGAATACGAAGTCATTTGCAAAGCCAGCGAGACATATATCTTCAATTCAAATAAAATATAACGAGTGTATCGGTGTCATGCAAATCTATATGCCGCCGCTGCCCTCTTGCCATTAAATGTAGACAGCAAATGTCAATCTCTTTCTACATTTATTTATGGACAACGTGACCTTCTCTTTTTTTTGTATTCCACGCAAAAGAAGATAAAGTAGCAAAAAAAAAAAAAAAAATCCAAGATAAGTATAATAATATTTTTAAAAAAAATATTAAATATATTTTAATTTTTTGAGATTTCTCCTTTATAAGGATATGATCATTATACAGTATTGTATTTAATTAGATATTGTTGGAGATCTCCTTTTCTTGGGGACCCGTACATGTACATTATTAGCAGGGAAAAACAATTTGGAGATGGAATAATAACTTTGATGATTTCATTACGCCTATTCATCGATTGCCCTCATCACCAAAGCCCTACGTGTCCTCCATATCTGCATTATGCCAGATTTCTGTTCAATTGAATTATATATCAAATCAAACCCCCAATGTTTTCATGCAGATCATTTCTACTTTGTTACATTTTTAATTTTGTTGTTGGGTGTATGTTCTGATTGACCATGACAATAATTGGATGGCAAGAATTATAACAAGAGTCAAGCATGAGCTATAAATGCCATTGAAATTGTGGGCTGGCAACTCATCTACTGGTTACTGGACACCTACCCTTATGTCACCCCACGGCCACGGGCACCGTTGTTAATTTTCATTTTCCTCTTTTTAATTACTCTGCCTAAACACAATGTTAAATATTTATGTTAAAGAGGTAGCTCGAGTGTATATATATGACATAATCTACACATAAGAAACGATTATTATCTTCAGTTTTGTAAAAGTAAAGAGTCCAACACAGCAATATATAAGATAAAAAGAAATACAACTCTAATAATATCATCATGGACCCGAAAAACGCCCAACTTAAAAACACTACCAAAAAAAAAAAAAACTGACGTATATATTTGACTTGTTAAGCCCTAAGACAGGCTATGAAAATTTACCTAGTACATGTATATTATACATATACACACGTATATATTTGACTCATCATGCATTTATGTTTACAGCCTTTGACTTTCACATCCGTGAATGCAATCAGTCCGAGACATTCAGTGATGATACTGCGGACCACAGCCTTTTTATTTTTTTTGTTTATTTATCCTCTCTGCATTTTTTGTTAAATAAATTTAAAAAAAAAAGTATTAAAATGTGGGAGGAATGAAAAAAATAGACAGTGACATTAATTTTATTGTTTTTTTTTTTCAAAAATTTCCCCAGGTGTAGAGGGTTGAGAAGGTCGCCCTAGATCCCAGACTGATGAACCTAAATGAGGGAAATCGCATTTCGTAATTCGAATTAACACACTTCTAATGTGTATAGTTTGGTTCCTGAAACTAATTTTTTTTTTTTTTTTAAAAAAGGCTTGTCGGTAAAAAGATTTATAAAAACAGATATAGTATACGAACAACGGGATGTTAAAATTCTCTTCGACCAAAGTTCCATGCTATGTGACGATCACGAAAATGGTTCTAACCCTTACTCCTGCTTCAGAAACACGGGAGAGATTCGTTCTATTCTATCTATATGCTAATGTTCTCTTTCATGCACGGTTCCTCAACCTCAACCGAGCTCATTTAATTTCAAGCACGTATACGCATATACACATGTGTCTCTGTATTTTCACCGTAGATGGTCATTTAATGGACGTATTAAATGATGCCTTACCTCAGTGTTGCAGAATTTGGTATCACTACAGGGAAATACCACTTTGCCTTTGCCCCCAGACGCGCTTCTCTCAACCCTCATTTTTTTTCTTTAATTATTGACTCTCATGCATATTACTAAACTGAATAATCATCCAACTCGCACTATAAAAAAAAAAACTCTCAACGATAACAGCGGCAGCATTAATGAGGGTTACATCCGATGGTTAGCAGGCCGAGAAAGAGGTCTCACCCCCTTTACTACGGCATCATTAACCTCTCCGCTATATAAATCTCCACTTCCCTCATCTTTTTCGGAATCAGTCGGTCACTGATCTCTCTCAATTCTTTCCCCTATATACTTAAACAATATTGTTATACTGACCTCAAAGATTCAGATTCGATGGAGGTGGCGAATGTCGTGGTGGTGGTGGCAGTTGTGGCGGCTTACTTGCTGTGGTTCAAGCGTATCTCACGGAGTCTTAAGGGTCCGCGTGTCTGGCCCTTATTGGGCAGTCTCCCGGGGCTGACCCAGAACCGCGAACGCATGCACGACTGGATCACAGAGAACCTACGGGCGTGCGGAGGGACGTACCAGACGTGCATATGCGCATTGCCTTTCTTGGCTCGGAAGCAAGGTCTGGTGACGGTGACTTGCGACCCGAAGAACATAGAGCACATGCTCAAGACCCGCTTCGACAACTATCCCAAGGGCCCCACCTGGCAAGCTGTCTTCCACGACCTCCTCGGCCATGGCATCTTCAACTCCGACGGCGACACCTGGCTCTTCCAGCGCAAAACCGCCGCTCTCGAGTTCACCACCAGGTTTCCGTCTTTCTTAACCTAAAACAGCACATATCGAATCAGGTGTGCAATGCATAGTCGTAGACGCCGATCGCAAACCAAAAACCTAAACCTATTCATCACATTTCCCATTTAAAAGGAAAAATAACTGGATCTATCAAATTCAGAATATGATATTTTTTTCGAAACGAAAAGGAGTCTAATTAAATCATTTATACGGGTAAGTAAAAAAATTTCCTTATTCGGTTATCAATTTAAATTAATATAAATGGACTCTCCAATTCTCCGGTTATGTTTCAGAATTCGAACCAACCCGGAACTTATGGGGATTAATCCGGTTATGTCGGGATATTTGAATACCTTTTTTTTAAATGTACAGAACGCTGCGGCAAGCCATGGGGCGGTGGGTAAACCGGGGAATAAAAAACCGGTTCTGCCCGATCCTGGAATCGGCTAGCGCAAAAGCCGAGCCGGTTGATCTCCAGGACTTGTTTCTGCGGCTCACTTTCGACAACATCTGCGGTTTGGCCTTCGGCAGGGAGACCCGAACCTGCTCGCCCGGCCTCCCAACCAATAGCTTCGCCTCGGCTTTCGACTGCGCCACTCAGGCCTCTCTTCAACGCTTCATTTTGCCTGAGTTCCTCTGGAGGCTCAAGAAATGGCTTCGGCTCGGCTTGGAAGTCAGCTTGAGCCGAAGCCTCCTCGAAATCGACGGCTACATGGCTGACGTCATCACCGCTCGCAAGGAAGAACTGCTGCTGAGTCAGCAGGATGGTGGGACCCAGCGCCACGACGATCTTCTCTCTCGCTTCATGAAGCGCAAGGAGGCGACCTTTGACGAGAGCTTCCTGCAGCAAGTGGCGGTAAACTTCATCCTTGCCGGACGCGACACGTCATCGGTGGCGTTGAGCTGGTTCTTCTGGCTTATCACCAACCATCCCGCTGTAGAGGACAGGATCGTGAGGGAGATCTGCTCCGTCCTGATCGAGACACGTGGCACTGACGTCTCGTCCTGGACGGAGGAGCCGCTAGGGTTCGACGAGGTAGACCGCTTGGTGTATCTGAAGGCGGCGCTGTCTGAGACTCTGAGGCTGTATCCGCCGGTGCCGGAGGACTCGAAGCACGTCGTGAACGACGACGTTTTGCCGGACGGGACCTTCGTCCCCGCGGGATCGTCGGTGACGTACTCGATCTACGCGATCGGGAGGACGAAGGCGGCGTGGGGAGAGGACTGCCTGGAATTCAATCCGGAGAGGTGGATCTCACCATCGGAGGGAGGGAAATTCATCAATCACGACCAGTATCGGTTCGTGGCGTTCAACGCAGGGCCGAGGACTTGCCTGGGGAAGGACATGGCGTACCTGCAGATGAAATCGATCGCGGCGGCGTTGCTGCTCCGCCACCGCGTGACGATGGTGCCGGGGCACAAGGTTGAGCAGAAGATGTCGTTGACGCTATTCATGAAACACGGCCTCCGAGTTCC